TCTATCTATCTATCTATCTATCTATCTATCTATCTATCTATCTATCTATCTATCTATCTATCTATCTATCTATCTATCTATCTATCTATCTATCTGTAATATGGCTTTACTGCAGTCCAGTGTCGTTGCATTAAAACAAATCTGTGCCTGAGCGCAATACATGCTCTCTGTTGTATTTATATGCTGTCATGGTGATGAGACCAGCATGACTGAACCTCATTCCACAGGCCCGCTTAGCTCCGCTTACATGACATCATCTTGTGAGTCTCTGTGTCCCACCCCTGACTCATGCTCTGGAGCCTTTCCTCTCCCACTCCAGCAGCAACACCCTTCTCTCCCAAATGCAGCCGTTGCTGGGAAGCAGTGCCACAGTGGCGCAGTGGCAAGAGGAAGCAGGTTTTCTTGCTCCATGTTTTAAAGTGGAACAGCCATTAAATGAGTTGTTCCATTGCCTTTTGTTTTGCCTTCACATCACAAAACCTGCTGGTTAAAAACCATTTCAATACTCTTGTGATTATCCTTATACCTTGTGTAACTGGTGAAAATGAAAACATTATGAATTCATATTAGATTTAGCTATTGCTATGCTCACTTGTAAGAAATTAATGTAGCATATAAGCTTCGCAATAATGGCAAATTAGTGGAAAAACCTGAATGAGTGCACGGGGATACCTGCTTTTGTACAGCGTGAAGGGAATCATTGTTTTGACTGAAAGTGGAATGGTGCTAATCATATCTTATTATTCCTTATGAGGAAGTATCTGTGGGGAAAAAAGGTAGAGTTATTTAGTAAGGACCACTGAACCACCTTATAGATACCATTGAATATTCTGTCTCTTTTAATATTGTAAGAACAAATCTAGATAATTATTAGCTTTGTGTATCTTATACAGTTGAACTATGCATCCATCCATCCATCCATCCATCCATCCATCCATCCATCCATCCATCCACCCATTCTCTTCTGCTTATCCAATTTAGGGTTGAAGGAGGGGTTAAAACTATCCCAGATACCATATGGTGAAGGGCAGGGTATACCCAGGACAGGTTGCCAGTCTGTCAAAGGGTTAACACAGAGAAGCAGACAACTATTTGCACTCACATTGACACCTATCAACAGTTTAGAATCACCAGTTAACCTAACCCCAGTAACTACATGACTTTGGACTCTGAGAGGAAGCCCGAGTACCTGGAGAGAAACTGGGAGGGAAACTAGGACAAAATAATTCAGAATGATGGAAAAATGTGGCTTTGTTTAATTTTGTTTTATTCTTATGGTCTGTAAAACAGTGTGAATTGTGAATCGGTGTTTCTTTAATTTCAAAAAAGAAAAAGAATCAGTTGTTGATGTTGAGTGGTCATTGTTTTACAACAGTGGAGAGCAGCAAAATTTGAGTGCAATCTGAGTGACGTCTCAATTAGGACGTTGGCAAACGTTGTGTCGGGCAAACCTGGCCAACAAAGTTATGAGATGGGCTTGATGTGTGTTATGACAAGTGTTTTGTGGGCTACATATAGAGTGAACCTGTGGCTGATTCACCCTGAGTCAATGGTCTTAGTCAAGGCCAAATATGGCGCACAGAAATCTACAGATATGGGCCACATTTGAGCCAAATATTCATTGGTGTCATGGTCCAATAAGGCAGGTGCAGCTGCTGCACAAATGGAAGCTATTGGATTGTTTGCAGCTGTGTGTGTTTGAGCGTGTGTGAGTGTGTGTTTTCAAGCAAGTGCCGTAAGTCTGTATTTATGTGCCATTAGCTATCATTAATGGCTCTCTGTTTCCTCTGCTGGACTTTGCTGAGTACCTGAGTAGTTACAGCTCATGTCTGTGGGTAAGCTGCCAGCTTCATCTTTATGCTCCATTTGTATTTCATCAAGGGTCACCTCACCCATGGGTGTAGCAGGGCACATCATTATTACACCAGAAGTGGTGAGAATAGTCATTAATTATTATTTTCTGTTTGTGTATCCAGCTAATATTGCAGCTACTGCACGTTTTCAGAAAGCGATGGCTCTTTTAATTTAAGGATATGCAGCATTGGTTCATGCTGTCCCGTTTTTAATGTAGAGCCTGCACTTTCTCAGCAGCAGTTGTAGGAAAGGAGTCATAAACAAATTAATATTATGGTTTCTTCTTTACTTTAGTCTCCAAAAAAGCAAAGACTGACTGAACAGGCTGCTCTGAAGGCTTGGCAACCTGTTCCAGTCACATACCTCTGTCTTTGCCCTACCCTACTGGCTACAATATTTCACTTACAAAGAATGGGAAAAATGCACCTTCCGGTATCTCCCCCTCTATGATGTTTTTCTGTCTTTGTTTACACCAGGAACAATGATGTCAGCATGCCTATTAAAACACACACTGATTGCAGCTGATCATATTGAACTGAGCCACCAGTCGTCCTCTGTTGTGATTCAGCTTATATAAACCTCCAATTTATAGTTTGACAGGCATAAGCTGTTGAATAATAGAATCAGTAATATTAGGTTGCTGTAAGTTGCAAGAGATTTGATGTTTAAGGGCTGACAGTCTCTCGGTCCTATCACTATTTTTTTTTCTGATTTGATTGACTGTGGTATGTGTCACGTGTCTCTTACATAGCTCCATCACCATCACATTAACATTTCATTTTAGTTTGGATTATGAGTTATGGCCCTCAAAGCTATACCAGCTTAGCCGTAGACTGTGTTTATCACTAATTAGGAAATGCGATTATGCTATTTAGGGCAAAATGCTAAGATAGCAAATATGGTATGTATTTGGTAAACATTCTGACTCGCCATTGTCTTTATGTGCATGTTCGCTTCAGAAGCATAATGTTAGTAGAAGAAAAGGCAGTTGAAGTAGTAGTTTAGACTGTTTTTCCTCTACTTGATCTATTTTTTGGTAAGAAAAAAGAATTAAAATAATTAGCAAAACATCCAAAATAAGAAACTGAAAATGCAGTTAAAGTATCAAATAATCATAAGTAGCCACGTTTTGCATCTCCATATAGATTTTTTGGGGGGTAGAAAAATAGCTCAAAAATGTCTCTTTCGATGGCAAAGGTTGCCGACCTTCGATTGACAAAAACCAGAGGTCACCAGCATGTTGGTGTTTTGCTCAAAGCGCCACTCTTCTAATGTGCAGCCTCACAAAGCCACAGCTGTAGGCCACGAGTGTCCACTCTTGCTTCGAAACATAATAAGCGTTTAAATAATAAACACCATAATTATGATATAGAGTGATATAATAAATAGATTTATTTCAACATTTTCAAAAGGAACACGCAAAGACTGAACAGGTTTTGTCCTGATGGAGCATTTAGTGAAAGGTTTATTTTTTTTAAATTTTTTTAATGTATGTTAGTGTGTGAGCAGGATCACTACTGTGTGGAGGAGGGGCTTATTATTTGAATTATTTGAGGTTTTTTTTAAAATGACCAGAGTCACTATTAAATAAAGGTGCAATGGGTTACCTTGTACTCTAAATAAAGCACACAGGCCTTTGCTTACTGAAGTGGCTGCAGCATAAGAGCTGTGAAAGGAGGCCGTTGAGCAAGAACGTTCAGTGCGTCCTCGTCAGTGGGTTGAAGGTTGAGTGCTCTTGAGTTTAGGCTTTATGCTTGTTTTTATTTCCTTCACATATGAGAGCAAAGGGATTACATAGGGTGGACTGTGATTGGTAGAGCTTTCTTTGCTCCTCTCAGAATGTGAGGATATTTTAGGCATTGTGACATAACAAAATACCAAAGGGTGTCCCTGTCCTTCTCTGCCAGATGTTCTCAGGAAAACTGAAATTCATCTGTTTGTGTTTCTGCTTCTGTTTAAACAGAATTATGAAATTACAAATTGAACAGCCAGTCAAAGGGTAGGCTGTCCTACTGCTGGGTTGATTTTTCACTTTCTGAAAGTCAGTTGAAAGCAAATTAGAATCTGAATTGTTTATTTGGGTACAAAATCAGTTTCATGTGTTGAATATGTAGTTTTGAATATGCAAATTCGATGCTGGAGAACATATCATAGGATTTGATCCGTTTTGTTTTGCGCTACATCAATCAGATTCCAAAATCAAAGGATACAAACTTATGCAACTTTAATCTCTGTTCAAATAAATACATTCACTTCTATTACAAGGACGATTTCGCTTCACTCATCTTTGCGTGGCAGAAAATGAAGGATGTCACCTGAGTGGCACAGATTATGTAGCCTGCAGTTGCAGGGGCAGCATGGTTTAGGGTTGTAGCTATTTATAGCCATGCACATGTGCTTTGCTGAGGTCTACAAATAAGTGTCTCAGGCTGACCGTTCGAATGCTGTGGGTGGACTCTTGGCTTGCACTCGGCTTGGACTGCAGACCGAGTGCACACAGGCCTCACAACAGTGTTATGCTCATCATCTAGTTTTATACAAGACTGGCTGCTGTGGCTAATGATTCACAGCACTGCTGTTTGCTGTCATTGTTAAAAGAAACTATTCATTTGAATATGTTCACACACTGCGATGTAAGACTGTGCAGTAAACAACACCTTAATTACTACCAGTTTGACTTCCTGCCTCGGTGTAAATTTGCTCATCGGAAGAAGGTTTTGATAAATGCATTCTGTAGACATCGCCTGAGGTTGTAGACGTTAGGATGGTGGTTTGTCGGGTCGGGCTTTCTACAACTTGTGATTCTTCAAACATCAACCGTTTAAAGTCAGAGGTCACAATCCAGTTATCCGGTTCCCAGACTTTTGGTGGAGGTGAATCATCTACCAAAGTGAGAACATTTAAACAGACACGTACAAGCAATCACACGCTGTAAGTTTAATTACTTTGCAAAGGTTTCCGAACATCATACATTTACTACCTCAAGTATTGAGTTATTAATTAGTTCATATGATGTTTTCCTCACTTTCTTACTTATTTATTGACAATATCATAGTTTTTGGCATCATTCAGATAACTGCTAAAATGAACTGCATGGATGTTGTGTGTCACTGATGTAACCAAATGGGGTTGAGCCAGTATATTAAAGAGATTTCATCTACATACTCAAATGATATACTAATTCAGTATTTCAGTAATAAATAACACATGTTTTAGTCATAACTGAAATGCTGTATCAGTATCTACATGTTGACTTGTGACAGATGGGCGATGTGTCCAGGGTGCACCCTCCCGACCACCCTGTGACAGCTGGAACAGGCTCCCACAAACCTGAACTGGATAAGTGGAAGAAAGTAGATGGCTCAAATGCACGTTTGCACAGCATTGTTTTAGCACAATAAGGCCTCAGCCACACAGGCCAAGAGCATGGCCAGCAACCTTCTGGGAAAAATGTGTATTGCTGGACCGGTTGGTGAGCAGCTGCTGGCTGTCAGTGGGTCACAAAGTCACAGTGTGTGCTAGCAATCGCTAGCAGGGGTCACTTTGACCGTGTCCAAGCACTCGGCAACCAATCTTCTCAAACGACCTGTGGTTGTCAGGGGTGTCATTGGCCTGTCTCTACGCCTGTGTCACTGGAACCTTAAATGCGGCACCGCATATAAGATGAAACAAAAGTCCAAGCAGTGCAATCATAGAATTTATTAACTGTAATAAGTAAGTGTGCGATAAGGCTGATAATGTTTTATATCATGACGAGACGTTTGTATAAACACATTAGGTCTGACTTTAGTTTAGAGGGGCAGAGATTGAGTACTTGCTGTTTAATATCTGATCTTCACTGATTTCATAGACAAATAATATATCACTAGAATTATAAGGCATACTTTTCAGGCTGCACTTATAGAGCACTTTTATTCTTGTTAAGTCCTCAAGAGGGCACCATACCACTAAACTCACTTTAATAATATTTAGGAAGCTTATTTACAGAAATGACTTGCTTTGTAGCACATAATAATATGCTAAATTGTTCATTATCTATTTATACTGTATTTAAACATGAATGGCAGCAATAATGTCAACCTGATTGCCATGCTGTGACATTTATTGATATGAGTGTATTGACTGTGCGCTATCAGTAATCTGTGAAGTATGTGAAATCATGTGCTCTAAGGTTATCTGTTACTGACTGTGATTGAAAGCTGGTTGATGACACTTCTTTCAGCTCCTGACCTCTGCTCTGAGCTGGAGAGTTTCCTGGAAAACTTGCCCAGTCAATCTATATTAATGAGCTTTTCAGGAGAGGTTTATGCATTATGCAGCAGAGAGCTTAGACATGGGCATTACGGACCAAATTGGTGTCCTGCTGCAGAGTGCACTGCTTTATTTCTGTGTGATTCAGCTGCACGACGGAGTCACGGGGACATTCACATCAGCAATGACACAGCAGTGCTGCTGGGAAGGGGTTTCACTGCATCACTCTCGCTTTTCCTTTCAGTTTGCTTCTCCTGATTAGTTTTGTTGCACTGTATCTTTTTTTTTTAATTCAGTCTTTGAGCTTTGTGCAGATTATCAAAAAAGTAATAGTTATCAGTCCAACCCACTTTTGAATTCTCAGCTGCTTTTAATCATGCACTATTTTTAGATGAGCTAAATGTACAAATCTGCAGAGAATACAGTCACAGAGCTCTGAAGGCGCCCTGTTCTGTAAATGCATGTTTCGAGCTTCATTATAAACCTGAAGGACTCTTTCCCTTCACATGCAAAGCTGCTATATCATTGAAAAGGGAGCTTATATACTGTGTGGGCATCTTTCAGACTCTGTGACTCCACAGAGAATATGCTGTCCTTTATAAACTTAGGTAGATACAGAGTGGCTCAGTTCTTGTTAGAAACTAATGCTTTCAAAATGCAGGATTACAATATTACAAACAAATATTATAGTTATGTATATAGCCATGCATTGCAATACAGTGTGTTGGATGTAAGTATGCAAGTTTCTGAAGCATCATTTGTCACTAGAGCACTTTCATTTTTTGTCTTATATAACTGTGATGTTCAGTATGATAAGAAAACAGATGAAGGACTTCAACTAAAAACTGTTATTATTCATGTTGCGTAATAGGAGGTTTTGGCCGTTCTTTGACTTAAAGTGTTCTCAGTTGTTTTTCCTGGAGTAAACATTTTAAGTCTTGGCGGCAGTTGAACAATAGAAAGATGATTATTTTTGCACTCTTGAAAATTGGGGCTCACAGTTGATAATGTTTATATTGCACAAGATGCATCTGATATGTGAAATAGTTAAGTGAAACATGATGTCATGAGAAAGTGTGATACATGGTTTAAAGAAACTAGTTCTTTGTTAATAGTCAGCTAACAAGGAGCAATTTCTCCGTTTTCCTTTTTTCCATGAAGCACACTGACTTTCTTATATGATTTTTGAGCGCTGCTGCAAGATAAACAGTGAACCACATGGAAACCCAAATTAGCAAGCCGCCATGGAAAACCTGACAGGACTCGTTCTGGAAGTTTGACGAGAGAGGGAGTCACAGCTAGAGCCCTAGAGGGTGGTTGGCAAGCAGGCGAGAAGAGGGAGACCGTTGCTGCTGCCTCTTCTTCAGTCACTTATCCGCATGGCATCTGTGTACCTGGATCGCGATCCTCTCGACAGCCCTCAGGAAGGGGTGCAGACAATGAAGTACCGCCTAATGACAGAGAGGGAACGTAGGGAGCGCTTGGTAGCGCTAATGTGCTGCATGGGTTAGTGTTCGTCTTACTGGTTTTTGTCATTTCCTTAAAAAGATTAGTCATGCCTGTACTTGCTTCTTACTAACTGCAGGTAAAATGTCCTTACGCAAAACTTATTTTGCAAGCCTAATCTTCCACGCTGAAGATTAGTAAAGACAGGAGGTTATCTGTGTTGTTCGTCTGCAGTAAGAGCTTCAGGCTTCCACAGTGTTGTTGGAATGAATGTGATCTGGCCGACAGATGGTGTAGTCATGTTATTGATTGAGCATGTGAGTTTTTTTCTGTTCAATGAGGATAAGTTGCTGGAAGCTGGAAGATGTGGAATCAGGGGAAATGAGTCATAGCTGTGGTGACAGGGTTGATTCTGGTTTGCCTCTGCCAGTGAATGGACGTCCAACTCAAAGAAAAATATGATGAAAAATATTAAACAAGTCACTGTTTAGAAAAGAGTGTAGTTTTTCTCAGTCGTTATTATGTTACTGAGAAACATATTTTAAAACTTAACTCGATTTCATTTTTTAGTTTTCTTGTTTTTTTCTCCTTTAATTGCATCCATTTGTTTCCTGGTTCCACCTATATGCCATTTTCTGCAAGAAGTCTGGCTGCTATGGTGACGCAAAACAAAAAACACTGTCATACAGTTATTTCTGTCTCTTTAGAGACACTGGGGCATATTTTCTCTACTTACTTTTCAACATGATTTTCATCAAAGCTGTAAATCCACAAACTAATATTACAGAGTGACTTACTGGCACAGGAAATATATTATTTTATTTGAAACACTTACAGCACATTTTAGATGCCCGTCTGTGGGGAAAACAACCACCTTTACCTTCATACATACATTGGGGAAGATTTTATTTCACACTTTGCATAATGTCCTGTTGCTACTTTAAACACAAAGCATTCCAAAAGGTTATGTAGAATAGGTATGCATAGCAGGATTAAGCTTCTTTAGTGGTGGCATTTACAAAAAGGGGTGTATGTTGCCAAAACACCGAATCTAAAGAAAGTGTTTTTTTTCTCTGCAGATGAAAGAGACAGAGTGCAAAAGAAGACATTTACAAAATGGATAAACCAGCATCTGGTGAAGGTAAGAATCATTGCTGATTTATGAGTGCTTCTTTTGAACTTCTAAATTATTTTTTAATATCCCAATTTCTGTGTCCATGGCGTTTATAGATTCAGTCTGAATGCTTGCTAGTGTTCCAACATTTTTTCTCCACAGCAGCTTGAAAAACCATTTTCATGTTCTTCATTATTTATTGGCTAAGTAATATGACTTTCCCTGTTAGGTCTTAACACGTTAACATTCCTCCTCAGATGTTATTAAAGCTTATTAAAAGTCATTTAGAAGGACATGCTCTGCTGCACTGTTGCAGCAAATGATTGCCTTTTGTTGACTCAGGAATTTGAAATGCTTACTGTGGCGTTTTAATCTGTGTGGATTTAATGAAACACTTTAGCAGACAGACAGACAAGCACCGGCACGTCTCGTCTAATATGTCTTTGTAATAAAAGAATCTGGGCGCAATTTACAGTGTTGTCTTTATGAGGTTCTTGCATAAGTGGTACATTAATCACCAAAGTCTCAATTATATCCAGTATGTAATGCGAGTTATAAATATGTAGTTCAGTTACATTTTTTTCATTTGCTTCAGTTTAAATAAAGTCCCTAAAAAGAAAAGAAAACATAATGAAGCAGAGAAAAAAGTGAGCTGCTCATTAGTTCTGATTAGTTCCTAATCCTATGCTCCTGTGAGTAGGACGTCTTTATCTGTCTGTATTAAAACTGAATAAATGCCAATACGACAAACATTTTGAAGCAAAAATAAATGTCCGGCTTTGTTCTGTGCAGCCACTTAATCAGTTTGCAACTCTTTGCATTAGCTTCCCGAATGAGGAGCGTTTTTAATCCATTCGTAGTCAAATGTGGTGTCTTGCAAAAATAAATTCAATGAACAAAGCAAAATATAAAAAAGCATTTTGACTTTATATTATATATATATAGACATGCATGCATCTGATTGCTATTAAGATTGTGATATTTCTGGTCTTGGAAGGATGGCTTGCACTGAAATGCACCTATATGCCTAAATTCATTAAGTTTCTGCCATGTGATTGGCTAGATATTTGAGTTAACCATCACTTGAACAGGTGTACCTATTAAAGTGTCTGGTTAATCTGTATATGAAATAAGTGTATTTTGTGCTTTTCATGCAATTATCAGCAAATACGAGGATAAACTTGGAATAAAGAACTGATTTCTTAAAATCAGTCCTCTATGGGCCTCCTGTTATCAGTGACTGGTTATGACTTATGGATGGTTGGTTACATGTGAGGTTAAGCAGAAATGTTTTATTATTTTCAAAAGTAAAAAAAGGGTGAACGAGAAGAATCTACTAGTTCCTACCTTGAGGAAATGCTTGCTACAGCTTGCATCAACACACCATGTAAACTTTACCACAATCTTGGCAGAAGAAATAAGGAAATAATGTTTTCTGTCTGTACATGACACATCAATAAATCTATAGATAGTAATACCATCAGAAACGTTTTACCCCTAGTTGTTTCAACTTGACTTAATGGTTTTACTGTAATATTTACATTGTATTCTCTGATCCACCGACAGATTTCGGGCCACTTTAAGTTATTGTAATGTCTGTGTGAGCAGGCCTCAGACGTGGTCCCGGAGAATTCAGAGGTGCTGAATAATAGTCGGGGACCTGCTTTGCTGATCCAGTAACATAAGGGTACAGGACTATTTTGGCTCTACAGCTGTGGCCACTATCTGCGATAACAGTGCTGGAAGCCCTGTGTGAAAGCAGGTCATCGGGCAGCAGGGTGATTTCAGAGGCGCGGTATTTAGGGCAGGAAGGAGAAATTGGCCTGCTGTAAGGAGGAAGCATCAAACTGGATTTGCAAAGTGCCTTTCGCAGGTGTTAAGATGAGGTGTCACAGTGATATCCTGCTACAACTCAACAGATTCAGCGTGTTTTAAGAATGTGATCTAAAACAAGTTTCCCCAAAATTAGACCTTAAATGAAACCAATTTAAGTGATTGACACATGGAAGCATCAACAAAAACAATGACTGCCATGCCAACTTTATGAATGTGATAGACCTTCATTGTTTGTGAGATCTGTTCTTAAAATGTCTTTAAAACTACATTAAAAAAAAAAGCGTCTGGTATTAATATGATGCATGCAGTTAGTTTACAGTGTCGTTTCTTCCCTGTTTGTGTAGGTACGAAAGCATATAAATGATCTTTATGAAGACTTACGAGATGGACATAACCTGATCTCGCTGTTGGAGGTTTTGTCTGGAGATACACTGGTGAGTTCATGTTTTTCTGTTACTCTAGTCATAAACACTGACAGTGTTTTGGTACTTGTGGATCCAGTTGAATTCTTAGCCTGAGGAGTTTCCTATGAGACCAGTCTTACAAACCCATTCAGATTCTCATTTGACTTTAATAAACAGAGTGCAAGAACTGTTCTTTTCCCCATGTCATACCATCTCATAACTGATGCACTGGCCCTTCCCTCTTCTTACTCACATGGCTTATTGTGGGAGGGAGGGATTCTTGGGAGAAAACCATCCAATCACTTTTTGTATCCACCAAAATCCACTCATCAAAATCCCACTTTTAATGAATTTTCCTCTCTGTCTTCTCTGTGACATCAATGCAACTTCCTCATGTGGTCATTCTTTTAATTTTTTGAGCTGTTCTACTCAGTCTAAGCTGAATGTGAGCAGTAGAGTATGTCTTTTGTTTTTTACATGCACATTTTGTTACTTGTTTATTTGTGATAGTAGTAGTGGTAGCAGTAGTAGCAGTATTACTTCTCAAGTTGTGCCAAGCTCATGTGGGATTTGATATAACATTTAAGTAGTGAAGGAATTTTGTCTGTCATTTAGAAGTGTAAACTCTAAATCAGCTCTGTGGTTGCCCACTGTGGTTTCTGACACATTAATTGGGGCACTTAAAAAACTTGCTAACAAGCTTTTTCGCCCTCTAACTCCTGAGGCTGCTTTTAAAACAAGTGATATAAAATGTTGCATCACAGCTCAGAGGAATAATCACTTTACTTTCAATGCGTCACTCAAAACAACTAAACAACAGTCTCTACCCTCATGAGCACGAAGCAATAATTTAGAGTAAAATGCATGTGAAATAAATAAAATTGAAGGTTCATTTATGAAAACAATTAATTATTAAAGAGGATACACTTGGTTTAAACTGATGTATGCTAAGCATGCCAATTTAATTTGACAATATGCATTAAATTTAATATTTTTTATTTGACTTTATATATACGATGTAAAATCTTTTTAAGTGGGCAGAATTGCATTGAAAAAATATAAACAGTTAAAGTCAAAGCATTGGGATTTCTTTAGCAACACTTTGCTGAAGCCACTTTCTGTCATGCAAAACCTGGAATGACCAGGAAGTGAAACTGAGATAGATTTTTTTTTCCCAACATCACCAGTCACATTGTTTTTTTTAAATTTGTGTTTCTGACCAGCATTTTAAAATATGTTAATCTGCAGTATCGAGTAGTCGTGCTGTGAAAATGTATACTCAAACAAAACTGAAAGTAAAAACTATGTAGCTGCAATGCTTTGCTCCTGAAGTACTGCATGTTTTCAGTATTGAAGTATTTCATTCATCTGTTAACCTGTTAATCCTTTATTTACCCGAAGTACGTTCAGATATTTTTTGTGCATACTGTAGTACATGTCAGTGTTAATATGTTGCTAGTCTGTATATTTAGACTGCATGTAGTCCCATGCAAGGAATCCCAGCAGTTATTCCCCGTTAGTATGACTAACTTTCATCCTCCTGCATATCTGTTTTCTGTTTACATCCCACTTTCCTCCTCCTCTGTTCTCCACTCTTTGACTTGTTTCTGTCCACTGTCTAACTTCCTTATGATTTGGCCGCTGTGTGTGTCCATGTCTTCCTCTTCTTCCCCATGTGTTGCCTTTTCGATGATAAGCCAAGGGAGCGTGATTTTCTGAAGACTTTGCGGTTGGTGAGTGGGACAGACGCATGCGCAGTTGAGCAGCATGGAGACACGGTGGATGATGATAAGGGGGTACGTGTGGCTTGCCCTCCCACCCCCTTTAGTAACAAACTAATTCAGGGCGTGCTGTGACCAGTTAACAGAAGCACAGACACAATCCCACTATAGGATTTGTGCTTACTGTAGTCTAAAATACTTGCTTTAGCAGGGACGAATTTTACAACTTGGCCATTTTATTTTTCCTTCTATGAAGCACTTTGTTTCATAGTCACCTTTTTTCATGAGCACATTATAGAATTTCGTTCATATTATAATGTGATACTGATGGCACAGAAAAAATGTGCCCTTGATCCAAAGACCCGGGCTTTTTAATTTTCAGTTTTTGTTCCTGTTAAAAAAGACAGAGCGATTTGGCTCACTGATCTTGCAAAATCATTAAAAAGATTCAATAAAATATGACAGAAGCTGTCCATGAAGCTTGGGTCTTTATACTCATTTCACTAGCTTTGCACATCATTAGTCATACAGTCAAAACCCTTCAGTCTTGCGTGATGATCTGGACATTTTTCATATGCTGCTTTTGAGAAGAAGGCTTCAAAAGGGGAACTGAGTACCATTCACTACCCAAATGGGGTTTATATTTATGGTGTCATTTCATCGTTACTAAACAAAACAAGGTAGCTGAATGCAGTGCAAGTCTTTAGCTGCTGCTGCATCCTGGCTTGAATGCATTTTCCATTTCATGACCTCATTCAGTGGCCCCTGACTATTCACAAGCATCTGCCGCAAGTGATCATATTATGCAACTTTCTGTGATGATTTGAAGACAGACATGCAAATAATATTGATTTATTCAGGTCATAGGAAGCGTGATTTGTTATGACATGTTCAGGTGGTAATGGTGGAAAATGTTCTAAGACGGTACGTGATATGTAGCATATCTTCTTTAGGGAGATGGCCACTGTTGTTGTGCAAAGAGCTTTTGTGTGTTTGCTCTTTTATGTCATCTTACTAGAATAGTGGGTAAGAACCTTAGACGCATGTCCTGTTTCCTCCATGTCATTTGTATTGTTTTAAAATGTGTCCTTTAACATTGAGAAGATCCTGATTTGCACACATGGCTCCCTTTCCCTTTTTATGTCCACAGCCTCGGGAAAGAGGGAGGATGCGCTTCCACAGACTCCAGAATGTACAGATAGCGCTGGACTATTTAAAGAGGCGGCAGGTAAGGAATAGTGACTGGAGTAATTTCACCAATACTGCCACACACTTTTTAAATTATACACCATCAGCTTGACTATTGGAAATCAGCTTGCATACAAAGCTGAAAAAACAGCTGAAAGTTTCCATAAAAAGTAGCTGTAATTTTTATACTTTGATTTGGTAATGAATTAGAGTTAGATCCAAATGTTTTTGGCCAATTACGCTTTTATTTTGGTCATTTGACCTCTGTATTCCACCACAGTGAATTTTAAATAAAACAGTTAATATCTGATATAAATGCAGGCTTTCAGCTTCAATTCAGGGGGTATTACAAAAGTACTGCATTAACTGTTTAGGAAAGCAGTTTTTATGGACAACCCCCCCATTTTCAGAGGCTCATAATTAATTGTTTAGTGGTTAGACATGTTCTCTCATTATTCCAGATAAAGCATTAATTCCAGATTTTGAGCTGGAGCTTTGCAGCTGTTCACTCTAAATCTCGATAGGAGTCCCGTGGAGGCCGTCATTTGGCTGAAAACCCAAAATGAGCCAACTAGAGAGATATCTAAGATTTTAGGAGTGGCCAAGTCAATAATCTGGTACCTTCTTAGAAAGGAATGGACTGACCTGCTCAGAACCAACAAAAGGTCTGCACAGAAGACAACAAAAGTAGAATATAACACAAATCTTTATTTGTTTATGAAAATCAGCTTCTTAATATCTAACCCTGTCGAGCCCACATTCTTGAGGAGGTAGGTGTATCATTACCAGATTTTGCATTCAAGAGACCCTTTCATAAATAGAAATACAGTGGGTTTGCAACAAAGTGGAAGCCACTGGGTGCTCTCAAGAAACAAGAAGGGCAGATTAGAAACAGCCAGAGCCACAAGTAAAACCAAGATTAATTTTTACCAGCGTGATGGGAAGAGAAAAGTATGGAGAAGGAGAGAAATGGCCTTGGAGCATTTCACCTCATCTATCAAACATGATAATATATCATCGGATGGGAGTCTATGACTGCCACTGGAACTGGGTCACTAGTGCTTATTGATGCTGTGACTGCTGATAGATGTAGTAGGAAGAACTGTGTACAGAAATGTACTTTCTGATCAGATTCAGACAAATGCTACAAAACTGACAGACAGAGCTTCACAGTACAAATGGTTAATGACCCAAAGCACACTACCAAACCAAACCAGGCTCTCTCAAGGAAAAAGAAATGGCATATTCTTTAATGACAAATGAGTCACCTGATCTCACCCCAAGAGAGCATAATTTTCAGATGTGAGACCCAAAAGGAAGCAGCAGCTGAATGTTGCTGCAGTAATGGCCTAGCAGAGCACCTCATAGGAGGAAACAGCCTTTGGTGACATCTATGGGTTTTAGACTTCAGACAGTCATTGACTACAAAGGATTTTCATTCAGCTACTAAAAACAGCCCTTGCAACGCTTTGTTAAACCCCTTGAATTAAAACTGAATGTCTGCATTTCAGTTACATTGTCATTTGATTACAATTTGATTAATGTGCAGTAAAATTGTTGTGTTGGTGTACAGAGGCAACATTAATTAACTGTCTCATGCCCTCAAGAACCTATGGATTTAAGTACACATAAAGGCTTACAAATGGTTTACACAAATATATCAGTTCATGTTTAGGGGTAGCTATCTGTTTGTTTATACAGCAAAAAAGCTGATATCTGGGTTCAAGCAGGTTCTCAGACACTGCCACCATCAGACACAGCTGGATTCATGGCATTTTTCTGTTTCCTTACAAAAAATTCATGAAACATGAACAGTAATAGCAGCATTTAAGGAGCGCTGACTGCAAATCCCAACAGTGGGATTTCAGAGAGCTTTGATTGCATCCCCCTCCCCCACCATGCTCAGGATGAGAAGATGAAGGCAGCCTGGTTGAGCCACAGCCAGATGTGACGTAAGGCTCGAGACAAAGGATTCATAGATTGCAACAAATGAGTTGTCCTATTGTTTTGCTTCAGTACATACCAGACACATGATGCAACTTCTGTAGTCATAGCATGTAAACTGTCCAAGCTGAACTTTGATTGATTACAGCTGTTACAGATGATCTGATGGGCAGTGGAGGAGTTCCTTATTAAATGCTATAATATCTAGCCGTGGTCAGACTATTTTCGTTTTTTAGTAGTTTCCTGCTTTATTTGAAGGGGGTGTTTAAAAAGTGCACTTTTTTCATTATATTATGTTATAAAACGTTTAATTACTACAAAACATTAACGAGTTCCCCTCAGTGCCACACTGTGATTATGGTAACGATCTCCCCTAGCACAATACAATGGCGACTATGCCCTCTTGTGGTGGTTGTGGAATGACAGGCATAATATGGAAGAGGAAAACTCATTGTTAGTGCTTAAAGGTGAATATATATATAAAAAAAGAAGAAGCAGGCTATGACTACTTAAATAAGTCTGCATGTGCTAAATTTGCATTTCCTTCTACCAGGTCAAACTTGTAAATATAAGAAATGATGACATCACAGACGGCAACCCAAAACTGACGCTGGGATTGATCTGGACCATAATTCTGCACTTTCAGGTCAGTCTTGCACTCCAGTTATTTTTGTCACCCTCATGCTTTTAATTGCCAAGTAATTAAGATCTTTGCATCCTCTGCTTTTGAATGTCTTGTGTTGGGCTAAATGAGGTCAGATGTTTTAAAATTAGTTAACGACATTACTTGGGTGTTTCTGTTTTTAACCACAAGGTGTCAAAGTTGTGCAGCATTTGTTCTGCTGAGTTTAGTGAAGGACATTATTCATGTTTTCAGCGTTGCCATAGCACTATAGCACCATAGGGGTCCAGTTTAGCTTTCCTATTAAATTTGTATGATTAACTTGCTGGATTGCCCAACAGTACAAGTTTTTAATGAATTTTCTAAAGGCTAAAGTGAAGAAGACTGCTACATTTTCATAAGCACCCCTACTGGCCAAAGCCATACCTCTAAAAAAACTGACAGATCCCTTTAAAAAGTAAAGTGTAGAGACAACAGGTCAGAACCTATAGACACCCAGTCTGTACTTTTATATTAACGAAGAGGTGTTACTGGTACAGAAGACGAAGAAAACGTGTATTTTAATGCCTGCAGAAGCTAACAGCTTAAAATGTTTTCAAGAGTTATAAACGCAGTAACACAAAAAGAATCAACTATTAACTTCATCTAACCTTGGACTGTCTTATTCTGCTGTATAAAAAGGCGCAACAGTTTGTGGTGACATAGGTCCTTGTTACCGTGGTTAGTTTTGATAAGTAACTTAGCGACAGTGTTTACTTAGATCATACTGACCTAAGTAAACACTTGTGAAAAAGTACTTCGTAACTGTTGTTGTAAGAAAATAACAAACTACATTCGCTGTTTCATGCAAACGTGTGGGAAAAGCAGCATGAACATTTAGAAAAGCCTGATGCTTTGAAGGATTTATCTGTCTAGTCTGATGTAAAAACACAGCATCCTGTACATGAATTTAAGCCATGTAAAGTGGAGACTGTAGGTGTGCGTGGGTATGTTATTTGTTGGAAGGCTGTTTGCTTGATATAAACATCAGCCTTATTATGATTCCTGAGGAACATACTTAAGGACACTACAAAAATATCCAAAAATGTTTACAAGTTAGACGAAAAATAACCGCTTATTGATTTCATATATATTTATTACTTTAGCCATTTTTTCTTGATGCCTTTTAAGTTTCTTGAAACCCCTCTCTGGATTTCATGGTGGTCATATCCACTGCAATGAAAGCATCTGCCATCACAAGGCCCGTCTTCCACTGTTGGGATGCACCAAAGAGAAACTGTGTCCCCTCTCAGGCCCTGGAAAATCATCCTGTTGGGCATATACACTGGAAGTTCATCGCTGTCACATTTGGTAGATGAATTGCTGTAGCCAAAGCGTGACCCAAGCACCTTTCTAACTTCTTGATGTTCACTGGGCAGTAGGTTCCCCCCAGCCACAGTCCTGGCCCAGCCACCGCAACAGACCACCACTTGCAAATAACCCTTCTTTCCAAGATCATCATCTCACCACGATCATCAAGACGACACCCATAATGATCATCTGGCCTGTGCACTTGATGTGTGAAGTGCTTCGTCACAGCTTGGCTTTGCTTAGACACAAAGCTGTTTATGAGCACAGAGATGATGTGACAAGTTGTTACAGACACAGTTGATTCATTTGTAATTAAGTTTGTTAATATTTTAAACATAGTAAAAAAAAAGGCCATTCCTTTTGATAAGAATGAGTTCTTACCCCTTCTGAAGCTGGTTTGCCAAGTGCCATACCCTCCATCAAGCCCATCATCAACATTCATCTCTCTGGGCTTTTTTCTGTCTTTCTTGGCAATTTACTTTAGTTCATGTTTAATTCATATCCAGTTGTAACATCAGATGGCTCCTAGCAGCCTAAAGGGCCTTTAAGGAATATTAAATGTCTAAACAAAAGGGAAATTACTGAAAAAGATAATTTTTTTAATGTTCTCAGTATCTCGGGAATGTTTGTGCACACATTGGTACGACTAAGCATTAATGTGCATCAACAAAAAAAGCTTTGGGGTATCGTGTGCTCTAGAGTTGGTTATATTTCCTCCTGAATGCTCTCAAAAATATTCTTTCACTGAACAGTGGCACATTATGCCAAGCGAGCTAGTCTGCATGTGCGTGCCAGAAGAATGTGAGTGTCCACCCAGTATGCAGTCTTCTTCTGAAGTCTAACAGCATGCAGAAACTTCACCCATCTCAATTTCTTTTGTTAGATTAATTGTGCTTTTGGCACGTGGCAGTTGTGAGTCAGAAGAAAAATATTGCAAAAATAATTCTGTGTCTTACAGGCGTATAGTGTTAATAGAACAAACATCTGTCTGACTAGCCCTGAGTGAATTAATGGAGGAAAAGTAGCTGATATAATTTTGCTTGGACATGCTGACAGGTAGCGTCTGTGAGGATGCCAACACCTGCTGCTGTCGGTCTCACGCAAGCCCTTAAGCTGTGGATGTGGCAGCGAGGGGCCTGTTTCTTCTTGATTTAAAAAGGATACAAGGGTACTTCAGGAGAGAACTTGAGCTTTACTGAAAGTGTACAGCTTTGGTTTTTATTAAATGTCACAGCTGATAGCACACTGGCATGTATGAACTCAACACTACTTTTATATTGCATGAAAACAAAGGGTTGTTTCCATGACACGCTTTTCTTATACCTGCAGGCTACTTTATTATGACTTATGCAAATATTTGACTTCAGTTAACTCGTTATGTCGCTCTTCATTGTTTATTCCTGTGTGTGCAAGAGGTTTCCTTGCTACACAAAGCCGATGATATTCCTATTCTCAAAATGGTACGCACTATATTTATCTTTATTTTTTTTACCTGTGACATGGGGAACTAGTACAATATTAATTTTAGTGTGGAGGGCTAGATGCCGCTGGCATGACAAAGTAATGCTGCTGCTGACTGAACCAGTTTGTTTTACCCTAATGAAGTATCACTCTTTCCATGTGTGTTGTCATTTACATAACACACATACATACACACACACGCACACACACATTGATGAGTGATTCATTCATGTTTTATTTCATTCACTATAGAGCTTACCATTAAAAAAAATCCAAATGCTAACACACTCTTTTGAAGATATTAGCATGTTTACTGTCAGATGTATGAACATAGGCTAATACTGCAGCTTGGCCAACGTAGTTGTCTCATGAGGTGAACGTGAGAAGAAGCAGGAGTGATCGGCAGTTTGGACTGTGCTGGCTGTCAGGTGACTTTGACCTTCAGGGACTCGTTTAAATGTTACTCTCAAAGCTATTTTAAGCTTTCCTGTGTGGTGGGATTATAGTTACACTTTAACACACTTATTATTCACTTTTTTCCCTCATTTTTTCTGCAGTGCGTTTGTCCCGCTCTTTCTCAGACAGTGTTTTAAGTGTCCAGTGTTATATAATTCTTTGAATTGCTAGAAGAGTTTTATGCGGTGAATCATTTCTCGGGCACAGCATTTGCCCCCATGTGAACTGCTGCCATGGTGATCAGCTGAGATCATATTGTTTGGTTAAACCATTGGACTTACGCCCAACCTCTGGCTCAGCCATTGTGCAGAGTTTGAGCGATAGACAAAGTGAAAGCACTATGTTGTCCGGCTCGGATCTGCCTGAGCTTGTTCTGCTCTTTGTGGCCTATGTATGTTGCTGTTTTTCAAAGCCGTTCTGACTCGTCGCATTAAACGGAACTTTAAACTTGTTGAACCAAATTCTCAAGCAGCATAGCTCGCGGTTTTCTACTGGCATGCACTTTCAGTTTGAGATCCTTCTCCTCTTACCCAAAGAAACATTATGGCATTACATAAATATTAGGACAGGAAAGAGGCGGCTATCATATGCGTGTTTACTGTTTTGTTGCAACAGACTTGTCATCCTGAAACAGGTCTATCCACGACTCTTTTTCATTCCTGCTCTGAGGGCTACCAGCACACGTCTGTGTGTGCATTTATGGTGTTTGTGCTGGATTATCAAAGCCAGAGAAATGTTTCAAAGGTCAAAAAAGATTCCAGTGTCAGAGGAGAGACGCATGAGAGAGCAAGTGAGAAATGCAGAGTGAGAGAGACAGAGAGAGCGAGGGGCTGACCGGTTCTCCGCAGTCAACAAAAGGACGGAGGCAGCTCTGCTCTGAGTGGAGCCAGCTTTATGTCTGGCTGCCCTGCTAAGCGCTGCTTACGGTGCTCCACTTGCAAAGCTGTCAATGGCTTCATGTCGATGGGATCCTGCTATTTTAGATTGAGTAGAGCTTACTGGATACTTCGCCTGAAACCTGGTCGCTGTTTGGAGCTTAACATTGTGAATGTTTAGGACACCATATGATTTACAGCCATGGGAAACACCTGTGGTTGTGTTCGGGGTCCGAAAGAGGAATATTATTTGGACCCCAAAAGGGCTCCTTTGAGACCTGAATCCAAAGATCTTAAAGGTCGCCGCTATTTTCAGAGGAAAAAGAGGAAATCGGAAGACTTAAAGCCTGCTGGATCTCTCAGAAGTCCTGAAAGTGAGACTTTTGTTACAACCAAAGCAATCTGCAGTGGTGGAGAGTGTAAAAATGACCCAGATGGCAACACAGGAGAAAACCAAACCGAGCTGGATGAGCCATCAGGAGTGGCCAAACCTCTATCTAGGCAAGACAGCATCAGCAAAGGTGTTTATGTTGGAGAAATACCAGTTCTGATCCTTCAGGATGGTCAGACTCAACCTCTTGCCACAAGGTTAACGTGCAGGTTGGAAAAGTTTTCTACAAACCAGGCAGATGGTGACAGAAGGAGGTCCTCTGTGGAAGAGAAGCTCCATGGTGTCAGCACTACTTCCAAAGGTGTCCCGGCTAAGGAGGGTTTGCTTGTAAAGAAGCTTCTACAACGCCAGTTAAGGAGGGCGGTTAGCTTTGGAGCAGTGGAGCACACGCTACGGACACTAAGGGGTAATGACAGACCTGGAAGTGAGGAAACCTTTGCCAAGATTATATGGGGCTCTCAAGCACACCGAAGGAGGAGACGGAGGGCCTACACCTGCTCTGGTTACGTAGAACATGCTCCAACTCTGGCCAAATGTATTTCCAGCGAACACGAGGTAAACCAAGAAACCATGTGCTATTTGTAGGCGGTACAGGGGTAAATCATGTAGATTAGGGAGAAGTCTGATACTGTAACAGTGCAATGGTGGTGTCCAAGTACATGATAGATGATAAAATAGGTCACTCTGCATTGTTAAAAGCTTTTTGTAGACACAATAACTAAAGATCACGTGAGAGAAAACGATTTGAAAACCATTTAGGTCACATAATCACATTAGCTAAGAACTATTGTTTTGAACTGAGAAGAATATACAGTAATAGAATAATTCATTATACGTGTACGTTTTTGTATATTTCATATAGAACATTTTTGATTTGCATTAAAAAAAATTCATATTATACTGATGATCAGTACATACAGTACACAATATTTTAACAGTATTTCAAAAATAGTTTATAAATATGGAAAAAACAGTGAAAATAAGCTCATAATTGTTGTTTTACCATTTGTGAACGAGTGAAAGCATTTTGTATAAATGTGTTTTAATGTGCGACTATTCTGCACTCATCTCAATGCTTAGAGAGGAAATTCAGTATCTGTACTTGTGTACCTGAGATTCACTGATTCAATGCAAATCTAATATTTTGGTCCAAACTTTTGTGTGTTTGTTCTATATAAGGCACATCTATAGATCTCCTTATAGACTGAACAGTTTATAATATTACTGTTATTACATCTAAGAGTTGAGATGTATATGATTCATTTTTGCTTTGCTCAGTTGGCAGATGACTTTATCTTGAAGTATGGGAGCTATTTCTAGTGTCATGCTTCTTCGAAACTTGTTTGTCATTATTCTTCCTCCTTCAAACAAAATCTACAAACTCCTGTTGATGTTATCTGCGTTAGCTGGCTAACACTATCAGGGAATGCTGAGAATCATTCAAATTTATCTTCATCTTCATCTCTTTTGGTCATTAGCAGCAACTTATGGTGAAACAGAGAAGAGAGAAAACTGTAGTTCTCCACAGAGTAAAGTTTGGTAGGAGATAAAGTAAATATCTGTTGTGCATTATCAATTGGCTGTTTGGGAGGAAGTGTCAGGTATGTGACAAAAGTATTTGCGCTTTCATATTTAACTTTGTATTCACGTATGCAACAAAAAAAGTGTAACCTCAAACCATTTTGCAACTCAGTCACATCAGTAGTTTTTGGCACTTTTTTCCCCATTTGTTTACAAAAATAAACAAAGAAACCATATCAGAAAAATAGTTGCTCAGATTTTGCTTTTGGATATTTAACAGCTCAATTATTAATTTGTATTTTTATTATAATATTGTAGCTTCAGTGGGTTATGGAGGCTAAAATGTGCAAAAGTAAATGATATAGTGATTCACCCTGAAATGCATCTCTGCTGATGATCCACCAAATTGCTGTTAGTCTTATTAAATCTCCTTTACCCTTGTGTTGTGTTGTGGTATGGATGCCACAGTCATATGAAGGCATTCAGTTAAATTAATGAAGTTAATCAGATTAAGCTCTTTAATACTTCTATTATTCACTTTGAAGAAAGCTGTGGTTACCCTGGCTCGTCCGTAATAATCCCTGGTTGGGAAGTTTGACTTACCACCACAATCATAATTAAGTCAGATCTATACTCAAGTGGAAGATTGATATTTTGATTTGCAGTCATTTATATTTGGTGGCATGTTCTGGGAAATCAAAGCCCTTTCACGTGTATACATGCAAAGAGGAGACAGAAGCAGCAAGTCCTCAGCACAGAACATGGCGTCAGTGACAGATATGAGATTCTCAATGTGAAAGCTGGAGCTGGGTTGCAAAGCAGCTTGCAGATGAGCATGTAAGTGCTCTAGCAGCCTAAACAGTCTGATTTCCTGTATGTCGGATAGTGAGTTTTATATTGATATCAGATAAGCAATCAGCTGATGTGGACTGGCATTGAGATCAGCTGATCTGCTGGAATTGTGGCTATAATATAATAATAATAATAATAGTATAACTGTTGCATAATTGTGCCCGATTGTGCTCACTATATATGGTTTCCATTTAAAGCATAAAAGGACTAAAGTGGTGTCCAGTTAAACAGAGGTTTATACATCGCTGTATTTTATTTATGTGTATGTTAAGGATTTTGTTGTTCTTTTTTTGCCATGTTTTTTTGTTGTTGTCACCATGTTCCCTACCTGAATAGATTGATTTACTGATCAACTGACTGATGATTTACTGAACTGACTGCAGTTCATTCTGTAAAAAAACCACAGTCTGTGATTTTTCTGCTTTATGTGTAAAGCCTGTCTCTCATGCATAATGTTTCCATACTTTCGGCTACTTGGTATCTGTGTTCCACAAAAAACAAACTCCTAGAAAGTTTTGAACCAAAGTTAAAGAGATTTTCCAGATATGAAAATAAACTTTAAAGCTAGTGCACCAACCACACATTTTTAATACATGTTATAAACACGCAGCTGTAAAATCAACCTGTGACGTGGCAGTGTTTGCTTTACGTCATTATACCATACTGAAGCTGTATAGTGTGCTGTAAAACTATTGGATAATTTATTATGCAACTCTGTCTCACGTTGCTGGTATGTTGCAGACATTTTCAGCAAACTTTTTCATGTTAATCAAATCAAAACTAAAACTTTCCTTATAGAGTTGAGTATCCTCACTGTGAGCGAGTTATCAGGCACGCAGGTGTCGATCCAGCAGTCATTTAAGTTACAGCCATTTGTGATGCTGTTCTTGCATGCCCTTCCCCTCATAATAATAATAATAATGATAATAATAATAATAATAATAATAATAATAATAATAAAATGTTTTATCTATAATGCACTTTCAAATAAATTGCTATTTGAAGGTAAAAATGGGAAATAAATAAAAACAATACAGTTAAAAACAGATAAAACAAAAGAGAACAGCAATAAGAACCAGTAAAAACTTTAGGCATAAGATTAAGACCAGCAGGATAGAGTGAACAAGCTGGTCTTTAACTTAGCTTAAGTTAAAGATGGGGCACGAAAAGAAAAAGCACGCTGCCCAGTAGTTATTCTTCTGGCTTTGGGAACTTTTGGAAGGCCAGGGGCCTGAGATTGGAGAGGATGGGATGGAACACAGAGGTGCAAAAGGTCAGAGAGACATGAAGGCGCCAGACCATTTAAAGCCCATTATAAAACAGGCAAATCAGTGAAGATGAAGTTTTAATACCACAGAGCAGTGCATCACAAGTTTATGTGTTTGATTTGATGTCTTTGAACCCTCAGGCGTGGAAGTCATGCCAGTTCATTTCTGCGTTTTGTTTTTTTGTTTTGCCTTGCGGCAGATCTCGGAGATCCATGTGACGGGAGAGTCCGAGGACATGACAGCCAAGGAGAGACTGCTGCTCTGGTCCAAGCAGACGACAGAGGGCTACGTAGGTGTGCGATGTGAAAATTTCACAACCTCGTGGAGGGATGGGAGGCTATTTAATGCCCTTATTCACAAATACAGGTACTATAACAAACACACACACAACACAGCATGTTTTTGCAGAGCAATAGTGCTTTTGGTTTTCTTTTGATTTATTCAAAAAATGCAGCTAATATGGACATCACTGCTTGAGTTTATTTTTATTATTATTTTTATTATTTTTAGTTGCCCTATCCTTACAGTACTACACCGTATCTACCTACCTCTGCCTCTTTCTATTACAGACCGGACCTTGTGGACATGAGCCGTGTGTCAACACAGACCAACCGATCAAATTTAGAAGACGCATTTTGTGTAGCTGAACAGCTGGGGGTGGCCAGACTACTGGATCCTGAGGGTAAGAGTCACATACAGAGTCATTCAAATCATGAAAAATAACTCTCAGAGTGCAGCTTGCTCTTGTTTGCTGTCATTCGTGACCCCTGGGTTTGTACGTTTCTCATCAGATGTTGATGTCCAGTCTCCTGATGAAAAATCAGTCATCACCTACGTCTCAACACTGTACGATGCCTTCCCCAAAGTACCCGATGGAGTTGAAGGAGTTAGTCCTAATGTAAGTTAAGCGACTTCAACGAGTCCAAGTTAAAAGGTTAAGAAATCCCTTATTTCTCATGATTCTTCTTCTCTTATAAACAGGACGTTGATATCAAATGGGTGGAGTACCAGAACATGATCAAATACCTCAGCCAGTGGATCAAACACAATGTGGCCATAATGTCAAGTAGATCATTCCCCAATAACCCTGTAGAACTCAAGGTATGGCACCACAACAAGATGAGCTCCAGTTATCCCGTTTTACACTGTGTTTGGAATGTAGGCATATCTGTATGTCTGAAAGGTAAAGGATAATTGCAATTTAATGCTCGACTTAAAGCGATGTTAATGATGTGAGAGGGCAGCTGCATCCGTTTGCTGCATGAGAGATTATTATGCAGGGGGTACAGAAAAGTGATCGGACACTTTTAAATAAGTTGTTTTTTATGTAATCTCCTCTTTATTTTACAGGCACTTTATACACAATATCTTCAATTCAAAGAACATGAAATCCCACAAAAAGAAAATGAGAAAACAAAAATCAAAAATCTCTACAAAATGCTTGAGGTACACATGTGCACGATTAGATTACACATTTCCTGCATTTATGGTCTTACACACTGCAGCGATAATAAGTGTGCCGGCGTTGTCCCTGACAGATGTGGATCGAGTTTGGACGTCTTCAGTTACCCCCAGGTCATCATCCGAATGATGTGGAGAAGGAATGGGGTAAACTAATTGTCGCCATGCTGGAAAGAGAGAAGAGCCTGAGGCCAGAGGTGGAAAGGTAGGTGTGCACTTTTTCTGCCCAGGCTCATCCTAATGTGATTTAAGGTCTCATCTTTATAGTCTCTATAAACGAATTTATTTATGACTTTATGGTTTTAATGGGCAGAAGAAATTAACTCTGCTAATGTGTAGGCGCATAAGTCAATGTAGTGGGTATTTAATATGACAAACTGTGTGTGTGTTGGAGGTCACATGCAGAAATCAAACCATCACTGATGAGCTGCTTTTCTTTAAAAAAAGGATAAACATGAAGACACATGCTAAGTGAGTCTGCAAAATATTTTCTGAGGGTGGCGTGAGGAGAGTGCTTCGGTGTCGTATTGCAAGCCTGCTAATGGCTTTAATGAAACCAGACACCGATGGTCAGTGTAGCATGTCGGAGAGTGATTTGCCTCATTAAAGCAGAAATCCCCCAACTGATCTAAGATCTCGTTTACATGATATATTTCAGCTCAGGTTTACAGCCAAAGTGCATGCTATGCATATGATGAGGATGGGCTACATTCTGCTTGAATAATGAAGTGCAAAGTCAGCAGCACAAAAACAAATCTCGATTATCTTGATTCCTGTGTGGCAAAAATTTGCAAATGCAATCAACATAAGTTTATGTCGAAATGTGAACCGACGCAGCGATTTTCTTTGGCGAAGGCTTTCAAGTATTTGAACCCCATCTGTTGTTTGCTTTACAGTGTAGCTGGTATTTCTATGGAAACTCACACATCACCTTCCCAAATTCCCTATGAATGATGGTCGTTTAGACAAGTTTACATATCAATTCCTTCCTCCATGGTCTATAAACACATCATATTTACTGCATTATTTCAGGGTGTGGTGAAAACTGGCAGAAACAGCAATTACAGCAGTTTGGCTGTCCTCCAAACAGACTCAGTTCTGACAACGCTGGACTGTCTCAACCTGCCGTTTAATTTTTATTCCCCGAGGGCGGCATAGTATTTCAGGGTGGGAGTTTGTACTCGCTCCTCACCTGGCTGTGACACTATAAATATGAGCAAGTTGAAAACAGCTCCCTCAGTTAGGTCTGCGAATGCTTTCATCGAGCTGTCGAATTTGGAGCCCGATATTGTTTCGGGGGATGGTTAGGATGAAAAACAGTGATTTTGTCTGCAGTAGGAGTTTTGCATTGTAAAGTAAGATGGCTTATTTAAGCGGGAGCAACAGTAGTTTCACCAGCTATGGCTCTGGTGACACTGTCTACTCTGAGCCTTTACAGATTAACAGTTCAGTGTTTCTCAATAACAACATTGCCTATGGATCCAGGTGAGCGCACTGTGTGACAACTCGAATTTTTTTTTGGGGGGGGGGGAGTTAGACATTTTGACTTTAAACAAGTGAAAACAAGTAAAATAACTTTCCATCTTTGTTTTTTTAGGCTTGAAATGTTGCAGCAGATTGCCAACAGGGTTCAGCGAGACTGTGTTAACGGCGAGGACAAGCTTGCACTGGCAAGAACGGCCCTGCAGTCTGTAAGCATGCACTCTCAGTTTAATACTCCAGCAAGCTGTGATAAAATAGCAATGAGTTGGAAGTCCTTTCTTTTTCTTTTCAAAGGATGCAAAACGTCTTGAGTCTGGTATTCAGTTCCTAAATGAAGCTGAGATCGCTGGCTACCTGTTGGAGTGTGAGAATATTCTCAGACAACAAGTAGTGGATATCCAGATTCTCCTGGATGGAAAATTCCCATTTGCAGATCAGCTTGTCCAAAGGTACAAAGTACATCCTTCTGTATAAATAAAACACTGAAATTTCCTCATGTCATTAAAAAAATATATCTCAAATTGTCATCTGCTTCTATACAGGGTGTCAAAACTCCGCGATGATCTTCTAGCCCTGAGAGCCGAATGCTCCTCTGTGTACAGCAAAGGCCGCACCCTGACGACAGAGCAAACCAAAATGATGATCTCAGGCATCACACAGAGTCTGAACTCTGGCTTCTCCCAGAGCATTAACACTAACCTGACACCAGCCCTTACTCCTGCACTCACCCCAGGGGGAATAGGTACCCCTGGGTCCACCTTCACCTCCAGCCTTACGCCGTGCCTCACCCCATCCTTGACTCCTGCCTTGACCCCGAGTCTGCAGCCTGCATCAGTCCAGAGCTACTTGGGGAGCGGTGGTGACATGGTCCCAGGTAGCCTCAGGCATTTGAAAAACATGCAGATCCGGAAGCCCTTACTGAAATCCTCACTGGCAGACCCCAGCTTGACAGAAGAAGAGGTCAACATGAAGTTTGTTCAGGACCTTCTAAACTGGGTAGAAGAGATGCAGGTGAGCATCTCTGATTTATAACTTGGTGTGGGTTTATTTTAAGGCACTTAAAATGAGATGCTATTTGTGTTGAGTTTTTTTTCTGTTGTTAAGATGGAGCTGGAGCGTTCAGAGTGGGGATCTGATATGCCAAGTGTGAAAATGAATTTAGATAACCACAAAAATGTACACAGAGTGATCGAAGAATTCCAAATGAGTCTTAAAGAAGCCAAAATAAGTGAAGTAAGTATTTCTTGCAGTTGCATAAATTTTTGTTAGCTGTGTTAGAAACCTCCCCCCCCCAAAAAAATAAATAAATAAATAAATAAACAAACATGTTTTTCTTTTCTCAGATTCAGATGACGATGCCTTTAAAGCTCAGCTTTTCAGACAAACTGAACAAACTGGAAAAGCAGTATGAACGACTCTTGGTGAGGGATTTGTCGAGCTTAATATTCCGAATTTATGAATGGCTTTCCAATAAATACTACAACTGCTTACGTGCTTGTTTTTGTCTGACTCGCCCGTCTCTTTCAGAGCTCATCCAGGGAGCGGCAAAGCCACCTGGAGAGCCTGCATGACTTTGTATCACAGGCAACTCAAGAGCTCATCTGGCTGAACGAGAAGGAGGAAGAGGAGGTTGCCTTTGACTGGAGCGATCGCAACATTAACATCTCCAAAAAAAGGGATTACCACGCTGTAAGTCTTTGCTTGTTGAAGCTAGTAAAACCTTCCATCAACAATGATTTGGCTTTCTAGTTTTTGCTTACGTTATAGCTCCATTTATTTAATGAGGCACCATTCGCATCAAAAGGAACTGGGGCTTGAATGTTTAGCTTTAAACTTAAAATCAGTGAGACGGGATATGAGATTTTGTTAGATGATGGACTAACTGGTTTTATGCCGTGGCAGAATGCCAGTGATGCTCAGCTTAATGTCTTAATACAGGACCTGATGAGGGAGCTGGATGAAAAGGAGGAAGCCATCAAGTCTGTGCAGGACAAGGCAGAGCGCCTTATGCTCAAGAACCACCCAGCCAGGCTAACTATTGAAGTAAGCCCTTTGTGTTCTTTGTGCATCCTCAATATGACAATTAAGAATCCAAATTTTGGACTAGCAGCAGTGACTCCACCCTGCATTCATCTTTCACAGCGATTACAAGATTATAAAGTCCTGATTCAACTTGTAATTTTCCAGTTATGATGCCAAGATATGTATGTATTTTTTTAATCTGAAAAAAATAATGTTGGGGTTTCTTTTTAAGGCATACAAAGCTGCAATGCAGACCCAGTGGAGCTGGATTTTACAGCTCTGCTCATGTGTCGAACAACATCTCAAGGAGAATGCCATTTATTTTGAGGTGAGTTGCTGCCGTGGACTGTTTCAGCGAATGCAGCAAAGTGTTTGCCACATCTAATTCAACTCTCTTTCCCTCACTGTGAAGTTTTTCAGTGATGCCAAAGAGTCCATGGATTACCTGAAAAATTTGCAGGATTCGATTCAAAGAAAGTACAGCTGTGATCGAACAAGTAGCCTACACAGACTGGAGGATCTCATTCAGGAGTCCATGGTAAAATGACAGAAAGATATGAAGTGTGTGTGCATTTAAAGGCGAAATGAAGAAAACACATTTTTTTGTGGGTTTCTGTGTCCTTAGGACGAGAAAGAGCAGCTCCTTCAGTACCGCAGCACTGTGGCTGGGCTGGTGGGCAGGGCTAAAAATATTGTGCAGCTCAAGCCCAGAAACCCTGAAAATCCACTAAGATCCTCCATCCCTGTTAAAGCGATCTGTGATTATCGTCAGATAGAGGTACTATTATTGGTGCCGTGAATCACCACATTTAATCTCGGTTTATATAAAACATTTATAGTAAATCAGTTACGGTTTGTCAACTCTTTCAGATTACCATTTATAAAGAGGACGAGTGCGTACTGGCCAGTAACTCTCACCGGGCTAAGTGGAAAGTCATCAACCCAGCAGGTAATGAGGCGATGGTTCCCTCTGTTTGCTTCACTGTCCCTCCACCCAACAAAGAGGCCGTTGATATGGTTTCAAGGTGAGTTGGTAGGGTGCTAAGTTTCCTACAGTTCCCCTATAGTAATCTTTTTCACAAATTTCATTGACGCAGCAAATAATATTAATAATATAACCTTTGCTTCTGCAGAACTGAGCAGTTATATCAGAACGTCCTGGCACTGTGGCACCACTCCCACGTCAACATGAAGAGTGTGGTGTCTTGGCATTATCTAATGGCTGACATTCAAGCCATCCGCAACTGGAATGTGGCTTCAGTATGTCGGAGTTTGTTTTTCAGACTGCAGTCAGTCGAGCTTTTCTTTTGACGATCATTTGTGATAATCACGCTTCAGTTTGATAACGATCATTCTAAGGAAAATGCCAGTTTGTGTTATTTACACTTGTTTTTATTTGTTTGACTGTTTTGCTCTCATCACTCCAGATAAAGACCATGTTGCCAGGTGAGCATCAGCAGGTCTTGAGCAACCTGCAGTCCCACTTTGATGAGTTCCTGGAAGACAGCGAGGAGTCAAAGGTATTCACTATGGCGGACTGCGCGCAGCTCGAGAGAGACGTGGCGGCGTGTAAGGAGTACTACCAGGAACTGCTCAGATCCGCAGAGAGAGGCAAGGCTCAAATCTCCCTTCCCCTTCTGCGTAACAACGAGCAGCTTGTGTACATTGTACAAAACACAGCAAAGGGAAACACATGGCTGTTAAGCCTTTTAAGCCTTAAGTTAATACCTATTGGAATTACTCTGATTTTGCTGTGAATGTAAATACTGCACTGATATGCCGTTAAAGTGTTATGTGTAGTCATGAATTTTAATTTTGGGAAAATTTGAAGAATATTTGTTCCGCTGTGTTGATACATATGCACGTGGGCAGTATTCACATATACAGTATAAAATATTTGCATTTCCTTTTAAAATATTGTTTTTTTCTCAATGCACTAGTCATAATTTTCTCATTTTGGGACTGACTCCACCTCAGCAGCATACAAAGTTCAGTGGATTGAGCTCCATTGCATCAGACCTTACTTGACCTTATAGCATAATAAGGGTGCCACCTAGAGGCAGTCAGTTTAAACTGCAGTATTTTGGGGTTTAAATTATTTTCCTTTGGATGATTTTCAAAATAACGCAAAGTTTTATATTTATTACTCTCAAAAAGAAAAATGCAACCAAGCTGTCAGTATTTTTAATAGACTTTGATCCTTTTCTGTTACACAGAGGAACACGAGGAGTCGGTGTACAATCATTACATCTCGGAAATACGCAACTTCCGTATGCATCTGGAGGCCCATGAAGAACACCTGATCAGGCAAATACGCTCACCCCTGGAAAGAGATGACCTGGAGCAGAGTCTGCAGCGTATCACAGAGCACGAGGTACACATTGCAATACTCATTTATGATACTCGAGAACTTCGCTGTTGCTGTCAGTTTAAATCATCCCCACGCCCTCATCTGCTCTCGCAGAGGAAGACGGCAGAGCTGAATAAGCTGAAGGAGGATCTGGATGCCATGAAGGAGAAGTGCGAGCTGTTCCTCAGACAGGCCGCGGGTTCTCCGTCTGTGGCAACGCTTTCATCTGAGCTCACAGTCCTCATTCAGAGCATGAGCCAAGTGTACTCCATGTCTTCCATTTATATGGACAAGTAAGAGTTTCCCTTCATTGTAATTAGGTAATTCATTTATATGTATGTTTGTAATACAAAAGAATATTAGAACTAAAGACCTTTTTCTTCTATTGCAGATTAAAAACTGTGAGTTTAGTGGTGAAACACAGTCAGAGTGCAGAGGCGCTTGTTAAGGCCTATGAGTCCAAACTCTACGAAGAAGACGCCATGAACCCTGATGTCAAATCCATTGAAAATGTCATTTCCACACTAAAGGTGTTACACCATCATGATTCAGTATTTCACCAACACACCCAGTGTTTTGATTTCACTTGTTAACCATTCCTGCTTCTGCACACAGCACTGGCGGGCAGAGATTGATGAGAGACAGGAGTCATTCCACGACATGGAGGATGAGCTGCAGAAGGCGCGACTCATCAGTGACCGCATGTTTAAAGCGCACAACGAGCGCGACTTTGACCTCGACTGGCACAAAGAAAAGGCGGATCAGTTGAGTGAGAGGTGGCAGAACATCCACTCGCAGATCGATAGCAGGTTTGGCTTTTTTCATTTATTCATTCTGAATTAAATCAAGCACACCAGCTGTTTTTGCAGAAAATAGTCAGTGTATGTATTGATCACTAAAAGCTTATCCAACCAATTTTCAGGCTCCGCGACCTGGATGGTATCAGCAAATCTTTGAAGCACTACAGAGACTCCTATAGTAGCCTTGATGAATGGGTTAGAGACATGGAGGCAGCACAGCTGAAGGCCCAAGAACACAAGCCTGAGGATAGCAAGGCACTGGCTGAGCTGTTAAACAAACAAAAAGTAGGACAACACAGAAGTTATTCACAGCAAAAAACATTTATATGGATACACAATGTATTAAAATGTGTGTTTTTCAGATCCTTGTTGCTGAAATTGAGAAGAAACAGAGCAGTATCGACGAATGTCAAAAGTACTCAGAGCAGTACTCATCTGCTGTTAAGGTGAAGCCATTTGTTGTCTTTAATTTAGTTTAACCCCCACTTTACAGTTCTGTTATCTAAACAGTAACGCATCAGGTCTGCAGGCTTTTGCAGAATATTTTTTCTGAATATTGCAGCAGTTAGTCACATTTTGTTGACATTTGGTGAAAGGAGACTGAGCAATAATAATCTAACAAAAACTAGTTCACCATCAATTCATGTGAAATTCTTTTTTAGGATTATGAACTTCAGCTGATGACGTTCAGAGCGATGGTCGACTCCCAGCACAAATCTCCTCTCAAGAAACGGAGGATGCAGAGTTCTTCTGATGCCATTCAGCAGGAGGTGAAACTTTATTTTGGCTTTGTCAGCAGAAGAAATGAGTTCTGTATGAACAACAGTGCCTGCTCAGTAATATACTTGGTTGTGTTTACAGTTTATGGATCTCCGAACGCGCTACACTGCTCTGGTGACTCTGATGACTCAGTATGTGAAGTTTGCCAGCGAAACGCTGAAGAGAACTGAGGACGAGGAGGTGAGTTATTCTTGCTTTAACACATAAAACTTTCTGTGGTAACAGGGATTCGTGTGGCACTTTTTCAATTTCAATATGTTCACCATTTGTTTCCTGATGCCAATGTAGCTGTATTGTCGCACATGGGCATGCTTCCTGGGTGGTCTTCTCTTTTTTATCAGCTTGTTTTAGTGGCTCACAGCACTTCCACTACTTGTCTACCTTGACTTTTTGACTCACTCCAAGACAATTATCCGAGATGGAGGTCTCCTCGTGAGGGAAGAGAGTTTGCTTCATTGTACAAAAGAAGCAAAGGAAATGGAGCAGTGCATGTCTGCATGGATGGTAGCTCCTTCCTGGAGATATTGACTTGCTGGGATGAGAAAGCTTTTTTCTAATTCTGCTGCAGTAGATCTTATATGTCTCTTTTAAATGTCTCTCCAGGAATCTGTGCATTAGTTCTAAAGCTTAGTTTTGACATATAAAACTGTAACTGAAATAAAATCAAACCTAAAATATTGATGGTATGTTTGCAGTTTTTAGGCATTTACAGTACAACTATCTCTTCTTTTATAAACAAAACTCATTAAGGAAATTCATGGAGAGATTGTTTTATTATTAACGACGCTAATTTACAATGTCTACAGTGGATGATTTGTGTTTTTTCCCATTATAGAAGAGAAAAGCTTTTGAAAGAGCAGAGAATGAAAGGTGGACAGAAAGCATGGAGCTCCAAAAAGCTACAGAGGATATAGAGATTAGTCAACTTAAGCAGCGGGTCTGGGAGCAGGAGGCTTTGCTGACTGAGAGGCAAGAACAGTTGGAAACGTTGGAAGGAGAAATAGAAACACAGCAGAAGACAATTGGTGATCTAAAGTGTCAGAAATCCCAGCTCGAGCATGATCTGAATCAGTATCATGCTAAATTAGAGATAGCAGTTAAAGACAAAATGGTAATTGAGCAGGAATTAAAGCACACAAAAATGTTAATCGAGCAGTCAGAGGCCACGTGGTCTTTGACTCAGAAGAAGCTAGACGATTTCTTAAAAGATAGAAACGATGGCCACGATATTAATACCCAAAGTCTTCACAGAAAAAAAGATGTGGAGGAAATAGACTTTGCCACTGTTCATGAGCTGCAAAGCCAAATCCATGCTAAAAGTGTGGCTCAGCAGCCTTTGGCCTTTGACAGCCAGTCAGCAGGAGACTGTGAGCTGAGATCATCTGCATTCAGAGAAAATGACAGCACGATGGTGGATGTTCTGCAGCAGAAATTAGAGGAGCTGGTCCTGGTCCAGAGAAAAGCAGACATGGCTGAAGAAAAAGCACAGAGTTATAAAAAGCTGTTAGATGACAGCAATAACAGACTGAAGAAACTTCAGATGGACTTGGAAGCTGAGAGGATTAGCATGAGACAGAAATCAGAGGAACTCCAGCAGGAAACACAGAACATGAAGAAATCCATCAATGAGCTTCAAGACGAAATCAGATCTCTCAAAAGAGCAAAGTCCTCTCTGGAACAAAACACGTTTTTTCACAGCACTGAAATAGAAGGCCTTAAAGAGCAGCTGAACATCGCCCACGGAGAGCTGCAGAAAAAAAGCTCCATTGAACAGGAAAATAGTTACAAGATTAACAGCTTAGAATTAGACCTGGCTTCCAAGCAGTCAGTAATAGATCAGCTGAAGTTTAAATGCAGTGAGCTGACGAGGATGAATGTCTCATCGGAGAGTAATATTCAAGGTCTTCACATCCAGATGGAGTCAACGGAAAAAGAGAGGTCACTTTCAGAACAAAAGCTCAGGTCTTTAAGGAGAGAGATCGACAGCTGGAAACAGCAAGTTCAAACAGCAAAGGAAGAAAGTAGCTTAATGAAAAAATCTGAGCAGGCGCTGCAGGGCAAGTGTAAAAATCTGGAAGCAGAACTTCAAAAAAGTGAATTAGCTGCTTCTCAGTGGCAGGCGAGAGTAGATGAGATGAAACAGATCAATCTGGAGATGGAGGAAAATCTAAAGAACATCAAAGCTAAACTGGATCAGGCGATGATGGAAATTGACAGCAAGGATCAGCAAATTAAAATCTTCAGGGCTCAAGTAGAGGGCACCAAATCACAGGTCAGAATTATCGAGGAGGAGCTGAATAAGAAATCGCAAAGCTCTCATGAGCTTCAAATTAAACTGCAAGATTACAGTGAGGAGGTAAAGAAAATGACTGAACTGCAGCAGAAAATCAAAGTTCTCAGTTCAAGTACTGCCAGTTATGAGAAAGAAATAACCTCTCTTAAAACTGAGCTGATGTCAGTGCTTTCTGACAAGAATTCGGCAAATCAAAAGGTCCACATACAGAAAGCTGAAATCAATGATTTGAAAGTGATGCTGAATGCTAAAAATGCACAACTGCAGAAGGAATGTGCCGAGAATCAAAAGCATCTCAGTAAAATCAAAGCTTTAGAAGATGAGCTTTTCAAACAAAAGCACAGTTTTAAGGGGTTAACCAGCACCTCGGAGAAAATGACAGAAAACGTAAAGCAGGAACTTTACACGCTTCAGAGTGAGAAGAGAGAAACGGAAAGGAAAGCCGAGAACCTGAACGCTAAACTTTCAGATTTAAGCTCCTCACTGCAAAGAACAAAAGACGAGTTAGCGAAAGAGGCCCAAGAGAGAAAAGTCAAAGAGTCCAAACTAATTCAGCTGGAGGCTGAGCTTCAGAAAAATAGAATAACAATCAAAGAAATGATGTTCAGTTCTGAGAAATCCAGATCAAACCTACAAAATGAGAATACACTTTTAAAGAGGGAGAAAGCTGAGGCATTAGAGAAAAGCATCTTATTGGGATCTGAAGTCAGAAAACTGAGAGAAAACCTTCAGCACGCCCAATCGGAAGCCGAGCAAAAGCAAATAGAAAACGCTGCGCTTCAGCTGAGGTCCCAGCAGATGGAGGAACAACTGGATAAGTGTAAGAAAATGCTGGAGGAGTTAAAGAGCAAACTAGAACTCCAGAGAGAGGGCTATGACAGGCAGTTGCTGCTAGTGAAAACTGAAATAGAGAGAAAAATCATTTTACTGCAGTCCGAGCTCACAAACGACAGCGAGAAATCCAAAGTGCACAGCGCTGAACTAGCAGAGATGCTGAATAAGTATTTCAAGCAAGACATGAAGCAGATAAAACATCAGAGCACAGCTGATTCAAAGCAACAGCTGGACCAACAGCTTCAAATCAAAATGGACAAAGTGCAGCAAGAGAGAACGAAGCTCGAGCGAGACTTGTCAAAAGCAAAATCTCAAATAGACGAACTCGAGGAAGAAAAAGTCGAACTCAAGTCAAAAATCAGTGCTATGCAAAGCCTTTGCAATGAGCAAACGGGTGAATGGACAAAGTTTCAACAGCTGTTGAAAGACAGCGAGTGGAAACTCACAATGAGAGAAAATGAGGCAAGATCTCTGCGGGAACAAATAGTGCTGTACGTCAAAGAGGTTAAAGGCCTTCAGGAGAAGCTTTCGACACTCGGATTAGAGGCGACTCAGTGCAGTTTCCAGTATGTGAAAGACAACAAGGCTGATCTGATGAATGCAGATGTCGCTATAATGCAGAAAATGGTGCACTCAAATCAAGATACAAAAAGCAGGAGAGATGAAGAGATTCTCTCAGTGAAAAAGTCCTCACAGGTACGCACGAGGCTGAATTTTGCATTACAGGAACATAATAGTGCATTTATTAACAGATCCAGTATTTTTAAATGCAGTATGCTCCTTTCAGTAGTTGTTTTTTTCTGTTAGTTGATATTAATAATTGTAGCTGTAAAAACTTAATAGCTCTTCCAATGTCACATCTACAGATGGCAACAACGGAGAACAAAATCACCCTTGAAGTGATTAAACATGTCAGACAAGATAAGAGGGAGATCATTCACAGTCAAAGCCTTCAGCAGGATTCAACAACAAACTCAATGTTGGATAGCTCCCCTTATCAAACTCCCACTTTTCTCAAGAAAGATGTGCAAAGTGTGACTTACAAGAGCCACGTTAACACTGATTTCCAAAGCTCTGTGACAGCACAGGGATACATGGCTCTGTTGGGACTTAAAGACAAACAGCTGCACGAAACTAATGTCAGCAAGACAAAAATGTACCAAAGCGCATCAGAGAGTAGTATAACAGACCGCGATGGACAGCAGAGCGTGACATATTCAACTCCCCAAAAGCTCCCAGACCTCAAAGGGGGTGTAAGCATTCAAAATATTGTCAAATTTAGGCCCTCAGATGAAGAGTACATCGGCAAACCAGCTGCTATTGCTGGAATTTATGTGGAGTCGAGCAAGAAAAAGATATCCTTCCTGGAAGCTGCTGAGAAGGGCTTCCTAGCAAAGACATATGCCCTTGAGTTTCTCGAGGCTCAGGCTGCAACAGGAAGCCTTACAGATCTGGCTACCGGACAAACGCATTCAGCTGCCGAGGCATTGGAGAGGGGGATTATAGATCCGAGCCTGAAAGACAGACTGATGGAGGCTGAGAAAGCTATTAGTGGCTACATCTTTAAAGGCAAAAAGCTGTCTGTGTTTCAGGCCATGGAGGAAAGAATTCTCGATAGATACAAAGCCAAAAAGATCCTTGAGGTCCAGGTTGCTACTGGAGGACTGATAAACCCAGCAACTGGGGTCAGGGTAACAGCTCACATTGCTGTAGATCAGGGTCTTTTGAACAAGGAGACTCTACAGAGTCTCTATGATCCAGTCAGTAACCCCAAAGGTTATCACAACCCTGACACTGGACAGAAAGCATACTACTCTGACATACTGAAGGCATGCTTGTACGACATCAGTGGTGGAGTGTTTCTCTTTCCGTTCGGTCAGAGGCACCTAACAAGCACATCTCCTGCCAGCTCTCATAGGGTGTCAGTTGTCAACAGCAACTGTGGCACTGAGATGTCAGCCTATGAAGCATTCAAGGGGAAACACATTGACAAGAAGACATATCTGTTTCTGTCACAGCAGGAGAGTGAATGGCAGGAGAAGTCCACAGCTGACCCCAGTGGAACCCCACTTCACGTCATTACTGATGTCAAAGGTGGCCGACAGCTTTGCCTTGAGTCGGCTCTAAGTCAGAGATTCCTGGAATCGTCTGAGCTTGAGAGCTATCGCAGAGGTCTTCTTAGTATCACTGAGATCGCAGACATGATATTTTCAAGAATGGTTGTTGTGGAAGATGTTAACAGCCCCATTGCTGGACTTTGGGATGTCACTCAGAAGAAAAGGCTTTCGGTTTTTCAGGGTTTTCAACAGGGCTTTACTGACAGACCTACTGCTTTGCGGCTGTTAGAGGCCCAGGCCTGCACTGGAGGTATTTGTGACCCGTCATGTGGAGAGAGAGTTACCCTCACCGAGGCTCTCAAAAGAGGTCTTTTGGATGAAGCACTGAGTCAGCAGCTTCTGCAGTTTGACCAAGCACTTAATGGCTTCATTCATCCCAAGACCGCAAAGACTTTGTCTGTTTCCCAGGCTGTTCAGGAAAATCTCCTCCCAAAAGACGCCGGTTTCCGTTGTATTGAATTCCAGCTCCTGACTGGAGGATTGATAAAACCTGACACCCACGACAGAATCTCACTTGAAGAAGTCGTTCAGAGCGGACTCGTTGATAAAGTTACCGCCACTGTACTCAAAGACGAGAAGTTCCACACCAAAAGCCTCACCTGTCCAAGGACCAAGAGAAGAATTACATTCAAAGAGGCTCTGGAGAGAAGCGTGTACGACTGCCACACCGGGTTAAGGTTACTGGAAGCTATGAAATCCCACGGTTTTGGACCAAAGTCAACATTTCATTATGTTTGGGCATATAAATAAAAACCTGTCAGTTATTATAGCATTAGCCTTTGGTGGGGTGGATTTAAAGTCTTTTCTCGTTATCTTTGACCTTTTGATGAACAAAGATGCCTCTTGTGGTATTACCAATGAAGCCTCGCATTGCTAAACTGGTAAAAAATATTTGTGTTTCAGTGCTGCTGATTCTTCTTCAGCTCTGACCAAAACAGTTTTTCAGTACATGGTTGTCCAAAGCTTTCTTGTGTTTTCTTCTTTTGGTTTTTGCTGATTTTAACCTGATCATGAATGGATTTTGACAGCTCTCTTCCTGTGTTTTGGTTTATTTTTGTAGCAAAGTTAACAATTTTGTTAAAAGTCCATCTATTTTAATTCTAGAGATCTGTTGATGAGGAGAAGAGAGAGAATGGTGATAAGGTTAACAAACTATTGCAGTGGATGTCCAATGTGAAACAGACCGTGAGCAATGGTGGGGATGCTCTGAAAGATAGTAATGCCAACACAGATGCTTCTAATAAGCCGCAGGTAAATAATGTGTATGTTCCTGGTGTGTCCTGTTTTTTTTTATTGCTAACCTTTGTTTATATATGAATTTTTTTAATGACAAAAACACTCCAATCAAAATTATCCCACCACCCTTTGCTGTCACAGCGTTTGATTTCTAATAAAACAAACTGTTTACTTCCTGATTCATTTTATCCATATATGTTGTGAAGCTCATGGATTTAATTAATGCACTTACAAAGACCTACAAAGATAATATGAAATACTTATTTCATTTTATTCATAATAAAAACAAATACATATGTTGCACAAGCACCCATATTTAATGCACTTCACTGAATAATAAATGACGTCAGTCTCACGGGTTATTGAAATATTTTAACATGTGGCCCAAAACTGATATTATTCACCTTAAGGTTACATGAAATTTATATAAAACTATCCCTGATGTGTTCATTATATTGCAAAAGGAATTAAATCATGGCTAAATAGTGGTGAGAGGCAGTTTATGATCACGGGGTCCATAATTAAATCTGCCCAACATAAAAGAATAGAAAATAAAATAAATGTGTGAATTAAAGAAGTTTAGATTTTCATTACATGTCATTTGCTAATGAGATCACTGACTTCTTATATATCTTTTGATGTTAGTAGTGGACCTTTGCATTTCTGTAGTAATACTTTCATAAACTTAAATAAATATCTGTAAAGTAAAATCACAATTCAGTAATTACAGTGTAACATAATTAGACTTTATTTTGTCAAATTATGTCAAAATCACCTTCCCCTTCCCCTTATTATGTTTCTGATATCATGCCCCTTATGTAAAACAGAATAAAGCACAATGTGCACAGTGCTATCAGAAATAACAGTGTTAAAATTATAGCCTCATTAAAGACTGTGTAAATCAGTCAAGTCCTCTTTGGGAGAAACACTAAAATGTTATGTAGGTTTCCATTGCTAATATTTATTGCAAAGTTGTTGTGTGCAGTATGCTTCATGTAAATAATGAATCATGAAAATTTTAATTTAGTCTGTAAAAAGTATTTGTGTGTCTCTGTGTGTGTGTGTGTGCATTTTTGAGGATTATCTTGTTTTTTTGTTGCAATTGTAAAGTAAAACTACCATAAAAGTCACTATGCATCATTGACTCTAACATGGTGATATGCATGTTGTTGCTGTTTGATGTTCTAGGTGTCAGTGGAGGAACTCGTCACTAAAAAAGAACAAATTGCAGAAGCGCTGAGGTCCACACAAACGATGCTAAACAAACACAGTGACAAGTAAGCCTCCTTACCTGGACTCGTAAAAGACTGACTGGTAATGGTCGGGGCTTCATCCTTAATATTTTTTTGTCTTTACAGAATGACAGAAGAGGAAAGAAAGAAGGCCCAAGAGCAGCTGCAGTCTCTCACTCAGGCCTACAATGAACTCTCCCAGCAGTGTTCAGATCAGACTCCCTCTGCAGATGAGGTTGGATTATAGGCTTCGTGTTTATTAATGGAGCGTGCCCTATAATGTGTTGGAAAACAGTGCCCCCTGATGTTCGATTGCATGTCTAACCATTATCCTCTTTTCTCTAGTACAGTGTTTGCCAAATTCTGTCGCACTTTCTCTTAGACTGGCTCCTTAGGAACAGAAACTTAGTATGGCTGAAACCAGTCAAACCTGAGTATGCTGTAAACATGCTAATTGCACCAAGCTGTGGTCTGATATTTCACTTCTTTCAGTGTGCTTAAGCTCTCTTTAAGAGCTCAACAGGATAGCAGATATATAACTTTACAGTGTGCTGTGTGACTAATGACACTCTTTTTGCAAGATGCTGAATGCTTATATTCCAGATGCATGATAGCTTTAAATGTACTCTCCATCACCCTCCTGTTGCAACCCCGTTGCAGTCTTGCTCTTGCACAAACGCTGTCTTAACAAACCCGTGTCTGTGTGGTGGTGAGTATAGATTTTGTCTTGCCTCAGTTAGTAAAATTTGAACAAATTTTGAGGCTGAAGCCAAAGCTAGTGAGATTAATTGTCATGCTTTCATTTCCTGCAGGATTTCAAACCCCTTGATAGGATTGGGACTGGAATGACTGGCCTGATTGATCAGAGAGGTTTGGTAAATCATCAAGGGGCCCTCCTAACCTCTAACCTCTCTGAACCCCAATTTCATCTGGGGTGTGACGAAGCTATTGAAGAAAATCGCATCTACACATCAACGCTGAATCACTTGCCAGTGTTGAATGATTCAAGCAAATGCATACAGAGTTCACATGTCTCCTCTGTGTCCCTGTCTGACATAGCAGCAGCTAGAGAAGGGTCCATGTGTGAAGATGTGATCATAAAGATAATAGAGGCCAGCCAGGTCAGTGATGAAATGCAGATGTCCTACACAGGGGACACGATGACCCTGGAGAAGGCATTTCAGTGTGGTTTAATTCCTGCTTCTGTCTACGTAAACATCCTTCAGAGGAAAAAGTCTCACCAGGATATGATAAATCCTGGCACTGCAGAAAGTCTGTCTTTTTTAGAGCCTGAAGAGGAGGGTGAAGCTTGTGAGGCTAATAAACTGATATTCAAGGGCCTGAGCAGAGAGAGCTCAGAGACATCAGAGGGGAATATTAACAGTGTGACTTCGGGTGGTTTTAGTAATCAGGAGATTATGGTGAGGTTGTTAGGTGCTCAGGGGGATCTAGAAGGTCAGAATGAAACTGAGGTGTCAGATGGTAACTTCCAGAATGCTGGAGGTGGGCTGAAGGTGGATGCGGCCATTCAGTGTGACTTGATGAGCTCCAGCAGCACACTCATCGTCCTGGGAAATCAGCAACAGTTCATGGGACTTGCGTTGCCTCACTCTGGGGAAATCCAAACGGTGTCTGCCTCGCATGAATCTGATTGTCAAAGCACCTCCAGTGAGTTTACCTGCAGACTTTTTACTAATCGAGGGAAAATAGCAGCATTTTACATTCCAGAAAATTCAGAGGTGATAGATATCACTACCGCTATTCAAAATGGTTGGATCGACAGTCACACAGCAGAGGTTCTGAAATCCATAGAGATCCCAGATGTGCTGCCAGATGTTGATCACCTTAGTGAAAAGTTTTCATCTTGGCTCACTTATAAAAAGCTGGCAGTTGATGGGTGGCCTCATGATGGTTCAGAAGTTAATCTCCCCTCTCCCACGGAAGCAAAACAGTTATTCATCTCATACTTAATGATGAACAGTTACATTGATCCAAAGTCAGAACAGAGGGTTTTGATACTTGATGATCAGTTAAACAAAATGGCTCATGCTTTTCTTGAAGACACGCTATTTTATCCGAACGATGATGAAGGTTTGACTGATTTGACTTTGTTTGATGCCAAAAATCCTTTTGAAGACGCAGATTCTGAGATGTCGCTACACATAAATGATGAATCAGAGGAGTTAATAAAAAACACAGAGGACGTGTTTGATCGTTATGACTTTGTTTCCCAGACCGGCGGGAGAATCACCTTTGATGAAAACACACAACACACGTTTGAGCCTCATAATTTCGTTTCCTCTGGCAATGGAAGAATAACCTTTGATGAAAAATCGAATAAAAATGACAAAGCTTCAAAACACGATCATGCCAAGGACCTTTTAGTGAGTAGTGACATTGATTTTAACACCAGAGGTGTAGAGGTGGAAAACGCGTTTGAAAACGACACGTGGACAAAGTCAGATCAGTTTGAAGAAGGAATTTCTGGAAATACTTTGAAAAAGGAGGCCGAAGATTATGCCAGGGAAGGTCTTGATATTCCAGGTTCTCTAAATGTGTCAGTGCCTCACATATTTTGCTCTGGGGAAAGCAGAAATATTAGCTCACCTTCAGTGATGATTGGCTCTGAGTCCTCATTTAAATCTTGCCATCAGGTGCCACCACACTATAAGGCTAAGTGCTTTGATACAACAAGTGTTCATATTGAACAACCTCAGTTTTTAAGCTCTGAGGACTCAGTGGAGGGTGGAAATGAGCGGAAGAGTGCTATTGCGCTTCTGAAAACCCAAATGGAGGAAGAGGGCATTTTGGACGTCACCTCTGGGAAATGTTATAACCTGCAGGAAGCTCTTAATAAAGGATTAGTGGATGATAAGATGGTACTAGAGCTGCATGACTCACAGTCAGATGAAAAAAATCCCATCCTGATGGTTGAGACAGACAGATTTTCTGGATTAAAACAGGCATTGTCAAGCAGATGTCACACAGAGCAGAGCTTTTTGAGGTCTCATTGCAGCAGGAGCATTGGTGAGGCACTCCCGCTTGAATTAGTCAAGGATTCAGATTCGCAAGGCAACTTTTACCCAGAGGAAAATCATGTTTACTCTCTTTCTGAAGATCAAGATCTGGGTTTAATTCATGCAGCTGAAAACACACAGCAGGTGATTTCAAGAAATGCTGCTGTCACGGTGCTTGATTTAGCCAAAGAAGAGGCTAATAACAAAGAAGGAGAGAGTGAAAATAGAAATCGAGAGTTGGCGTGTAAGGCAGTGGGGAGTGTAGAAACAATGACTAATAAAGTACATCTTTCCCTTCCATCAGAAAGTGGTAACATGCCTCAGATGATCTCACCCTCTTATTGGAATCAGGTTACAGCAGAGCGTATCAATCATATAGGAAAATTGCCTTTAGGGGCTGAGGACAGTGAGTCACACACCTTAATGGATAGCGAGCTGACAGGAAGAATCTCTGGCATCAATACTGATTCCAAAAGCCAGACTCAGTCTGCCACTTTTGCTTATCACTCCGGTAAATCTGACAGCATACCCAGTGATGATGATGTTTTCGGTGATGGATATGATACCAGTGTAAGAAAACAGACATTCATTCAGAGTGAAACCGGCACGTCAGTTTCATTTTCCAGTGCTTTGTCTTTGGAAGCTAGAGTGGAAGATGAAAGTGGGGTTCGGTCAACTTTGGGCAGTGAGCCAGCTCCGAGTGTGGATTACACATCGCTTGGGGATTTGGTTGAGGGTGCAGTCATCTCGGTTTCCAGGGGTAATTGTAACTCTGTGAAAAACGGGGCAGAAGATGTCAGAATTGCATTACGTCAGCAAGCAGAAAGTGATTATAATGATGAATCTGAGCCCAGCAGCTGTCAGAGAGATCAGAGCCTGATTGCAGCTGTTTGTGAAAGACCTCCAGAACAGCAGAGCTCCTCTTCTGAAATACCTGCTGTTTACAGCAGCATAACAGCAACAAATACCATCAATCACAGCAACTATGATACTGAAGATACAGTCCTGACTCCTAAAGATTTCTTAGGGTTTACAGATGGTGGAGCAGGTGATTCTGAGAGGCCTTCCCTAGAGAAGCAAAATGATGACATTCTCACTATTGATGGTGAACAGATCTCCATAGCTCTCTGTCAGCGAGATCAGAGCCTGATTGCAGCTGCTTGTGAAAGACCTCCACAACAGCAGAGCTCCTCGTCTGAGTTACCTGCTATTTACAGCAGCATAACAGCAACAAATACCATCTTGCGCAGCAACAATGATATTGAAGATTCAGCCCTGACTCCTAAAGATTCGTTAGGGTCGGCCCATGGTGGTGCAAGTGATGCTGAGAGGCTTTTCCAAGAGAGGGAAAACAATGACCTTCCCTCTATTGATGCTGTATCTGTCTGTCAGGGAGATCAGAGCCTGAGTTCACCTGTTTGTGAAGGACCACAACAGCAGAGCTCCTATTCTGAGATATCTTCTGTTAATAGAGACATAACAACAAGTACTATCAACCAAAGCTACTATGATATTGAAGATTCAGCCCTGACTCCTAAAGATTTGTTAGGGTTTACTTGTGGCCTTACAAGTGATGCTGAGAGGCTTTCCCAAAACAGGCAAAACAATGACATTCCCACTGTTAATGCTGAACAGATCCCTGTATCTCTCTGTCAGAGAGATCGGAGCCTGAGTGCAGGTGTTTGTGAAGGGCCCCGGCAGCAGAGTTCCTCTTCTGAGTTATGTGCTGTTTACAGCAGCATAACAGCAACAAATACCATCAATCACAGCAACAATGACATTGAAGATTCAGCCCTGACTCCTAAAGATTTGTTAGGGCCGGCCCATGAAGGTGCCGGTGATCCTGAGGGGCTTCCCCAAGAGAGGGAAAACAATGATATTCTCACTGTTAATGCTGAGAAAATCCCTGTATCTCTCTGTCAGAGAGAACGGAGCCTGAGTGCAGCTGTTTGTGAAAAACCTCCACAACAGCAGAGCTCCTATTCTGAGATATCTTCTGTTAATAGAGACATAACAACAAGTACTATCAACCAAAGCTACTATGATATTGAAGATTCAGCCCTGACTCCTAAAGATTTGTTTGGGTCAGCCCATGGAGGGGGAGGTGATGCTGAGAGGCTTTCCCCAGAGAAGCAAAATGATGACATTTTTAATATTGATGCTGAACAGATTTCTGTACCTCTCTGCCAAAGGGGTGCACCTGTTTGTGAAAGACCTCCACAAGAGCAGAGCTCCTCTTCTGAGATACCTGCTGTTACAAATACTGTTTATCACAGCAGCAATGATGTTGAAGATTTAGCGGTGACTCCTAAAGACTTGTTAGAGCCAGTGCTTGGTGTTACAGGTGATGCTGAGAGGCTTTTCCCAGAGAGGCAAAACAACAGCATTTTCGCTATTGATACTGAACAGATCTCTGCATTAAGAACGGACACAGACGATCCTGATAGTGATAGAAATGTCTCCTGTTTAAATCCATCGTTTCCCTTATCAGACAACTTTGGACAGCCTGGAAGTAGAATAGGAGAAGAGATGACATCTGATCCTATAGAAGAGGATCAAAGTTTAGAAGTGTGTGTTTCTGTGGATACTCACACAGTTACGGATTTCCTGTCTGAGAGCAGTATAATACCTGTTGTTTCCTCTTCAGGCCCATTAGTGTTTTCTAATCCTGGAAAGACATATGCAGATGACCAGGGGGAAGATATTACACACAGTGATAAGAGCAGTGGTTTGGAAAGGGCACAAGCTCAAGATTCTCAAGATGCCCTTTCTATAGATAAGAATAATGCACAATCTTTACATAAAAACAGTTTCCACGAGAGTAGCACATCTCAAGGACTCGCAGACAGCAGTCACCCAGATCACCTCATGAATTTACTGAAGCAAAATTCTCTCAGTTTAGACAGCGAGGACACGAGGAAAGCAAAACTGATATGCCAGGATGAAAGAGGAAGTCAAGAGACAGAGCAGTCTGATGCTCCAAATATCCAGCTGCAGCTGCTGCAGGTTTTTAAGACTGTTTCCACAAGCCAAGACCTTTCAGTGCTTAAGGAAGTGATGGATACCCTCAGCAGCGCTCTGGGGTGTGAATCACAGCAGGAACAGTGGCACACACTGGAGAGCATCAAAGAGGAAAGTTCAGAGGGAGAGGATGAGGAGTCGGGAGAGGATGACGGTGCTCCAAAGACTCACCAACCATCTGTTGAGGCCTCTGCCAGCTCATATGGCTGCAAAGTTGAGGAGGTCAAATATAAGGTGCGGTTTATTTTGGCTGAATGCTAAGCTCATCATTTCTTAGTTTTGGACATTAGTAACATCTGTTCCTTTTGTGAATTCATTTTTTTTTCTTTACCCACAGCTGTTCTCCATCCACGATTATTTGGAGTGTGTTGGGAGACTGCAGGATCACTCTGATGTTTTAGAAGATGCCAGAAAAGACCTCTCAACCCCAATACCCACAGACAACAACATGGAAGAACTGCAGAACCAAATAGAGGAATGTCAGGTTAGAAATGACCAGCTGAAGCCCATTTGTTTTTGAATAAATGATCGATTTTTAACATATTTCAAATGTCAATATGTGTTTCAGTTCCTGATCAAATTCTTTTTTTTTCTATCTAGTCTCTGCAGTCTCAGCTTTCTAGTCTGGCTGATGTTCTGACAGTCGATACGGAGAAAGCCAAGCAACTCATAAACTCTGCTGATGAAGACGTTCCCCAGCAAATCCACCACGACTTGGCCTCGATATATCTGGAGTTAGAGCCAGATTTTACTGCTGTGTCTCAGATGTGTGCAGAAAGAAGCAGCTCTCTGATTCAAGCGATGGAAACAGGGAAGGTCAGTCTTAACACAGTAATTAAAATACAATAATATAACAGTAGCATCAGCCACTAACCCCTTTATATATGATTTTAGGTACACTTGGAATCAACATATCAGCAGCATCTCAGTGATCTCAATACGCTGGCGGGGCTCATTCAAAATAACTCTGAGATGTTGGGTGTGGATTTGAACACATGTGATGTGGACACTCTGAAACATCTGAGCCAGCAGAATAAGGTACCTTAAATTGCAGTTTAAAGCATTGCACAGCTTGAGTAAACAAGAGGAGAAAAACCCTCAACATCCTTCCATGTTTTATTTTCCCAGGACATGGAGGACCATCTGCAAAAAGAAGCCAGGCTCAAGTTAGAGGATGTCACGTTTGATATCCAGTGCTTTATTTCAGAGCACACTCAGTTCCTGAGTCCGGCTAAGAGTAGCTACCTCCTCAAGTTCCTCAGCACCACTCAGCGAGCATTCAGAGACCAGATAGAAAGGCTTGTAACACAGAAGAGTGCCTTAGATGTCCTGCTTGATGCCAGAGAGAGAGAAAACCTGGCAGAGGTCTGCCTGTGTATATGTTATAAATATATCATTTCACTGAGATTTTTCCTGGAAAGAAAAAGTGTAGCTCTGTTTTTGTTGCAGTTTAGATTGACATTTTCAGTTGTTTTACTTGAATTTAAGCTGTAAATCTGAGTGGGTTTTTATTTTTATTCTAGACATTCTGCATGTTTCAGTGTATTCTGGTCTGAGTTTGTTGTTTCTTTTCCAGAGTGTGAGGTTGTAAGTGCTCAGAGAAATAACAGCATTGCATGCTTGAGTGCTCGATCCCTGCTGCAGACTAACTTCTGTGCTTGTTTTCATTCTACAGGCTTTGAGACTCCGGCGAACATTTAACTGGACAAAATGTGCTATCTCTGTTGGAAAATGTCCTGAAAAACAAACAGACTAACACACAATATGATGTCCTCCTGTGCTTTTTAGCACCATGGCAACAAATTGGCAAACAGCATGTTTACAGCAAACTCGATATTTACAGTGGTTTGATTTAGGAGAGTTTATTCTGAAGCAAACTTCGCACGTTACCTCTGTGTGCTCGAATTCTTGCTCCCTTCCTTTCCTTCCTTTCATTTTCATTATGTGAAAACTATTTTACACCTTTGATGTTTGTGTCTACATGAATGTTTTAGTGAGAATAGATTTGCGCAACACGAAATTTAAAGATATAAAGTTTTTTTTTCTAATTTTTCTAATTTCTCTTTTTTTTTCTAATGTCAGTCTTTATTGGAGAAACAGAAGGAGTTTACAGACAAGTTGGCGGACGTGTGTGATAATCTCACGCTGACTGAGAACCGCCTGATTGGCCATAAGCAACAGGCTGAAAATGCTGAGAGCATTACAGACCTGCAGCAGTACCAGCAGGAGCATCAGGTTTGTCATAACTTCACTTGGTTTGCCCTACAAAAAAATATATTATGCTTCATTCATCAGTTAAAAAAACGTTCTGTTTCTTCACAAGGCTCTCCAAAAAGACGTGTTGACAAACGCCAGTGCCTTAAATGATGTGATCAGCAGTACTAATACATTTCTCGTGGAAAACCGAAGCAAGATGACACCAGATCAAATTGCCGCTATTGAAAGCAAGCTGGAAGAGGCTAAAAGCAAAGCCAAGGTCATCAACCAGCGAGCCGAGGACTCCAGAAAAGATTTGGAGAAAGCTGTCACGACAGCCATACAGCAGGAGAGCGAAAAGGTTTGGCTTCCTTCCATGTGTGCTTTCTGTAAAAACTCTGTTTCCTGAGAATTTGAATTGTAATGTTAGAGTGAAATCAGCATTGTTAATGTGTGGTCTGTCGGCACAGGCAGCAGCTGTCGAACAGCTTGAGGAGAGTAAGAGCAAAATTGAAGGTCTTCTGGACTGGATTTCCAATGTAGGAAATAAAAACAAGAGCAGCCTGGATCAAACAGACCATGTAAGTCAGGAAAATGGAAACCTGCCAGAGGAACCTTCAGCTAAGGGACTGATAACAGACGATGATAATGCCAACGGAAACGCTTTGCAGGCCACTGAAAAGGATTTTGGCAGAGAGACCAGTGGCGAGGACAATGAATCCCCGAATCTTGATAAGCAGTACCAAGGGCTCAAGGTATAGTTAGTTTGTTGGAGTTTATTTATTTATTTTCAATAGTGATTCATACCATTTTTCCTAACAGCTCACAATATTAAGATTACTAGACTGAAAACATGAAGCTGTCTTAATAACTGAAATATAACGTGTATTAAAGAGATGGTGGAGACAAGAAATGCCTCTGAGTGTTTTCAAAACATTAAAAAATAGATAAGACTACACTTAAGGTCTCAAATATGTCTAAAATATCTTATGGCATACTAATAACATGTTTTGCTATAATTGTGACCACAGGCCCATCACCAGGAGATTCTGTCCCAGCAGCAGGATCTGATCATGGCCACCCAGTCAGCTCAGGCTATGCTTGACAAGCAAGCCAACGTGCTGTCTCCACAGGAGAAGGAGGCTTTGCAGAAGAACATCCAAGAGCTAAAGGAGCGCTATGAGACGTCCCTGACTCAGGCTGAGCAGCAGATGAAGCAGGTGCAGTGTGTCCAGGAGGAGCTGAAGAAGTTCCAGGACGACTGTGAGGAGTTTGAAAACTGGTTAAACCAGACTGAAGAAGAGATTTTGGAACTGGGAGCACCTGCAAGCTCCCTTAATATCCTCAGTGATAACCTTCAGCGACAGAAAAGCTTCTCGGAGGATGTGATTTCCCACAAAGGGGACCTTCGCTTCATCACTATTTCGGGACAGAAAGTGCTGGACGTGGCTAAGGCATTTGGATCAGCTGACCCGGCAGCTAAGAATCCGCTGCTGCATGTGGATACTTCAGGGACCTGTTCTGCTGTCAAGGATAAACTAGATTCAGCAGCCAGTCGATATAAAACACTACACTCACAGGTATTTAGTATGCAGCTGATCAGAATGGGCGTAATGGGTTATTTTTCCCACTGTGTGGCAGCATCTGTCCTAATAAAAAATAAACACCAAAAAAAGTTTTAAATGGCAAATTAATTTTTATTTAAATGTATATAAGGTTAAGGTTAAAGTTGATGTAGTTTAACATGAAGCTGATTTGCTGCACAGAAAGTTTAGAGCTGTCCTAGTTGGAATTACAGTGGAATAAATAACAGAAAACATTGATTGAAATTAGATTTGAAAATATTATTTTAAAATATAAGTAAAACTGCAGCACCTCTTTTAGTTAACTTTACTGTGAAAATGGCTTTTTGAGATCGAGATCTTATGGTCAGTTATTTTTGCTATTATTCTTTTATTTAAACAACCAAAGTGAATCTATTTTTCTTTTGTCACAGTGCAATCTGCTTGGCAACAACCTCAAAGACGTGGTTGACAAGTACAAAAAGTATGACGACTCAAACACCGGTCTTTTGAAGTGGCTCAACAGCTCAGAGGAGGAGGCGAGAAAGCAGCAATCAGAGGCCATAGCAGCTGACCCTCAAACGCTACAGAAACAGCTGGAGGACACCAAGGCAAGAACCGCAGCAAAAAGCTGAACTAATTAGGCCTAAGAGTTTAAAGTCAAGTCAAGAATGTTGTGTTGAAAAGCCGGGATTTGTTTCAACCCTGTGGTATTTTTTTCGTTAATCTCATTGTTATCCCTTGTTATCGAGGCCAAAGAGAATTCATGTGAAAAGATACTTTTAGACATTTTTTAATGTTATTTTTTGTGTTATTTATCCTCATTATAGCTTTCATCAACTCGGCGTCAACTCTAAAGGTTAGGCGCAATCCAAGCACAGACAGAAGGAACAGCCTTGTTTAGATGTGACAGTTATAGGGGTTATAAGGGCAATAGACCTTGCCTTGCCATATACAGTGTTTCCACTGACTTAAGTGCAACAAAGTTATTTTTAGCTTTGCGTTTAAACTCAAACCCACATGTGAATAGTTTAACTTTGGTCATTTGTAGTGCGCATACTCCTACGAGAAGATAACGAACTGGGCTGACAGAGCTGTCTCTGTCAAGGCTTTGGCTGCAGCTAGTTTCAACATTTCTCTGTAGCGAGGTAGTGACTTACAGGATAAATATGCACAGATAAGAGCTGCCTGCGAGCCAACCAAGAAACACAGTACTTTGGGCTTGGACTTGAAATCACTGCAGAAATTCTAAGCACTTCTCTAAGAGTAATTGTGAAGTCACATAGGTGGATTCAACTAACCAATATTAAACCCAGGCACGATCGCTCTGAGGTTATTATCATCAAGTACGCTATATAAAAAGAGTAGATTTTGTAGAAACAGAGCATGTATTTATGAGGATTGTTTTTTTTTTTTTACCTTTCTTGTCACTATTTATTAATCTCCAGGTTTTACAAGGTCAGATGATGGGGCACCAGACTGCTATTGATTCTTTACGTAAAACAGCTGAGTCTTTAATAACATCTGAAGGTGACCTGCTGAGCAATCCAGATGAGATCCAGGAGACAGTAGGTGAGAAAAATAAAAGTCAGCTGCACAGCATGATCTGTGTACCTAATGGCTCAATTTCCCAGACAGACATTAAGCCTAGTGTCCTAGACTATAAACTTTTTTAATGAAAGTCTGCACTACTTGTTCTTTTAGTCTGGGCCTAATCCATGGTCTGGAAAAGCTACTCAGGGCTGAAGGGACACCAAAATTCCTGCTGTTCAGATTTAGACCTTTTAAATAAGTAACTTGAAAGGCAGCAGACAGTTAAATAATTTGGAAGTAGTTTTGGAAAATTTTACATATTTTAAACTGCCCTGTGAAATACTAATCGAGCACTGTGTTAATGTAAAAAAGAAAGCCATGATTTATCAAGCTAGGTTGGTGTCAACATACCACAAAGAGTTCACCATTACTTTACTACAACAGAAAAATGTTATCAGTGTGATTCATGGCTTTTGAATCATTTGTGTTCATTTTCCCCCAGTTATTGGTTTCTTGGCATGTACTTAAAATGCTGTTACCTCAACCAAAAAGCTAATGGATGTCCTTTGCCAACATTATAGCCTAAACAAACTCATAAAAGCCAAATATGTTTCTACCTTAGTTTGAAATGTTTACCTTATGGTGTGTTGTCAAAGGAGCTTGCAAAGAAAAGCGTCTGGACTTCTTTAAGTGGTGTGTTCCAGACAGCGAGACATGATCCTGTTTTAAGCAGAACCTGATTTGTTTTCGTGCGTTTTAGATGACATAGTGGAGCGTTACGACAACCTTTCCAAGTCTGTAAGCGATCGAAATGAGAAGCTGCAGATCACCCTGACTCGCTCTATGAGTGTTCAGGATGGCTTGGATGAGATGATGGGATGGATGGAGGGAGTTGAGGCCAGTGTGGAAGAAAAAGGGCAAATAACCTTGGACTCTGCATCTCTTGGAGGCATCCTGAGCAAAGAAGCAGTATGTGGTTTTTTTGGTCAACATTTCAGCGCTCTAATAATGCTAAAATTTCGTACCAGCTTCATATTTATTTTAATAATCTAATAAAACTTTACTGTTTTCAATCTTTTTTTTTGTGTTTAAGGCTTTAGAGCAGGACATAGCAAGTCGCCAGAGCAGCATCTCAGCCATGAAAGCCAAGGTGAAGAAGTTTGTGGAGACGGCTGATCCCTCTGCTGCCGCGCTTCTGCAGTCTAAGATGGACTCTCTCTCCCAGCGCTTCTCTGATGCGTGTGATCAGCACAGGCAAAAAATTGCTACTCTGGAGAAGCTGAAAGAAAAGGTAGAGCAGTTTGAGAATGTAGCCGAAAAAGTCCAGCAGTTTGTTTTGAAGCGCTCACAGGACCTGCACGAAACAGACGGCCCGGGGAAAACTTTCAATGAACTGTCTCAGCTAATGCAGGTGCGTTTAAAAATTTTGACTATTTTCTCACTAATCTAATTTCATCATGCACAGATTAGCTGACAGATGATATTTTTCTGCAGAACACCAAAGCTGAGATGGCTGAATATGCTGGTGATTTGGAGAAGCTGCAGACTTTGTCCAAGGAACTGTCTGAAATAAGCCCTGATGGAAACAAAGCCCAAATTCAGAGCAAGCTGGACAATCTCTCAAATGTTTTCAGCACCTTTAAAGACACCATCAAAGAAAAGTAAGTCTGGAAGAACAGGGTTTTGCTATTTTTAACTCTTAATTTTGAGTTCTTTTTATTAACTTTAACATTTGTGCATTGTTTGTAATATTCAAATGGATGCAAACTCTGACTGATTCCTCACGCCTGCTTGCAGGGAAGAGGAACTGTCATCTTGTCAGGACCAGCTGGGAGAGTTCAGATCTGCAGCTAGCGCTCTCACTAAGTGGCTGGAGGAGGCTAATGACAAAGTACCTGCAGATCAGCCAAGCAGCAGTGAGAAAACTCTGGAGAGCGACCTGCAGATAGTCACCGTGAGTCATGAGATAAATACAAAGTATATTTTAGAGAGAGTGTTATTTTTATATGTGTTTTATCTTACTGCAGTTAAGGTGCTGGAACAGAAGTCACTGCTGTTTACACACTGACACAGCAGTTTGGAATTCATGGGTTTTGCAATAGGTAGTCACTACGTTTTAGTAGATTATAGTCCGAGTCTCCTTAAAGTCCAAACTACCCAAATGTGCTTACTCTGCCTGCTAATGACAGCTAAATAGTTGGTATCTATACAGGACATATCTAAGAGTGAAACAGTGCGCTGTCCAGCAGAGAGACTGTTTTCTTCACAGAAAAGATAAAAAGATCTGTCTGTCTGTCTATCTACCCATCTATCTATCTATCTATCTTCTAAATGACATATAATGAATGTTTTATCAGGGATTACTAAATGAATGGACATCCAAAGGCCCCGTTGTCCAAGACCTGAACACTAAAGGATCGACGCTGTGCAACTTGATTACTTTCCTCACATCACCTGCCAAGACAAAGACTCCCAACAAGTCGGGTAAACATCAGCACACATAGACTCGTGTATATGAGTCATAAAACTGAATCAGATGGGTAGTGTTTGGGTTGTCTTCTGAGTGTTGTTTAATTACTAACTGTTAAAGATCATTGAAGGATCTGGTGCCATGAGTTCTGGTCCATCTGCTTGTTCCTAACATAAGCTTTGTTTCATGTCTTTGCATCAGCTCTTACTAATGGTGATGGTCCAGCAAGCCATACCTACCTAACCAACAAAGGTAATGAAGTGTGTATGTGGGTGCTGCTTTGTCATCAGAGTGTATGTGGTCCATGCTGCGTAAATAACCTCTAAGTATCTTCAGATTACAACTATTAGTTAAAGAAAAAAGACAATAAGAAATGTCCTCATATTCTGAATACACTGTCCTATACCATATAGCATGTTGCTAATGTATTACTATTATTAATATCTCATGCTGACTATAAATGTCTGGAAAAAATACAATTATAACAGTGAGATTATTTTTCATATCCTCAGAGCTGATGGTTATTCAGCAGAACATGTCTTCCATCAATGTGGGGTACACGGACCTCGGAGAAACGCTGAAGAATCGCTCAGCACAGCTGAGTAGTTTGTTGCAGAAGGTGAAAGAGGCCCAGAAGGAGACAGATGACATGATGCTGTGGCTGAAGGACATGAAAAAGACCGCACAGTCCTGGAACAGTGCAGCCACAGAGAAAGACTCGGTGAAAACACAGCTTGAACAGCAGAAGGTACAAAAAGTGTTGCTGCTCTCCACGTGGAGTGTTAGATTTAATTATATAACAAAACTGCAGGTGGTTCTCACTGTGAATACGATAGCCATTGGACAATCTTAAAAGAAATCATTAGGTATTTATGATTTGTTTTGCTCTTTCAGGCATTTGAAGACAACATGAAGCAAAAACAAGAGGGGCTTCACAAGCTCAGAGAGAAGCTTCTCGACTTGATTAAGACTCATCCAAACTCACCCGAGGCAGCAAAATGGAAGCAGATGCTGGCAGAAATAGGTGTGGTCCGTGGTGTTGGCTTCAAATGGCCTCGTGTTGTTTATGTCTATGTGTCTATGTTGACTTCTAATGTTGCATTTAATAAATTCATTTATCAAAATGTGAGCCTACCTCAGTCCCTTCCCCCGGTACACTGGTTAAATTAACACATGTGTTGTGCCAGGTTGTGAATAGGTGGGAGGCTTGCTAGGAGAACAGTGGGACAGAGGACATAAAGGTGCTGTTGTGCTGACTAATGGACATTGGTGTGATTGTTCTGTCCTCCTGTTCAGATGCTGCCTGGGCAGACATCAGTGGCTCTGTTGAGGAGAGGAAGCAGCACCTGGAGCAGTCCAACAAGAATCTGGACATCTTCCAAACAACAGAGCAGCAGCTTGGTCAGTGGCTTTCAGAGAAGGAGCTTATGATGAGTGTCCTTGGACCCCTCTCCATAGACCCGAACATGCTTAAAATGCAGAAGCAACAAGTCCAGGTTAGAATGGCGCCTTTGACTCATTTTCACTGAGCATTTCCTGAGGATTTCTTAAGGTGTGCTCATCGTCATCTAATATTCTTTCTCTATCCCCCAGATCCTCCAGAATGAGTTTAAGAGCCGCAAACCTCAATATGAACAACTCGAGGAAGCTGCCTCCGCCATCCTAAGCTCATCAGGTGATCAGGACCCTTCGAGTGGGAAGCTGGTGAATGAGCAGCTTGCTGCAGTCACTCAGAAGTGGGCAGGCCTCACAGGACAGCTGGACCAGCGAGACAGCCTTATTGATCAGGCAGTGGTGAAAACCGGAAAGTTTCAGGAGTTACTGAGGAGCCTCAGTAACACTGCCACTCAGCTGGAGAGTCAGCTCACAAACCATCAGGGCCTCAGCACGCAACCTGATGCTGTGAAGAAGCAGTTGGAGGATGCCCAGAACATCTCGGCTCAGCTGCGAGAGGAGAAGAAGAAGCTGAAGGAGGCTGAGGCCATCAATGAAGAGCTCACAGCGATGGTGACTGAGGACTACCTCAAAGCAGACCTCGCAAGGCAGCTGGAGAGTGTTTGCAAGCCTTTTAAGCAGTTGGAAGAGAAAGCAGGTTAGTGTCCTGAAAATTAAAAACTGTTTGGTTATATTGTATAAAACTCACTTTATCGCTGGTGTTGATCAACTTACTGAATATGTTTTCCATATTCCTCTGTTCCAGCAAAAAGAATTGAACAGTTAAACTCCACCTTTGCCAGTTCTCAGCAGTTTCATCAGACTTCCAGAGATTTACAGTCATGGCTGGGTGAGAAGCTCCAGGACCAATCGAAGCCCAAACCCATCTCTGCCAAAGTGGAGGTTCTGCAACAAACTGTGGAGGAGCACAGTAAACTCCAGAAGGCTCTCGGTGAACATGAGAAAGCTTTTAATACAATCATTGGAGAGGGAGAGATGCTTCTGCACAACATTGATGGTGCAGAGAAGTTAGCACTACAAGGTCAGCTTACTACCCTCTCATCCAACTGGGAAGAAGTGAAGAAGAGCTCCGCAGAGCAGGCTGACAAACTCCAAACTGCTCTGATGAGATCACTGAAGTATCAGGAGCATGCGGAGAAGCTTAACTCTTGGATTCAGGAGTGTGAGGCTAGCGAGGGCCGAGTCAAGCTCACCGTTGATCCTGCTGCTGTGGAGACTTCCATTTCTCAGTTGAAAGCTCTCCAGAAGGATGTTGATAAGCACAGAGGGTTGGTGGAGCAGCTCAACGCAGCTGCAGATAGCCTTCTTGAGGTGGCCAACACAGACACTGATGCTATAAAAGAAGAGAAGGCTAGCACTGGCAAAAGAGTAGACAATATAGTGGAAAGTCTGCAGAGCAAAAGGGAATCTTCAGAGAAGATCTCGCACACAGTAAAGGAATTTAATGATGCGTGCAAAGAGGCAAAGACTCAGCTTGAGGGAGCTAAGAAGCAAGTGGATGCCTATGAAACACAGGGAGTTCAGGCACACAGCAACAAGAGCCTAACCAACATGAAAGCCCAACACAAGAGTTTAGAGGCTGTGCAGAATCAAGTAGAGCACATGAAGGCCTTGGCCAAGGACCTTGTGGTGGATGTCCCTGATGCTGAAGGAGTGACAGACCTCTTACTACAGGCAGACAGCATAGAAAAGGACTACAGCAACCTTAATAAGAAACTGGAGGAGACATGTCAAGCATTGGAGGGTAAACTGCAGGGTATCGGACAGTTTCAAAACAACATCCGCGAGATGTTTGCACAGTTCACAGAGCTGGATGATGAGCTAGACAGCATGTCCCCAGTGGATCTCAATTTGGACACTCTTAAAGAACAGCAGGACAGCATTCAGAGTTTTGTGGCTAAGCTGCGAGAGCTCATGGCTAACACAGCCAATGCTGGAGACAGCTGTAAGAAGATGTTAGAGTCTGAACCCTCACCTGACCTTCTGGGCCTGAAGAGAGATCTGGATGCTCTGAGTAAGCAGTGTGGCAAACTGTTAGACAGAGCCAAAGGAAGAGAGGTCCAGGTGCAGAGTACTCTTACAAAGCTAGAGGAGCTGTATGGTAAACTCAATCAAATGGAAGATAAACTCTGCAGAGCTGTGGACAAGGAGGCGTCCCAGGAGCCGGTCAGCATGGAGACAGAAGTGATCAACCAGCAGCTGGAGGCTTTTAAGGTATGTTTGTCCTGATCTGAGGCTTTATTTTCAGTTTTTTTGCCTGATAATATGGCATTTTTTAACACATTAAACCACAGTATATCTGCACCTTTTTGGTTTGTGATTTCCGGGAATCAGTGTTGCTACAGTGGTAAAGCTGATGATCATTGTTCTAAGGAACTTTATACCTCATCATACATCTAGCTTATTTCAAAAGTCAGTAATTTCCTATGATCATAAAAAAAATTTTTGTGCCTTTCATTCACTTTTTACTTTTGGAAAAGCAGTAGACATTTGATATCTTATCATGTGTGCTGTGTTTTTGTCAGTTTCTACTCTAACGATTTTGTTTCGGATGTAAGCCCTCCAAAATAAAGTTAAAGCTTAATATTTTCAAACTAATTTCTAGCAACACTGAATATAATATAATAAATTCCACAATATCTATAACAATATATATAATATATCTGATATTCCTGCTAAAATTACATTTTAAGCATTAAAGTAAAAATTTTCATTTTACAATAGTGGATTAAGTGCTTTACAAAAAAATGAGTTAAGAATGATCTATTTTTTTGCTGGAGGGTTTTTCCTGTAAAGGGGAGTTTTTTGTTTCCACTGTGCTTGCTCACAGAGGATTGTCTCATTGTGGTTTTCTTAGTTATTCTTAGGTCTTTACCTTACAGTATAGAGCACTTTGAGGGAACTGTAGTTGTGATCTACATAGATTTAATTGGAATCCTGCTTTAATTTTAAGCCTAAATCTGGATTCCGTTAGTTTAAAAAAAACAACAACAACTTTTAAAACCTACATATACATGCTGTCTACCCACAGAACCTCGCACAGGAGAAAATTATACCAGCACACTGAGCACACAATCCTCTGGGGACTCCTGGTTCATTTAGGGCATCTGGTGTCAACAAAAGAGCTAGGGCTCCATATGCAGTGATGGGGCAAAAGGGAAGGGCCGTCATAGCCAGGTGGCTGCCAGCAGGGTGTTGCTTGATTTTATGATGACGCTGAGCCTGCATCTTGCTCTCTTAACACAGATATAGTTGTTCCAAACCATTGCAACCTGATCATCTGCAGCTCTGAGCTCAAAGTCTATGTCTGTTATTTTGACCCCTGTTGGTAAAGACATTGCTGTCATTTTTAAAATCCCCTGAATAATATAGTATTTGTGCTCAGTTAAGTGTCCATTAAAAATGGTGAAGCACTTTTAAATCAATCAATAGCTTGATTATTTAAACTAGCTGCTATGTAATTACAGCCTATGCCAATGGACACTTTAAGTCTATAAATTCTTGATTTCATCTTTTGCCTGTAATTTTTGGATTCAGTGTGTAAAATTGATAGACTTAAGTGTATTGGAGCGTTATTGTAGGGCCTTTAAGCATATTGGCAGTTTTACAGACATAATGGTTTGTTTTCAAGTTAATCTAACTCTCACACATTGTTAACAAAATTATGGGTGCCTTTGCTGATATCACGTAGGGATCAAACATGGGTTAGCCAGTACTAAGGTTCACAGACGGATGCAAAATATTCTAAAAGCTCCTAAATTCCTGTAGATTCAAAAGCAGATTAACCTATATTTGCTGTAGAGGTGCAATGATGAAGGCCTTCTTTATTTATAGTATTAGTATTTACCAAAATCCCCCAAAACAATGTAAACAGCTGTGTATAGGCAAACCACACAGATCTGTCCTGTATGTAGGTCAAGGGATTGTTTTTTCTCAATTAATGGGGAGCTGCACTCGAACAGGGGAGCATCCAACCCCCACAAGGGATGCTTGTATTAAAATATCATTGGGGTAGCAAGGTCGGAGGTGCCTGCTTCTAGTGTGGAGTTTAGTTTAAAGAGCTTGCAGGGTAGCTATTAACAAAGTGATTGATTCAAGTTGTTGCTAAGCAGCATTGTCACGGTGATTCACCCCCCAAGTCTTTGTCTTATTGCCACTCTGCGTTTAGAGGGCATACACGGCCTCAGCTGTCAGCGGAAAATCCTCTTTACACTCATTTGTAACAATATCAGGGGGGGAACGGTCCAGGACAGCAAATCAGTGTTGGACCTGAAGTTGTTTCTTTATTTAGCAGCAGTCTGGATAATTGTGTCATCTTCTTTTTTATATCCAGTGAATCAGGCTATTTTTTGCTGTTGGTTAAGTGGACTTTATTGGCAGCTAGTGAGCAAGAAATAAACAGAAAGACAGCGTTTGGATTCCTTTCTTTCATGTGCTGTTACCATTTTAGGTCAAGTTTCGTATGAGACGTCTTCGACTTCATGTGTTTGCTGTTGTTTTCCCGTGAGTTGTGTAGGAGCTTGGAAGCCCTGTGTGTCTTTATGTGCACCCAAGGTCATGTTTTAGTGACTCAACTGTACGGGTGGGGGGCTGGTGTGGCAACTTTTTCTCACTGTTGAGACATTACATCAGTGTCTCTTGCAAGTCAAGACAAATGTCTACCTTCTGAATCACACTGTAGCTACTCCAGCTCATTGAAGGTGATGATAGTTGTAAAAAGTGTCACTGGAGCCACATTATTCATTATTCACAAAGTCATGAGAAATTATTATTAATGTGAAACATGAAACCCCTGTGGGCCAGCCGAGCGGTGTAATGGAGTTGTTATGTTGAGTTTTTACTCATTAAAGGTTTCTAGTGTTGGAGAGAGCAGACATAAAGTTTAGATGCAATAGGATTAAAAAAAAAAGACCCATGTAGTGTGAAAGCAGTGAGTTTGAGTGAAATGTTGTTTCAGACCATCTCAACCAAGAGTTGGGAGTTCGCCTTGTAATCGGAAGGTTGCCGGTTCGAGCCCTGGCTTTGACAGTCTCGGACGTTGTGTCTTTGGGCGAGACACTTCACCCGTTGCCTACTGGTGGTGGTCAGAAGGCCCGGTGACGCCAGTGTCCGGCAGCCTCGCCTCTGTCAGTGCGCCCCAGGGCAGCTGTGGCTACAATGTAGCTTGCCATCACCAGTGTGTGAATGTGTGTGTGAATGGGTGGATGACTGGTTGTGTAAAGCGCTTTGGGGTCCTTAGGGACTAGAAAAAGCGCTATACAAATACAGGCCATTTACCATTTACAGGCCAAAAGTAATAACTCGATAGAGACGAAAGCAAAGCAAAGCATCACTGAGATTTGGTAATCCTTGTAAGAAGTGCACACACGCCCTCGAACACACACTACATGCACTCTAAATAACGTTTGCTCATCTTTGGTGATAATAAAAGAGCTTTACTCAATTTAAAAAACAAACAAACCACCTCTTCAACCTTTAGTGCCCTCTACTTTTGGTCTTTAGAACTTAAATAAAATGTAGTGTTCACAATTTATGAAAAGTTTGCCAGGTTGTAAAGCTACATGTAACTTACAAAGAGTGACAAAGAGACCTGTAGCAGCTGAAAAGGAAAAATAATTGGTATTCATATATTCAAATTTGTCCCAGCTTCACACACGCTTGCTTTAAAATTTTGCTTTTTTATCCCTAACATCTTCCTCTTTCCGTCTCTGCTCAAGCGTGCAGAACTGGAAACCGTGGTTTGGGTTGTTGAAATTCACGCAGAGCTGCTGCGGTGCTGACAATGCAGGAAACAGATACAAACTCTTTTCATTATCTCCTCTCTATCCTGCATTCTTCTCCTACCCCCGGTCAGTGGACATTAAAAAGTCGCGTCATGCACTTGGCAGAGCCGTCGGTGTTAAATTACCTGGGACCTGTGCCTCCCTCAGCATTCCACTGTAATTAAGAATATCTGTGGGGTCCACAGCAACCGTCCACGAGAAGAAAGCAGAGGGCAAAGCGAGAAAAGACGAAAAAAAAAGTGTGTGTGTTTCAGCGTAGTGTGATGTCATCACAGTGAGGGCTGGTGCGTACTGCTTCCCCTTCTCATTTCCTCAGTCACTGAAGGAAAAAAAGGGAAAAGTGAGAGTATGTGTCATGATGCAAACATGGGTTAGAAGTGAAGTCATATGAGCCGTGCGGACATAAGGGGGAATTAAACAGGGGGGAAAAAAGGGTCATATGCCCACCAATCAACATGGGCCGGAGCGGCTCAGAGCACAAAAGGAGTTGTGGCAGATGTTGTCTGAATAATGAGCGGGGGCGGGGCATGAAACCCTCTGCCAGCAGAGTGTCTGTCAGTGCGAGGGGAGCGATGGGAGAGGAAGGGCAGGCTTTTTTGTTTATCCAGGAGTACTAGCTCTCCTCAGAACTGCCTACAGTTTTTAGTGGAGCCTGCTGGATTTGTTTCTGGATATTTTCACTTTGCACTGAGGATTTTCCTGAAGTTTACGTGGATGTTGTAAGGATTTCAGGAAAAAGGAAGCACTTTCTACCAGAGGAATAGTAATTATGTATTTGGCAATACTTGGAGAAGAGCCCAGAGGAATATATTTTTGGAATAGGTGACTTTATTGAAAGACTGAACTTTCATTCCTTTTATGGAATATAAAGTTGTTTTACAGTCCGAGCATTTTTGGGAGATATTGTTTGAATATTTTTGTATATCCAAAGCCTTTTGTTTTGAAGTTTGATCATCTTAATTGTGGCTGAATTTGTAATTTGAGAGAATATTTTATTTAAAAAATAGTTGAAATGTTTTATATTCAGTTGTTAGCTTCTCATTTAAGACAGGACAAACAGTGTTATTTTGCACACGGTTACTTTGACCACATGTTGGCTTCTTTTTAAACTACTCAGCATACACTAAATTTATACCTCAAAGGATTTCAATACCTCCTTTATATTTTTTTGTTGTTGTAAGCTGTGACAATTGTTTTAGTATGGGCAAGCCTCTGAGCAGACCAGATTGCCTCAGACAAAACCCTTCCTGTGTTGGGAAGGGGGAGGAGGAGGATATGAACATTGATGACTGCTATGTGCCCCAGAGATCCATTTATGACACCGTCCGGCTCAATGAGCAAATAGACTCGGGCTCTAAAGGTAGTCTTTCTTCCCGTCACTTCACAGGCAACCTCCCTTACACCCATCGCACGTTAGACCTCAGTAGCCTGTGTGGAAATGGAGCTCTCACTCCTTCTAGCTCATTTGAGATCCAAACCAGAAAACCTGTCACGCTAGATGAGCGTGCCATCTTTGATGGACTTAAGCTGAATGGGGACATTATTAGGGTGAACGACACAGTAATGTCGAAGTCACGTCTGCAGGGAGGAGAGAAAAAGGACCATGGCGGTCATCATCGGCGGTCATGGCGGACTTTTGCCCCCACTAATTTGGGCGAATATGCAAGCCGCAGTGGAACAGTGAGTTCTGGTAGTGCGGAGAGGCCTGGCCTGATCAATGGCAAAAGAGGACAGAGTAGGACCAGCTCACTGACATCTGAAGAGGACTCGGGTTTGTACAGCCCTACTGTGGAGAGGGAGCGACATGGTCGTAGATCCCACATAAGAACAGGCCCCGGTACAAGAAGCTTCTCATCTTCCGAGGCAATGCATGTGTCTGGGGACCTGAAAACAGGGCGATCGCTCAGCTCAGGGCAGGAGGACTTTCCTTTCTCGCCTGTGAGGGACAACCAATCTCTTTACCACAGTAGCAGCTTGGTTCAGGGGACAGAATCCTGTGGGATCAAGGTTAATGAAAGGGATAACCTAAGCAATGGAGATTATAAATCTTCCACAGGGAGGTCATCTTCAGGGTCAGCCTCCAGAGCTCAAAATGACACCTCTGGATGGCGTTCCAGGACTTTAACAGACTATGATGAGCTATCCACTGCTGAACTGTTAGAGGATGTGTCATCTCAGGATGACTGTGAGTTGGTTAGTGTGGTAGTGACACAGCCTGAGACTTACGGAAACTCTGTAACTCTACCCACGGAGAGCTGCCAGCAAACACAACCCGGTACTGTACAACAAGGGGCATCCAAATACAGCATGGAGGAGCTGGAGGAGTTTCTGCAGTCACTGGAAGCCTGTCTGCCTAAAAGTATACAGACATTCCAGCACGCAGGGGAGCAAGAGATCGAGGCTTTACTGAATGCCATTGCTGCGTGCCCTGAAATGGACCCTATGGGCTTATTGACCCCACAGGTGGCCAAAAATAGTTTCTCCCTCCATTTCTGAACTTTTGACCACTATTATGCATCTCTTTAGATACGTTTTTCATGGATGATGGATTGGTGTTTGTCTTACATATCTGATTACACGATGGGTGAATGAGGTTTTTCTCAGCAGCCAGACTGGAAGTCTGTCTGCGTGATTGTGTACAGCTGGGATTTAACCATTAACCAAGCTGATGACTACTTAACTGGTTAAACAGTTGAATGTGTTAGCTGGATTTTTAAAAGTTAACCTAAAGTGTCGATGTGGCGATTGTAGTCTCTGGACATGAATAATGAAATAACTTCCTGGGATTATGCACTGAATTTATGAATTTTTATGTGTGTCTTTTTTTAGCTGTTTTTGAACTAACTTATAAAACAGGACATTATTGTAATTCACCTTCTCAAATTCCAGATTTGTTGAATGAATTCATGGAAATATCTGTTCTTTCCATACACATAATGCAAGTTTAATTGGATTTGTATAAATGTGATTTTTCAAGGCCACAGGAAATAATGTCCTGAAGATTAATGACATTGTATTTTGAGCAATTCTAAAATATTCATTATGATTTGTTCCATGTCTATTTAGGCTTTTCAGAAAGAGGACATTGATCCACTGCAGAACCAGCTTCAAGACATCAATTCCCTCGGGCAGGGTCTGATCCAGAATGCTGCTAAAGGCACTAGCACTAAGAAACTCGAGGACGACCTGGAAGGTGTCAACTCTAAGTGGAATACCCTCAACAAAAAGGTTACGTGTGTTTGTGGGTTTTTTTTCCATTGTGAAAATAAAAAGACTTGACCTTGGCCCTTAAAACAGGTGACATCTATATTTACCATTTGGTCTGCAGATTGCTGAGCGTTCAGCCCAGCTGCACGAAGCCCTCTTGCACTGTGGCCAGTTCCAGGATGCTCTGGAGTCCCTACTCAGCTGGTTGACTGACACGGAGGAGCTCGTGGCCAATCAAAAACCTCCGTCTGCTGAGTTTAAAGTGGTGAAGGCACAGATACAAGAGCAGAAGGTAAGCCAGTGGTGCAATCACAGATTCACACAAAGAGAAAACACAGTGAAGTCTGTTTTAATGTTAGCACTTCAATACTTCATGTTTGCTTAACATTGGCCCCGCCATTAATTTTATTTAATTGGCATTAATTGTTAAAAACAAGTGTGGTACACAAAGCTTTGTGTTTAAAGAGCACTTCTTTTTTGTTGGGTAAATTTACTGGGGGGTTTTTTTTTTTCAAAATAAAGCAATGAAAAGGCACCCAATGACTCTTTCTTTGTTTGCCTTTGACAGCTCTTACAGAGACTGCTGGACGACCGAAAGCCGACAGTGGAGCTGATAAAAAAGGAGGGAGGGAAGGTTGCTGAACTGGCAGAGTCTGTGGATAAGGAGAAAGTGGCAAAAGAGATTGAATGCCTGGGACAGAGGTGGGACACGCTTCTCAAGAAGGCTGAAAACAGGTTAGTATAAACACTGCAATGTAAAACCATAGACTGCATATAAAAGATGGGTGGATCCTCAATATTTAAAAGCGAAGGTGCATTCTTTCTAATGACCAGTAGGAGTAAGTCTGTTGGTTGGTATGATTTCAATCTCCAGGCATAAACAACTAGAGAGCATCTTAGTGGTGACTCAGCAGTTCCATGAGACTCTGGAGCCGCTGAGCGAGTGGCTGTCAGCCACAGAGAAACACCTCGCCAACTCTGAGCCAATAGGCACTGAGACTTCTAAGCTGGAAGATCAGATATCTCAGCACAAGGTAATATCCATCGTTTTTCATCATTTCCATTTGTTTTCATGCTTTTTTTAAACTATCAGTTAAGTTCACTTCAGTTTTATTCATTTTGCTTGTTACTTGTAAGTTTGCGCTTCTCATTATTTCCCATTCATCTTTCTAAATTTCAGTTGAATATTTTTTATCACGTGTTTGTTTTTTGTTTGTCATGTTTTCTTGGTCCATTTCCCATCCCCTGCCGCCAGGCATTAGAGGAGGAGATTATGAATCACAGTAAAGACCTGTTTCAGGCTGTCAATCTTGGCCAAATGCTCAAAACTGTGAGCTCAGTGGACGATAAGGAGTTTGTTCAGTCTAAACTGGACACCACTCAGGCCAGTTACATAGAGCTCCAGGAGCGATGCAGGAGGAAAGCTGAAATGCTTCAGCAAGCTTTGGCAAATGCCCAGCTGTTTGGAGAGGATGAAGTGGCTCTCATGAACTGGCTCAACGAGATACACACAAGGCTGAGTGAAGTGTCGGTGGAAGACTACAGACTAGAGGTTCTTGAAAAGCAGCTGGCAGACCAACGGGTATACACTCCTCCTCAGGCCACACATTTTGTAGCTCTTTCATTTAAGTTGCATCAATCATGTTTCAGTTTATTTTGCTCTTTTGTGTGTCACCATAGGAACATTTCTTGTTACTCTCAGTGACTCTCTGAAGTCTGTTTTTTTTTTTCTTTTCAGGCACTGCAAAGTGATATTGGCTTAAGGAAGAAGAATGTTGACCAAGCCATCTCCAATGGGGTAGAGCTACTGAAGCAAACAACAGGCACGTCTTCATTTATCAGTGTAGCAAACAGTTCTGTCTCTGTACTACTCATGATAAGGTTTATTGCCCTTTTTATTGAGCAGTGACGTTTTGCATGAATTACGTTGTTTTCACATCTATGAACTTCTGCAGAGAAATAGATTTCTAATTTTTCAATGATGGTGAGATAACACCTGTCTGTCCAATGGGATTTATATTTGTTTATTGCCAACAGCCAGTTAGCTTAGCTTAGCATAACAGAAATGCTTAAAACACAGTAGCTGCTAGCCACCATCTATTTAATATAAATCTCCATATAAGTATATATTTTGTAGCAAAAAGAGAGCCCTGGTTGTGCAAATAAGCACGCTTTGTTACTTTTGGACAGGGGCAGGTGAACTTAAGGTTATGGATAAAACCCCTGTTCTCTGATTTGCATAGTACAGGACAAATACAATTTAAAAAAAAACTCCTTCTATGTTTGCAGCCTTTGTGATCAGCTTAGCTAACCTTCAGCTAGATGTATGTTGCTATAAATTTAATATGCAGATTGTAAATGACAACATTGTGTAGGATGCAGGCTTATTCTTTGCTGTTAACCTCATGAATTTTGGCCCGGAGTTCAGCTAGCAGGAAGTTGTTAGCATAAGGTATCTCTGTTTTAGAACAAAAGAAGCATATGACAGTGAACATTATTATTTACTTTATGTCTATAGGTGATGAGGTGATCGTTATCCAAGGCAAACTGGATGGAATAAAAACAAAATATGCTGAGATAAACTCTATGAGTGCCAGTGTTTTAAAGACACTGGAGCAGGTTTTGAGTCTGTCTTCTAAGCTGCAGCATACTCACACGGATCTGAGCTCATGGCTAGAGAAAGCAGAGGCTGAGATTAACAGCTTTGCTCATCAGGAGCCAGTCGGCGAGCAGCTGATTCATTCACAAAGCAGGCAGAAAGTAAGGATTTCTACAACTTTGTCCAAAACATTGTAATTGTATTCATACAATGCAGCAATGCATTTATTACTTATGAACTGGTGCTTTCTGTCCAGGCCATGTTGAAAGAGATCAAAGACCAAAAACCAGTGTTGGACCAGCTGAATGAGTTGAGCAGTTCACTCTTGGATTTAATCCCCTGGCACACTCGTGAGAGTTTGGACAAACTTGTGTCTGAGGATAATGAGAGGTACAGAGCTGCCTATGACACTTTGACCCAGAAGGTCGACCAGATCAATGCTGACATACTCAAGTCCCAACAGGTAAACCACATAACTTAACGCACTGCCTTTTATTCTCATTCGACTGTCTCTCTCTATTTTTTAAATGTATCTCTTGTTTTTTCTTGTTTCCAGTTTGAACAGGCCGCAGACAATGAACTCTCCTGGCTGACTGACGCTGAGGGGAAACTGCTATCGATGGGTGAGATCAGGCTGGAGCAGGACCAAACCACAGCTCAGCTCCAAGCACAGAAGGTTAGCCGTGTGTGTGTGTGTGCATGTCTGTGTGTGTGCGTACAGATCTCCATTTAAACAAATTAGAGTAAACACAGTGGTTTCTTTTGTTGACATACAGCCAAACTCACTCTACTGGTTTTACAGATTTTCTCCATGGACATCATGAGACACAAAGATGCTGTAGATGAGATTGTGAAAACAGGAAAGGCCATGATGACCAGCAAAAACCCAGAGGAGAAAGAACTCTTAAAGGTAAGAAAATATATTTCAAATTTCAGACATTTTTCAGTAAGAAAATGGACAGAAATTTCAAAATGATTCTTCTTGGGCTTCAATCAGGCCAAGACACAGACTCTCCTCGAGAAGTATGGTGTCGTCAGCCAGCTGAATTCAGAGCGTTGTCTGCAGCTTGAGCGAGCCCAGTCTCTTGCCACTCAGTTCTGGGAGACCTATGAGGAGCTGGGGCCATGGCTTCAGGAAACTTTAAACACCTTCAGCCAGTTACCCCCGCCTGCCATTGAGTACGACACGCTCAGGCAGCAACAAGAGGACCTCAGGGTAAGTGGTCAATGTGCGCTGATGCTCAACACAAAACATTTAATCACATAATTAAAAACTAAACTGATCATGTCACATCCTCTCTAGCAAATGCGGGAACTGATTGCAGAGCACAAGCCCCATATTGATAAGATGAATAAAACTGGTCCTCAGCTGCTTGAGCTCAGCCCAGTGGAGGGTGAGCCCATCAGAGAGAAATACACAGCTACTGACCAACTTTACACCAAACTGAAAGCTGATGTCAAGCAGAGAGCTGCCACTTTGGATGAAGCCATCTCCAAATCCACTCAGGTAAGCAGTAGCTGTTTATTAGGTTTGATTATTTGATAATATATGATTATTGGGAATAATTAAGTTGATCATAGTGATGTCTGGTGCAAATGGTGGTCATAGTTTGCAAATGTAAACATCAACATTACCTTGGCTGTTAATTGTCTATTCAGTTAGTTGAGTAGCTTTTACATTTTTGAATATGTGCAAATTTGTCAAAGTAAAAAATAATTATACAGACGTGTTCTTGTTTCAAGGTAACTTTCCATAATAAAAACCCATGATATAAATTATATATGCAAACTGACGTGTTTCCTTTCCTCCTTTTCCAGTTCCATGATAAAATTGATCCCATGCTCGAATCCCTGGAACGGATCGCTGAACGCCTCCATCAGCCTCCATCCATCTCAGTGGAGGTGGACAAGATCAGGGAGCAGATTACAGAAAATAAGACGGTCTCTGTGGATTTGGAGAAGCTGCAGCCATCTTATGAGACACTGAAGCAACGAGGTGAAGAGATGATCGCACGATCCGAAGGGGCAGACAAGGACCTGTCTGCCAAAGGTACGGTATAGATATGCTTTCAATCATTTTTTATCCATTTATTATTATTTATCAAACATCAAGCTTTTCTCCAGGTGCATGTAGCTTTTATGTATTTCCTTTTTCAGGATAAATAACGAATCAAGAAAAAGTCCAAGTTTCCCGCTGTAAATGTTGCTGTAAACGTGGAAAAACTTTCTTTGCCTCATTTTGTATTCCTCCTAATTGTGACTTTTTCTCTGTTCAAGCTGTGCAAGACAAACTGGACCGCATGGTTTTCCTGTGGAACGACATCCAGGCATTGGTGGAAGAGCGGGAGGCGAAGCTGCTGGATGTGATGGACCTCGCAGACAAGTTCTGGTGTGACCACACCGCCCTCATCGTCACCATTAAGGACAGCCACGACCTGCTGAGGGAGCTGGAGGAGCCCGGAGTCGATCCTTCAGTCGTCAAACAGCAACAGGAATTTGTGGAGGTAAATAAAAAAACCTATTACTTTTGATCATTAACAAATGGATAATTAAGAGAGGTGGTGCACTTTGATTATTAAATAATTAAAAAAACAATGCATCCATACAGGGATTTAAGGAGGAGATTGATGGGCTGCAGGAGGAACTCGATGGGGTTCAAAACCAGGGTGCGGAGCTCATGACTGCCTGCGGGGAACCCGATAAACCTGTGATAAAGAAGAGCTTGGATGAAGTAATAGACTACACTGAAAAGCACTCACTCTACAGGTTTTGCCTACAAGATAATCATGCTAAAATATTTGTGTTATTTTTTCAGGTGAATACAGCGTGGGAGAATCTCAATAAGATGTGGAAGGAGAGAGGAGAGAGACTGGAAGAAGCCATGCAAGCTGCTGTGCAGTTTCAAGATGGCCTGCAGGTGCTTTGATCACTGCCTCAAGAGCAACACAATCAGAAAATTAAAGGGTTTAGAATATTTAAAAAGTTTTGAAACAGCAGACCTTTTCCAAAACTTCCCAGTCACGGTTCTTGTGGTTTTTAACTTTATTTGATGTGATCTTTTGGAAGCCTAGGAGTAATGTCATCTTTAAGGGCTAAATACTTAATATCAAGCTACATAATATACAAGCACTTGTTCATCACAAGATGTTTGATATTTAACAGATACAGTGAGCCAGGGAGTTTCCGAGGCCTTTTGATGAAACCACATATTACCATGCAGTCGATCTAACAGATGATATAACATCTCATGAGAGCTCTACTGATTTTGAAACACCAGCCAGAGCATGGTCGTGATATATTTGGCTCAAACATTAACTAGTGTGTAAGAAAGTTTCACGGTGAGGAAGGATTCTTTTACACAAGTTTAAATCTCCTCTTTGCACTTCTTCAGCGCATTGGCATGTAACCTCAGGGCTTGTTTGGGGTTTTTTTTTTCATTTTCTTTGTGTATAATTTTCTAATTTATCAGCCAAACAGACCAACTGTAAGATTCAGGGCATAACTTGAAACTCAGTTTGAAACTTGACACCCTGTGCACCCAGCTTTGTTCTCTCACTAACAATGGTTTCCAACGCTGTATGCAGGGTATGTTTGACTGGGTGGATATTCTGGAGAGCAAGCTGGATTCAATGTCACCTGTGGGCACGGATCTGGAAACCGTCAAGCAGCAGATTGTGGAACTCAAGGTACAGTCTTGTAGATTTGTTTTTTTTTGTTTTTTTTAGATCAAAACATCATTCACAAAAACAGAAATATTATTATTGTTATAGCTCTTCTCAGACTTTTCAATTCTTTTAACTTGACTCCTTGATGTTAGAGCAGCTGTGTCAAACACCAGCTGTGTTTATGCTGAGTTCTCGATTCATGGTCTGCTTTGTGTTAGTTCAAAAGCACTAAGAAAATGGCTTCATAAAGTAGCCGGATTTACTTTGATGTACAATAAGACAAATCTTGTCCTGAAAACACAAAGCTGGTATTGTCTGTGCGTCCTTCTTTCTGTTGACTGATTGGGTGTACCGCTGCATGTGCTGGGTTGCCAGGAGTTCAAAGGAGAAGCGTACCAGCTACAGATTGAGATGGAGCGTCTGAACCACCAGGCCGGCCTCCTGCTGAAGAAGGTGACAGAGGAGGCTGACCGCTCCGCCATCCAGGAGCCGATGTCTGAACTCAAAATGCTTTGGGACAACCTGGATGAGAAGATCATCAGTCGGCAGGTCAGCGAGAGAAAGAAGCAGAAGGGGAGCTTCACACCGAAAGTGCAAGCTATATAAGAAAACAGAAATGCTGACACTGATATCTAAATTTAAAAGGAATGGCAATATCATGTTTAAACAAGGTCTGCAATCATTCTGTGAAATATATTGTATAGTACCTCTACAGCTTCTTGTGGGCTAGAAACCAGACTCAGCAATGGCTTAAACAGTTTGTTTTCTCTCCCTGCAAAATTAAATGGTTTAATCTGTCATTAATCCAGCACAAACTGGAGGGAGGCCTTCTCGCACTGGGGCAGTTCCAGCATGCACTGGATGAGCTGCTGGCCTGGATGAGCCACACTGAGGAGCTGCTCAATGAACAGAAAAATGCTGGAGGAGACCCCAAAGCCATCGAGATAGAGCTCGCCAAGCACAACGTATGACAAACCTCTTATCTTGTGGTTTTTTAGGGGGCTATTTTTCAAATAAGTCCTTTCAGTTCAGTTTAGTTCAATTTTATTTGTATAGCCCAGTATCGCATACAAAGATGTAAAACACTTCACAGGCATTAAAACCATATTAAGTAAACATTTATGGTATCTGTCAGTTTGCCGTTTATTACAGTAAATTAGTCATTATCCACTTTGTGCTTAATATCCATCTGCACAACATCTTGCCGTTCCTGCTGATTTATCTCTGCAGGTCCTCCAGATAGATGTGTTGGCTCACAAGTCAACAGTCGAGACAGTGAACAAAGCCGGCAATGATCTGGTGCAGTCCAGCGCTGGAGAGGAAGCTTCTAGCCTGCAGAGCAAACTGGAGAATCTGAACCAGCGATGGAAAGCCATCCTGGAAAAGACGGAGCAAAGGAAGCAACAGCTGGAAAGCTCTCTGCTTCAGGTATATTAAAAAAAGTTAACCTGTGTCTCATTTCTTGTTAAATTGTGAGAAAATAGTTTTTAGGTCGAAGTCAAAAAGCTCTGCAGGGAGGAGAGACTTCTCTCCCTACCCCCTTCTTATTATTCGATTTGCATCCTGAAAGCTAAAGTAAATCATTCTATTGTTTTCACTTTAAGGTTTTAATTCATTATGAAACAGGCTTATAAATACTGAGCTAAATGAATCCAAGGAATTAAAAACTCACACATCCTCCTCTCTGAATCACAGGTTGCTAATAGCGAGTGTGTGAGGCACCTTTTGTCCTGACTCAGGTTGAATTGTGTTGCAGGCTCAGGGTTTCCATGGTGAGATAGAAGACATGCAGCAGTGGCTGAAAGACACAGAACGTCAGCTGTTGGCATCAAAGGCTGTGGGAGGCTTACCAGACACGGCCCGGGAGCAGCTTAACGCCCATCTGGTATGTGTTTAACAATATGAGAGGCTGCATACAGATGGCAGACTTGGGAGGAGGTGACTCTGTCTTTTCTGTGTTTTATCTGAAGTGTGAAAATTAAACGACACTACAAAATACACTACTCTCATTGCCCTGCAGTCTGTGATAAAAAAAGACCTCTTTAAGTGTTTCAAATTGATTCATCCGTATCTGACTATAATGAATTTAGGAATGTTTTCCTGCTTTGTCTTCCTACTTTGTAATGGAGACACTTTCACAGTGAGCTCTCCCTTAAGAGGCAGCAGTGGTGACAGTTCAGGGAACTGAAACAGACAGATTACTTTCATCAAATTAGTAACATTATCCTGGTCAAATGTTTGTGAGAAACATGCTTCTGAGATGCTCGGCATGACTCACCATGCTCATTCTTTAACCATTTTTGGGTTACATTTGGACTAGCGACTGACAAATTCATCCCATTGAACACTGCAGAAATCCAAAAGTAACAATAGATCGGTCTTTAACTGTAATTCAGCCTGTTTGACAAAACCATCACTCTCCTCTGTGTTGTTGTTGTTTTTTTTCATCACAGGAGTTGTGTTCTGCCTTTGAGTCAAAAGAGGAGCTGTATCAGGAGCTCCAGAACAAGGGTCAGCAACTGCTAACGATGATGCCCGAGGGTCCAGACAGTAACACGGAGCAGGATCTCGCCAACCTGAAGGAAAAATGGGAAGCGGTGCAAGCGAAGGTCGCTGAAAGAAAGGTAGGGGAATGACTGAATGGCTTTCACTGCCCTTAGCTTGATGACTCAGGATTTCAGATTAAGGGATCGCTGACACACACTTGAGCCATGACTGTGTGGTTGAAAGCTTCTAATCCCAGTGCCGATAACCAATGGTGTAAAGACAGAGCGCTGGCGAGGACACACAGGATGCGGTTACACTGTAGATCAGAGTGGAACAACAGTGGTGTCATACGTTTCCACAGTGTAGGGTTGACAAAACATCAGCTAATATTTAAGCCAAATGTCATCATTCACTGTGGGGTTTTTTTTGTTTTGTTGCTAAAATGTATAAAACACCACCACTGCTCTCAGATATGGTTCTCCTTATTTTAGCTGCTTCAACTTTTACTGTAACATCTTGCTTTTGCATCCTATTTACTTTGGCCCTCTTCCCAGGAAATCAAAGTCTGGTAAATCTTAGCGCTGGTCAGAGCTGCTGGCCAAACTCTCTACAGCCTTCCCTGTGATACCTCTGCAGTCAAGTGGCTTATTTTTCTGTAGGACATATGCACTGCTACAATACAATTCCATATTTAGCAAGACACTCGACATGACCCACGATAAATGGGAAAAACACATCAGCAGCCGTAATTCTCACCAGGTTTGTAATGTCATTAGCACAGCATTTACTGCCATGTGATGACCCTGAGCCACCGGCCTCAGCTGTACCAAACGGATGTTTTTCAGTGATGGAGTGGCTGTTTCCTTTACTCAATTAAAACCTCATGATGCCTCAGCCATCAGTCCCCTCCAGATATATTAACTTCCTCTCTTTAAATAGAGGTCATGTTTGGCACTGTTGAAGTGCAATTGTATCCCCCGCAGTGCCCTCTTTATCTGTTGCTATAACAACCAGAGATACTTTACACCGCTAAACAATGCACATGTGTTATAAACAGGATAGCGCTCTTTGATTTTTGTCCAGTATTACTTCAGTTTTTTTTAACGTCTCGTCTCCACAGGTGAAACTAGAAGAAGCTTTGACTGTGGCTACAGATTTCCACAACTCCCTGCAAGATTTCATCAACTGGCTAACCCAAGCAGAGCAGACGCTGAACACAGTTTCGCCCGCTTCCCTCATACTGGAGACCATCATGTTTCAGATAGATGAGCATAAGGTACGTGTTTGCACGTGGAGGACAGGCCTTCTGGTCCAACTTTGCTTGATTACTAGACATTACTGCGGTAACGTCTAGTAGTCTTATTGAGTCGGTGAGAAATTAAAATTATTAGTACCATGATTACCGGTTCATGATTACCAGCTCATCATTCTGCTTTGTCTTAAAGCCAACAATGACTTAATGGCATCTGTATTATCCTTGAGAACAGAGCTCATTAGCACATTACCCACATGACTTACATTTCCTCTGCTGTCAGTTGAAAAACCTTTATTCCTTTTTTATTGTTAGAACATCTGGCCTGAATCCTTTCCCTTTTCTCCCTCGCATTGTGTCTGTGCAGATGTTTGTGACGGAGGTAAACTCCCACAGAGAACACATTATTGAACTGGACAAGACGGGCACACATCTGAAGTACTTCAGCCAGAAACAGGATGTGGTCCTGATAAAGAACCTGCTGCTCAGCGTGCAAGGGCGCTGGGAGAAGCTGGTGCAGAGGTCTGTTGAGCGGGGTCGTCTACTGGACGACGCCAGGAAGAGGGCGAAGCAGGTACTGTTCTGTGAATATTTATGCTGAGTTTGAACAGGCATGACATCAGGACTTTTTATTATCATTGGAAAGCTCTGGAAATAGGATATTAAACCTGTTTCTTATTCTTTCTGCAGCCTATTACAGAACTTTCTGAATTATAGGGCCCTTCTGCTCCAATCATGCTAACATTAAGCAGGGCTCTGCCATAAATCTAGTGAACTCATACCTGTTTTTAAAATGCTTTACACTGTTTTTTGTTCTTAATTTTTCATTAGTTCCATGAAAATTTCAATAAACTGATGGAGTGGTTAGATGAATCTGAGAAGACTCTGGACTCTGAAGTGGAAATTGCCAATGATCCCGATAAAATCAAGACGCAGCTGGCACAGCACAAGGTAACTGAGAGAAAAATGTGTTAACACAGCCAGAGACATGGAGCAACATCTACAAAAAACGTTTCATTCATTAAACAGAAATATCTGAAACACCAGAGCTGGAATTTGAAAATGGGATCTGTTATTTGAAATTACAGAGTCAGTAGAATCCAAATGCTTACATTGCTGTTGACTATTGTTGTGTTTGTGGTGTTATGCTGGGAGATTGTGCTAATCTTGTCATAATCCCTGAATGGACCAAATGTTTTAAGGCTGCCCTAGCTTTTGGATACATTTAATCTCTATGGAGCAAGAGCTCTTGAGTTTTGACCTCCTTTTTGTTCTTCTCGCTGAAGACTGTATTCTTAATCACAAAAAGCACACACCACACGCAGATTAAGATACTGTTTGACATGCCAGTAGTAATAATAATAAAATCTCTTGAGATGATTTGCTGTTTCCATTTGAAGATAGAGGCATTATGAGTCCACTAAACCGGACCACTTGGGGGTTGTGTATATTATTTTTCCTTTTTTCCCCCATCGTGCAGGAGTTCCAGAAAGCTCTTGGCAGCAAACACTCTGTGTATGATACCACCACTCGAACAGGACGGGCCCTGAAAGACAAGACCACTCTACAGGATGACAGACAGAAGCTGGACGACATGCTGAGTGAACTGAGGGACAAATGGGACACTGTTTGTGGGAAGTCAGTGGAAAGGTGAGGATTTTCTCCCAATGAGGGTTGTATTTCATTCTGCTAAACAGCCTCACTGTGAATATTTTGTTCTGTTCTGCAGACAAAACAAGCTGGAAGAGGCCTTGTTGTTCTCCGGCCAGTTTACAGATGCTCTCCAGGCTCTTATTGACTGGTTGTACAGGGTGGAACCTCAGCTGGCTGAGGACCAGCCCGTACATGGAGACATAGACCTGGTTCTCAACCTGATAGACAACCACAAGGTAGAGAACAGCACCACACCGAAGACCCAGGATCCCTTTGTTTTCTTGATTGGCCCATTTGTTGCTGACGTTAGTGGCAGAAATCAAGTGAAACCTTTCACTGCTGCCACGCCCAAACCTTTTATCATTCCTAACACAATACAAGACGAAAGAATCTTAAACTAACACGGGGGATAGACAATACATTAAAACAACAAAAGGGGAGGCATTGTATTACTTTCTCATTGAGAGTCTGTTTTCTTTCGGGTTGTGTATTGAGCAAAGCTTTGAAAATTGATGCTGGTGTGTTTTTCCTTACTCATTATTAATATTATATTAATAACATTCTTTGTGTTAGCATTTTATTGAAGTAAGAGGACAACAGATACTAAAAGCACCCTGTTTTATGCTTCTTGTCATTGGGCCAGCTGTGAAATAGAGACAAAAAGATGTTTTTTGAAATAATGTTTAAAATTAATTTAAGAATTTGTCATTTAAAAAACTGGATATTGTTAATATTTTGGCTGACTGTGTCCTCAAATGTCTCGTTACTGCAGGTTTTTCAGAAGGAGTTGGGAAAGCGGACGGTAAGCGTCCAGGCCCTCAAACGTTCAGCCAGGGAGCTGATTGAGAACACTCACGATGACTCCTCCTGGGTCAAAGTCCAGATGCAGGAGCTGAGCACGCGCTGGGAGACGGTGTGCAACCTGTCTGTGTCTAAGCAGACCCGGCTGGAGCAGGCTTTGGGCCAGGTATTCCTGACAGTACTCCAAACAATCACAAGGTAGAAGGTAAGTAAAGTATGTTAGCCTGACATATGCGTCTTCTCCCACTGCAGGCTGAAGAATTTCACTCTGCTGTTCACATCCTGCTGGAGTGGCTAGCTGAGGCAGAGCAAAGTTTGCGCTTCCATGGCAGCTTGCCCGACGATGAAGAAGCTCTGCGAGCGCTTATCGAACAACACAAGGTAAAGCAATGCAAATGATTCTGCTTTTTTTATTTCAGAAAAAAACTTTTATGTCTTAAGTTGTTTAATATTTTTGTTGCTTTATTAAAGAAATAAAACACGTTGCCAATACTTTGCTTGAATAAACAGTTAAGATCCTGACTCTGTAATTGCAGCCTGTCTAAAAGTAGATGGCATGCTGCTTTCAGTGCCAAAAATATTTTTCTTAACTATGAGGTCATCTGATTAAAATTACTGGCCTCTGCTCCGGTTTTAAACCAAGTATGAGCAATGTTTTGTTTTTATTTTTAGATATGGGATGGGATAGTTTCGAATCCCAACGCTTTTTCAATTAAAAAAAAAAATTCTTTTAAAGGTGTTCATGAAAAAACTGGAAGAAAAGCGAGTGGCTCTAAATAAAGCGGCCAGTATGGGGGAGGCCATTCTCAGCATCTGCCATCCAGACTCTATCACAACCATCAAGCACTGGAACACCATCATTAAAGCCCGCTTTGAAGAGGTCAGTCCACTGTTTCATACCTTCAGGTTTAACAGAACACATTAACCTATTTTGATAAATTAAAAGTAAGGAAGAATTACTCATTTTAACAAGGGTTGGATCGGAAACTCTTTATAGCACTCAAAAAATCAGAGAAAAAGTTACTATGGATAGTCATTATATTAAAAAAAGTAATAATAATTCATCTTATTAGGTAAACAAAATCAAGTTGTGTGCAGTTAACTTGATTTCAGTGTATCTGAAATTAATTTAGTTATTAGTAATATAAGTGTATTACTGCTGTTACACAGGTGCAGGCTTGGGCCAGACAGCACCAGCAGCGACTGGCCACAGCCCTCACTGAGCTGCTAGCTACTCAGGAGCTGCTGGAAAATCTTCTGACGTGGCTACAGTGGGCTGAGACCAACCTCAACGACAAGGATAAGGAGCCACTCCCTCAGGAGATCGAGGAGGTCAAAAACCTCATAGCAGAACACCAGGTACATCAAAAAAGCAAATGATAATAAATCAAATTTTATAACTTTAGTTTTTTTTTTAATTCCATATTTTAATGATTGCGTGGGCATTCAGTTAACAGTAGTTTACTGCTGCTCGCCCCCTGCAGGCATTCATGGAGGAAATGACCAGGAAGCAACCAGATGTTGACAAAATCACCAAGACACACAAAAGGAAGGCTGCTGTGGAGCCCCAGATCCAGTCTCAGATCCCCGTGTTGGACAAAGGAAGAGCTGGAAGTATGTATCCCATCACTATTCCTCATAGAGTATGACCCGAGCCATCTGGCCATGCTCTGAATCACTTCAGGGTGACACGACATCCTCAATTTGCCCATTTTAGCACCTGGAATGATGTCAGTGTGAATGCATTCCTCCTGATTATATGGTGGAAACACAGTCATTTTAAAGTTTTTTGTCTTTCCCTTACAGGAAAACGTTCTCCCACGCAAGCGATGTATGCGTCATCAACACAAGCTCCCATTGAAACAAAGAACCCACGGGTTAACCTGCTGGTGACCAAGTGGCAGCACGTGTGGCTGCTGGCTTTGGACAGAAGGAGGAAACTCAATGATGCTTTGGACAGACTGGAGGAGGTAATCTAGCAAAATCTGCAGACATTTTTCTGCAAATTTCTAGCTTTTTAGTTATTAATGTTGACCTTTCTTTCTTTATCTGCTCAGCTGAAAGAATTTGCCAACTTTGACTTTGATGTGTGGCGGAAACGTTACATGCGCTGGATGAACCATAAAAAGTCTCGCGTCATGGACTTCTTCCGCCGCATTGACAAAGACCAAGACGGCAAAGTGACGCGACAGGAGTTCATAGAAGGCATCCTCTCCTCCAGTAAGTGTCAGACTCAAAGCTGAAAAACATCTACACCGCTGAACAAAATGCTCCTTTTTGCAACACTCAGTGTCTCTTCAACAGAATTCCCAACAAGTCGTCTGGAGATGAGCGCCGTGGCAGACATCTTTGACAGAGACGGTGACGGCTACATTGACTACTACGAGTTTGTAGCAGCTCTACATCCCAACAAAGACGCTTACAAACCACTAACAGATGCTGACAAAATTGAGGACGAGGTAATAAGAACGCCTGCGGCATTAATTTCACATTTTCAAATGTGAGGCGTCGCTTAATAAAAAAAAATGATGCGTTCGCAGGTCACGCGCCAAGTGGCGAAGTGCAAATGTCCAAAACGATTCCAGGTGGAGCAAATTGGTGCCAATAAATACCGGGTAAGCACATTTTTATGTGTTTGGCTTATCTAACAGTGAAATCTTTTTAAGCAATACAAGCTGTGACATGGTTATGAAATAATTTAAAATAAAAGACTTTTCAGGGAATACTCTTGTTAAAGGTAAGTGTTGAACATGATGACAAAAGTGCGAATGTGTGCTAACCTTTTTATATTTTTTATTGTTCCTCACATCACCAGTTCTACCTTGGAAATCAGGTACATCCTCTTTTCTTTCCCTCCTTCTCTTCTGTGCCTTATCGAGCCTTGCGTCCTTTTTTCGTTTACCACGTTTGCTGTCCAATTAACACTTTCTGCCCAGATTCCTGGCTGATGTTCTCAGATGTTCTGGAACTCAGAAGTAGAAATAAAAAAAGTCTATGGCCTGCTGATTTAATCTAACTTTATGTAACACTGGCCTGAGATGTGTGTTTGGTCTGAGAATTTATGGTAGCTTCACACATAACTCTAAATCTGATTTAAAATGAGTAAATGAAAGAAGCATGCTTTCAAGTTTTATGGCAGTCGACGTTTATGTCCAATCTAAATTTGTTCTTTTCACATAGGTTATGTTTTTTGGGGGGAAATAAGACTTATTTGCGTTATAATTAGTGCAATTAATGTTTCTATATATATATATATCTGTATATCTGCTTTTGAGTTTCAGAAAATGCAATATTGGCGTGCCAGTACCATTTCAGCCCATATTTTACTGGTTCATGGGCATAAATTCATCTGCTGGGCATACAATAATGCTTTCTGTGTGCTTGCCTTTGGTGCTTCAGTGTCATGGGAATGATTTACCTCAGCACTGGCTGACACTATTTATTACATTATTTGGGCAACTTTGATGATTTCAATGAACACGTTGCTTTTCATTTCTCTTACTTTGTTAATATGTGCTGGCAACCTGCATGTCGGAAAAAGGTCATTACTGAGGGGTCAGTGAGAGGGGATAGGGGCGTTAGTGATGCTTTATGAACTAGTTTGTATTATTGTTATCACACAACAATAAATTAAAAATAATTCTTTTGACAGTTTGGTCTGGTTCACTGCTTACATGACTCCTTAATCGGCGATGAGACAATAGCAAACAGGGAAAATCAAAATCTTACCCCCCACCTACACGTTGCAGTTTTGGAAAGCTGTATTCTGGTAAATGGTTATTCTTAAGCTGTTTCTTGTGCCTCCTTTTACTCCAGATCATCATCACCTTTAATGTATTTGATCACTAGACTCACCAGTGGCATTAAATCATTATGATAATCATACAAGTGCAGGATTTTTGTTATCAGTTAAAGAGATACCATATGATAATAGGAAGTTAGTGGACCGTCATCAGTGTTTGGTCATGTCTGCGTGTCACACTGTGGTGGTGGATTTAGACAGAAGTGATTTGAACCATTCCTCATGTGTGCCATTTGGAGCTAGCTGCATTGGATCTGCATCAGTGTCAATGCATCCTGAGTATTTGTAGCTGTAGAAAGTGCAACAAAGTGCTGGATTGTAGGAGATTGATGTTTGTGCGTTTGATCAGAATGTGATGTTGATTTTGACAGAAAGCATGCACGCTGTAATTGCAAACTCCGTTTTTGTGCCTGATGCTCATGGTTTCATCCAACTGGCTGACATGTGTGGTATGCCCTCATAAAGCTTGAATCATTCTCCCCATAACATGCTCACTGTTCCTATGTCTGCTATGTGTGGTAGGTGACATGAAGTCAAATTATTACACACTGGGGCCCCCTGGTGGTGTAATCATGTGCCTTCAGTTATGGTGTTTTTTTTCTTCACAGGCTCCTTCTGCAGTAAAAGTGGAGTCTTACATTGCTGAGATAAAGCCAGACACATAGACATTACAACCAGAAACAACAATTACACAGTGATCACTGAAAAAAGAGAGGAAAAAATAGGCTGGTTAAGTTTGTAAAGCTGTGAAATTTGATGTATTTACTGCTTTACAACATCTCATATTAAGTTAACCCTCAACAGCAGCAGGTATGAATGTAGAGCCTGACTGATGATATGGCTTTGAGGCTGATTCTGATAGCTCTAATTAAAAATACAAATGAAATTATATGATTAAAGGAAAAAACGTTATTTGCTAATCTGTCAGCATCAGCATTTATTGGGATTGATAAATGAAAATTAAAAAGTAAAAAAGAGACGGGAGAAATAACCATTCAACCATGTTATGAGTGTTGATGTGTGTCCACCAGAGGGCGCTCTGAAAACATTCCGAGCAGAGGTGGGCATGTAAATAAATAACTTCACATAACCAATGTGAGGTTTTTTGTGCATGACAGAGAAAAATATATTGGCCATTGGAATATCATTGGTACGGGTATCAGTAAAAATCATTTGGGCTTCACAAAATTCATGATAATGTCACAAAAAGCTCTTTTTGAACGTTATGTTGTGTAATTATTTTATTGTCTTATTTACACAGATACCAATATCCTGTATGGGATATCTGAAGTAAATGAATATCAACTAACAAAATCAGTCAGGCTCTACTTCAAGTTGTAGTGTATAGTAAATGAATCAATGACTATGAAGTAGTCAGTTCACTGTAGCATGAACTCAATGAGTAACTAGAACTAGTAACTAGAACTAGTAAAGCAATAGCACACGCTTGTAGAAAACAAAAAAAGTTGGATTGACCTTTGTGTAATTTGTGTTCTGTTGTGTCTGAGAATGAAAAGATAAAATTCATGTTTTTGTGTCAAAATCTGTTTGTGTTTATGATTGTATGTCTACGTGTGTGTGTGTTTAAACCTGTACAACATATAAGAGAAACCAGAAGCAGATGTGAATCTTTTCCGACGGGTCGTTTTTGAAGCTCAGTGAAATAATCTGGATGAAAGCCATCTGCTCCCCCACAATTAAAATAATTAGCTGGAATAAATGTAACTCTTCATTCCACTCTGGTTTCCAGTGTTGCACAGCTTCTGGTCTGCAGTGTGGATGTGCTCACAGGAAGGTCAGGTTTTTCACACATTCCTCTCTCTATTTTCCTTCCCCCATCGCAGTTTGGAGACTCTCAGCAGCTTCGCCTTGTGAGAATTTTGCGCAGCACTGTGATGGTGCGGGTGGGAGGAGGCTGGATGGCACTGGACGAGTTTCTGGTGAAGAATGACCCCTGTCGAGGTGAGTTCAAAGGTTAACTTTGAGGAGTCACGATCCAATTTTGTTTAAAGGTCAGCTGTTGTACTGACTTTCACTTTCTTTGTTCGCGTGCGATGAAAGAATTTGATTGTATATCACTGTTTTTTACTACCCACACATGGAGGATGATGATGATCTTGATTAAGATTACTGTGTTTTCAGTGATGTTAGCTCAGTTATTGAAACATGAAATGTAACTACTGTCCAATGTCTATTTATATAGGCCTGTTTGAAATGGCAACTTGGAGCTTAAAAATAGACGATATATCACATATATATCGATAATTCATGCAATATATTATATTATATCTTTACATAATATACTGCAATTTTCTGAGGGTTAAAATGAGTTTATTTTCTTTTGTTCCCGCTATCTCAACACTGAACGCTTGAATGAGATAACACAGTTAAATCATCTGTCAAAAATATATTTCATATGTAAGCATATTTTTATTAACAGTGCTGCCTACATATATACTTATATATACCATAATGCGACCCACATTTAGCTTTGGTACTCCGACATGTTTCTGCTAGCATCTGTATTAATGATCAATTTCTGTTTTTCCCACTAAACCCGCCTCCTGCTCAACATGAACATTTCTTCTAGTGCATCACCACGGGAGCAAAATGTTGCGCTCGGAATCAAACTCTTCAATTACTCAGTCTCCTATAGGTTGGCAAATCTCAAACTTTCTCACCTTGCTCCATGAACCCACCAGTGGTATGTGTGTCTGCACATCCGAGCTTGTGTTGGTCCTGGTGTGTGCCGTACTGTAGCTGCGTGTGAGCGCTCAGTGTGAAAGAATGTTATCCTCGGAAACCGGCTCCACCTGCAGTCAGTTGTCGTTCAGCTGCGGCTGGTTTTCATGCATGCAGTTGTTTGTGGGAATCACATCACCTTCGAGCACTTCAGCACAATGAAACTGGCTCATTTTACTCGCGCCGCATGTCATAGGGAGCTCTGAGTCAAGCTTCTTTTTATAGTCCAGGGTTCGAGCTGTGCTTATCTGACTGTATTGCCTGGTAGTATAGGCTCCTTCATAGGGGAAAATGGTTACATTGCCTCTATGAAACACACGCCACAAAACCGAAGCAGTATTTCTTACACCATTTACTTTGTTTGACAGGGTAGCTTAGTGTTTAAAACTGCATGCAGGTCTGTTTGTTTTCAATGTAACCGTACTGTTTAGTTTATACGCTGTAGTTTAGTTTCCTATAATTCTTCTTCTTTGGTTTTTGAGAGTGTTTAGACTCACTTTGATTTATTTTAGTTTTCTCGCTGTCACTTATTCCACTACCGTTGCAACAGGAACTGGACGTCTGTTCAACAGTATGGATGAGATATGAAACTGCATGAGCTGTTTTGTTGTTGAGTCACATCATGATAACATTTCATTGGTCTGTTCTTTGGGGTCGCCTGGAAATTGCTGTGTAGTTCAGTGATGATTATAAGAAAAATACATTGGTAAATTTTCAATTCATTATATTACCGTTAGAAGCAACAGATTTCTACACAGCCGGGAATACAGCTTAGCATGCAGTGTTGTGCACGACAAGACATGCACAAGTCTGGAGCCACCCCTCATTTCTTTATATTTTGCATCGAAGGATCCAGAATGTTTGGTAAATTTTTGAAAGTGGTCTTGAGCAATAGTTCTTCTGGGTTTCTGGAGGTCTTTCAAAATGTTTCTTTGGACATTGGCTGCTTTTTCACTCATTTTTATTCTGACCAGCATCAGAGGAATGCTTTTTGTTTGTTAAGATGAATAACACCGTCCTGTGAATCATTAAAACATAAATCAAGGCACTTTACGCAGTGTTATCTACACACAATAGACAATCTAGCAAAGAGCCAGTTTTAAATGGTATATTTAGGTACTTGGTTACTAAGAGCCTGTTGCAAAAACTCATGTGGCTGTCAGGATGCAATTTTTAAGAATAAGAAACAGAGAAGAGGCTGATGCGCACCAAATGAGGCAAGAACTGTACTGAAAATAAGTGGCAACATGTCTTAAGGAGTGATGAATTCAAATTTGAAATTTTTGGTTCAAATAGTGATCAATATGTACTGAAGAAGTCAGGACAGACACAGCAGTAAGTGTCTGCAGCAATCTGTAAATCTCAGTGGGGTTCTGTCGTGGTTTGGAGCTTCATTCAGTCAGTGGTGTCGGGGATCTTGTCAAAATTGTTGGAATCATGAACAGAAAAAACTACCATTAGATTTGGATCCACATACAATACCATCTGGAGAGGATCTGACTGACAACAGCGTCATTTAACAGGATGACAGTGATCCTGAGCTCACAGTGAAACACTGTCTGTCATGGATTGGGCTCCCTTGAGCCTGAAGCTCAACATTATTAAAGCCGTGTGCAACAAAATGCAGCCAACATCTAAAAAAGAAATTTGAATATCCTTCAGTAAGATTGGAGAGCTATTCCTGAAGACTGCTAAGTATCAGAAACTATAAGAAGCCTTTCATAAGAGAGTTCAAACTGTGCTGAAGAAGAAAAGCTCATTAGAATTGTTCAGACTTCGCCTCATATACTGTTTTCCCATTTACTCTCAGTCTGCATGTTTTAATAAATCTCGGCATCTCTTTCCCATTTTTCTGGCACAATATAAAGAAATGAGGGGATGGGTTGTTAACTCACCATCATCTTAATCACCATTAACACAAAAATAACAGTGACAGGTGTATTTGTGCATCATGGCTCATTTTGAGTGTCTTTCTTAGCTAAAGGCAGGACCAATGTGGAGCTGCGAGAGAAGTTCATCCTCCCAGAGGGAACCACTCAAGTGATGGCAAGCTTCCGCTACAGAGGCCGGAGGTCTCGGCCTTCATCTCGAGGAGCTTCTCCCAACAGATCCACCTCCAGTCAGAGCCTCCCCGTCCCCATCAACCCAGCAGCGACCAGCACACCCAAGGTGAGAGGCTACATCTGCCATTAGAGCTGGCTGCTGCCTCATTCTGTCTCACCCCCAACCTCTCCACCACCATCATGATTTTCCTCTCATTTATCTGCTTTTTAATTTGTTTTTGTTTTTTTTAATTACCCTTGCAGAATTTGGTCATTTTGTTGTTTGATTTCTGTGTTTCTTCCATCTAGTGTTCCTGATAGTTTTTGAGTTTGTGAATCCATTTCTCTGTCTTTTGATTTGCCGTTGTTCCCCAGAATCCCCAACACATAACCCGCAATTATGATAAGCCATGGCTTACAAACAGCAAACCCTCCACTCCTCTTAAATCATCAGACTCCTTTGGGAGCCAAGGTTCATCCTCAGAGGTATAGTCATAATGCAGCACATGATGTGAAACACTTCAGATATATGACCCAACTGAAATCTATTGAAAAATCTTTAAAAAAAAAAGAAAAGAAGAAGAAGCAAAAAGTGCCTTTGTGTAGATTTATTTCTGACTTCATTGGATTTGAAGATGCAAAATGAGCTTATTAGATTTTATTTGGGTTTGTAACCTTTATTTTTCTTGAATAATTGGCTCAATCACTAGCTCTTTTCTTTCCTAACCTTTATTTTTTATACCACTACATCATGTACAACTTCATATGTCGCCTCTGCATGTCATTAATGTCTAATGACGTATTGCTCTGCTGTACATGAATTCATACTAACTGCATCTGACAGATACACCTCAGTTATGGGAAAAATTATGATTTTACTAAAATGATTCTTTTTTAAAAAAAATAAGAATTAGGACTAATTTTTATTACATATACATACTCAAGACTTTTATTTTTAAAAATTTGGTCTCCTATTTTTTTTTTTACTAATAATTGCATCTGATTACATTTTAATAAAAGTTTGTTTCTTTCGCAGAGTAATGCGGTTCAAGGCAGTAAATTGCGTTTGCCTGGGTACCTGTCTGGCAAAGGATTTCAGTCAGGTGAAGAAGGGAGCTTGATCAGTGCTGCTGTACTAAAAGCTCGAACGCAGACAATAGGTGGTGAGTAGAAAGCATCATCTTTGCAACTTTTTCTCCACATCTATCCATCGCATTCACATCTAAATTTGAATTCCTTTTTCAGTGTTTCTTAAAGTGTTTCCCGATTTTATCTCTCTAGAGTCGAGAAAAAATTCCAGCCGACCAGGAAGTAAAGCCGGAAGCAGAGGAAGCAGTCGCAGAGGAAGTGACGCCTCCGACTTTGACATCTCAGACATCCAATCCGTGTGCTCAGATGTTTCCGAGACGGTCGGCGACTCTGCCAGAGCGACACCGCGCTCCACGTCCCGTCAACACGGAGGGAAACCCTCTAAGATCCCCACACCTCAAAGAAGAATGACCCCTACAAGCAAACTGGCCAAGGGATTGAAGCGATAGACAGTGGCCTTGAAAACAAACAAACAACAAACCCAGGAGCAATTTGCACCCTAAACACATAATGGACACTGGAGATGTGTAACTTAAAGAAAAAAAAAAGTAAAAAAGACTGCAAATGTGTCACGTGTTATTTAAATTCTTGCAAAGATGTAAAATATTCTGTTAAGAGGCAATATGGTTTAATATTTTGTGAGAATGGAAAGTCAATGGCCTTGTGTATTTGTTTTTAATGTATTTTATTTTTTGTGAAAATATGCCAAATTGTTTTTATTGTACTTTATTTTTATTTATGCAAATCCTGAAGAGGATTGATGAACACTAGAAAATCTGGGAATGATCAAGCTGAACTAACATTTCTACACTAATGAAGGGCAAAGATGCAGGATAGTGCTCTAAGAGTTACTGAATGTACTATTATTTATGTATGCTTTTGTTTGGAGTAGATGGTGCATTATGGTACCGTTTGACACACTGCGATTATCTATTTAAGTGCTATGTTATACTGCCAACATGCATTTAAAGGGCAATGCAATATATTACAATAAACCCCACTAAGCACTGCAGAAGCCTTCGAAAACAACTATTTAAGACAAGTAGCAAAAACCTCGTAACCATGATGCTTTTATGTACCCGTTTGTCAGCAGCCCGTCTTTTGTTTAACCACCTCACAGCAAATGAGTACTCTGACCTCGAAGAGGTACCACTTCATGTAGACATTCTCTGTGCATCCATGTCAATGTATGGTTAATTTCGGTAGAGCTGAAATTGTTACTGTAACATTACTTTGTAATAAACCTGCTTGCAGAAAGCCACCAGAGACTGGTGTGCACCACAGAATCGCCTCTGTCTCCTCTGTTATTTTTAGCTGCATGGGCAACTTCACAATGGCCCTGTAGCTCTGATGTTGGTCACACCACCAGCCAATCTCTCAATAGCTGTCTGAAAGATTTCCCTGAATAGGCTCCGGCCTCCCCGCAACCTTGATTTGGATAAGTGAAAGAGACTGGATGGATATTTCTCGTCATCTCTGTTTGTCTGTCAATTTTTTTTTACATAAGCTGGAGAACTTGGGAAATGGGAACTTGTTTTATTAAGCAAAAACAGAACAGTTTATGTTTTGTTTTTTTGGGGTTTTTTTTCATGTGTTGCAGGTATTTATTGTATGCAGCATAATTCAGCAGTGTTTAGGTGCAGTGGCGGGTTAGATTGAAGGTGTGATCTTTTCTACATGGAATGTTTGCAGAGCGTCTTGTGTTTAGCTGTGACATACTGCATCTTTCTCTCAGAGAAACTGATTTTCCGCAGGCAAATCACTAAATTCAACTATTTTTTAGCATAACTGATCAAAATTTTGATCAAAGTTCAAGGACAGGATTAGTTTCCAACACTGAAGCATCATTTCAGTAGTTTTAACTTGCATGAAGTATGCCTGCACCTCTTCAATGTGGTGACGCAGGGCTGTTTAGTCGTCTTAGGTCTGGCTGACGTATGAGAAGAGAAGGATCCTCTGGGGACCAAAGGTGGAGTGGAGCTCAGGGGTTCTCAGGGATCCTGTGATTGAATGATCCTCCTGCTCAGCTCAAACACCGGCCCTGTGATGGCACTTTAGAACGGTTTAAATCCACACACCAGAAACTGGGAAAGATCCATCAACGGGAACTCCCAGAAGCTTCACAGGAATATGTAAGTAATTCTAATATTCCATACAGTTTTCTTAACTTTTACATTTAATACAACTTAAGGAGGTAGCAGGAAAGTTTTAAAAGCAATAAATGATATCAGGTTGTTGAGCTGAGGACATTTTAATTGGATCAGTTACACATGTTACCTAGTTTTGTAATCATAGTATAGGTAATGTTCTAGGTGCCTAGACTGCAAATCATTTGCGTAGGCAAAGCTGTAACTACAGCTCATACTGAAGATAATCTTGCAATAAGACATAGTCAGAAAAATGCTTTCTTATTGGTATTATTATTACTCTTAGTTTCCTTCTATTCTTTTGATATCTTTAACCTTTGTGCATGGGTAGGGAGTACTTTTGGACGACATCGGAGGGTTTCACAAAGCCTATATTAACATAGTGTGCGACCTGATCTCTTAAAATTATTGGTTTGCTTAATTGCTGTATTACAGGCACTTATAATCCCAGACATCAAAAAACTGAAAATGCCAGCTCAGAAAAATATGCTGGTGTTTGTGGCTCTCTTTTCTCTTTTGCGACCGGCCCAGTGTCAAAAGTTGCCAAGTAAGTTTGCATTTTTTAAATGCGTAACCTCATATTACTGCCTATTTTCGAATGTATAAAAATAACAAGTTTTTATGCATCATAACCAAATGTAGACAGGTGTTGGTTGATTGTGTGGGTGCAGCTCTTGTTATACATGATGCCATCTAATCTCAGATCAGCCCTTTGTGGTAAAAAAAAAGTAAACGCCAGTTATAATCCTAAATATCATATTAAGAATTAGTTGTTTTTTCTTTTTCTTTTTTTCTAAACGGTAGCCCACTACTGTACTCTGACCAGCAGATGTCACTGTTTGTCAGCCCAGTGCCTGGTCCAACAGCTGCTCCATGCCAATATGCACAGTAAAAGGTGTGCAGAGGTCAATCTAGGGTTAAGATTTGCACATTAAACTTTGAACTCCTGCAGCAGAGTTACGCTGTCACTAAAAAACAGTTATCGTTGTGTTTTTATTTCTTTTGATAGAAAACAGAGCAGCAAAAAAAAAAGAAGAAAAGATGAGAGAAATCAGGAACAAATGTTTTGAGGATTAGATTACTAGTTGGAGCCAAAGAGTGTGCAGCCTGAAACATTTTTTTTTTTTAACATTTTCTTAGCTATGGTGTCCTGTTCAGTATCCACAGATTAAAGTCACAAACAAGCCAATTCACATAAAAATAACCTGGCAACAGTGTTTTCCAAAAAAATCTAAGGCTAATATTTCTTAGCAGGTGTATATTTAGGTCACAGTGTCTGTAATCATAAACATTCCCCAGCTTTAATCTGAACATTTACAGGAAATTCTGCAGCAATGCTGATCTCATTCAGAGTGCAGTACAAAGCATCCAGTGTTTAAAATTTAGTGGTTAAATTCACCCATGAAGGAAAATAAGCAGCCTTGTTGTGCTAATGGGTTTAATGGATTACCTCACTGATTAGATGGCATTAATAACAACACTGAGTAATGCATCTATCTAATAAAAGTCGGTGATATCAGCAGTGACGTAAGATTCAGAAATAGTCCAACACCTTTGATGCTCAACCAGTTATAAAGCAAACTAACCTGAGTGTTTGTGCTGCGAGGTTTTGACTTACTGGAGGAGTTTCATGTGCCTGACTCAAGAGGAGTGAGGAGGGTGGACGGCTCTCAACCTGAGGCAGTGGCCTACCGTATCAACCCCTCCATCCATCTACAGAAGTCCATGAGGTACAGATCTGCTAAACCTCACTAGAGCTTAGAAATAATTAAAAACTAGCTTAAGAGCACTCTGAGAACTTCCCCCGAAGGTCTACACTAAAACTTTGATGTTTTATGTTGTTTTATTATAATATGAGGATGTCAGCCTCCTCTTATTGGCTGATGTCTGACCTTTGGCCTATGACCTTGAGGCATTACATGCTGACTTTTAATTATCTTTATTCATATGACTGGGGCAGAATTGCCTGAAATCTTTAGCTTCTATAAGCTGTGAAAACTTGAGAATATAAAGATATAGTTATCTGTGTGCGATTTTGCCAAACCATAAGGCGTCATTGTGAGATCTTAGGGCATCATGCTGACAAAATAAAAAAGTTTGTTGTACAGCTCTCTCCATTCCCTTTCATATAATATATTACTTGATACGGATCTCAAGTGGTGTAACCAAGGTGTGTGTAGGAGTGCACACTGAATATCAGGTGTGGTCACAGGTGCAGCAGAGGACACCTCTGATCACACTTTATCTGGTCAGGAGTGCAAACGGAGCTGAGTCCTTTAATCTTTCAAGACTGGTGTTAAATTTCTCTTTGTTGAACAACTTAACACTGACAACTGTGTTGTGTCTGCAGTATGAACAAACAACTGTGGTGTAGAATTCTGGTACAGGTGTCACTGCAGGTCAAGTTCCCACAGTAGAGCTTTTTCACATCAGAGAATTTGACTTGTCACAGTAGGAAAATCACAGGTGCTAATGATGGCTTCGTTTTGCTCAGAGAGGGAGGTCCTGCCTTTGTGCAAGTTCACCGTTTAAAACATCTGTTTTAAAAGCTTAGCAACATCGATTGACACTTTATTATGTAGAAAATGCATTTTAACATTTTTTTTCCTTTTTAGTTTTGTGCAGACTACAGCTGTAGATTAGCTACCAAGCTAACTTTGGCACTAGTGATATATAAAACTCCACCACCACCATAGTTCAAGTGTCTCAGTTTTTACTTCTTCATATAAAATAAAACTATTAAATTCCCAGAATTTTTTTGCTGATTTTTGAAATAAAGTACCCTGTGTTTAGTCACCCAGCCCTCTAAACCTGATTCTTGTGCCACAGCGACGTGTACCCAGATGGACTTCCCTCCGACTACTCGGTCATTGCAACATTTAGGGTGACCAAAGACACTGCCAAGGAGTCCTGGAACCTGTGGCAGATCAGTGACCCTGAGGGACAAGAGCAGGTTGGCCTTCGGTTCCAGGGTGATACACGTTCCTTAGACTTCTTCTTCACAAGCCCCCATGGGAGCCAGATGCTGAGGACCTTCCATGGTGTGGAGAAGGTCTTTGATGGAGAGTGGCACAAGGTAGGACTGAGTGTGAAGGGCAGCCAGGTGAAACTGCTGATAGACTGTGAAGAGATCAGAGTGGAGTCCATTGATGAGCCAAGGCCAATCATCCACCAAGGATATACCTCCATTGTAAAGCGTGCTGCAGGAGATCGCTCTGTGTCTGTATGTTGACACTTTGCATTTGCAATTATCTTAACTAGTCTTTGTTTTGATTTTTTTTATATAGCTTTATTTTCTCATATTATCTTCCGTTTCTTTCAAGGTGGATTTACAGCAGATGGAAGTGTCATGTGACCCAGAAAAGGCCTATTCAGAAGGTTGCTGTGAGCTCTCGAGCGTGGTGAGTCATCCATCTAACATTACTGCATCTCTGTTTTTAGTGATAGGTGTGGAGTATGTGTGGAGTCACATGGTTACCTATATGTCCATTGCAGTGTGGAGGATATGCAGTGATCGGCCTCACAGGGGGAAGACCCTCTTGCAAATGTATGCATGGGCAGCCTGGCATCCAGGGCGCTCCAGGACCAAAGGTGAATGTCATTCTGCATGCAACTGGCTCAAGTTGACAGACAAGTTGAATCTGTCATGCCATATTTTTTATTCTTCTGCAGGGTCATAGAGGCCTTCCGGGAGAGGATGGAGACCCAGGGAAACCAGGGAACTGGGTAAAAAATATACAATATTCCATGAAAGCGTCAAACCTCACTGGATGAATGCATACTGCAGTATACAATACATCACGTATTCTCAGCATGAGCAGAATCTTCTTCCTCTTGCCGCTCAATAAAGAGTTAAGCTGGCTTGTGGGTGAGGGAGACTGTAAAACTTTCATTCGTGAGACAGCAGCAAAGCTGTGGAAAATGGCAACAGAGGCACAACTGAGAGACGACAGGATGGAAACAGATCTGGAAGCAGAAGCGCTTAGCGATAGTAAACACGGGGGCTCCATTCACAGTTCGAAAACTCATGTTGAAGAATCCTAGATAAACATGATCCAACATGGATGCGACAATAAGCTGTTGTTGTAGCTCTGAAAGATGCATTTGCATCTTAAAATTTAGGCGCTGTTGTTTTAGAATACAGGATTAAACTCAAACTGGCAAACGATCACAGGATTTGTAATGGTTTTGCTTTCCCATTTGGAAGAAACCGCTCCAAACGTAATGAATCCCACACACAGGAAAACAAGGCAGTTGAGCAATAACCATGCCCTCCAAGTGCTTGGTAATGAGTGGCATTAGACTGCTTAACTCTAGTGTAAAAATTGTCAAATGTATTGTTTCTCTAAAAGGCAAATTCTTTTACAAGAGGAGGACTGATTTGGGAAAAAGAGAAAAGGTGTCAGAAAATTCGAAAGATTAAAGCATTAGGCTAACGGAGCCAGTTATACATGCATCAGTGAATGAATAAATACTCTCACTTTTCTATCCTTCAGAGAGCTGCAGACGTGATTATTTCCACTTTAAATTTATGACTTGTTAATCTCTTTGATGCTTAGCAGTCACTGTTATTGGCACGGATCAGAAAGTCTCTGAACATGTGTTTAAAGAAGGAGCATTTTTTTTATACTTGTGCGTCAGTTTGGCTTTTTAACATGCCCTTTGCTCTCAAAGAAATCTCCCATGCTGCCTGAGTAAGCACATGTAGGCCTGTCGACTCACATACACTTAGAGCACATTTCCAGAAGTGTACATGCTACATTATTCATGTCCCAAATTGCGGCTGTAGCGCCTCTGGGAATAAACATCTGTCTTGTGTAAGTGGTTAGAGTTTTGATCTCCTGCTGGCTTGTGAAGTACACAACCCCAGCTTGATTATCTCCTTCCCTGCTGGCATCTGACGAGGGCATTTCCTGGCACAGAGGATATGAACTGGCCATCTCAGGTGGTGGGTGGTCCTTTGCTCCTCTCAGCCTCACTGCCTCTGATATGTCATAAAGTTCAAGGTCATGCCTCTCGGCTCACTGTTTAGAGGTTCAACTCCATCCAGCTGAGTCTGCGTAAAGACAGCTTTAAGTGAGATAGACAAATAAACTGTCACGACAAAGGCATCCTGGCCTTGCTTAATGTGTTTGCTGACTTAGTGAAATGCAGCCAATTGGGAAACACTTTTCCTTCTACTACTAAGGAACTCAGCATCTGTGCAAACAACAGTGATCCATGTTATACCAAGCTTTCCTAAATAGTGCTAGTGTATATTTTTCATTGAAGTGACTAATATGAGAGCGCTGACATTTACAGTATTTAAACTTATTTGTATTCTCAGACTAGTTTGACAGTAAGAAAAATAAATAAACTTGTTCCAAATGGTAAGCTTAATACTTGGAAGTTCTAGCCTTGAAAATGTTAGCTTAGCATTAGATGGTCTAGTCTAAGATCAAAAGATTAAAAAAAAGAAATCAATCAATGATAAAATAGATACTACACCTATCTATTACACATGAGCACCAAATGACTGATCTTAAAAGAGACTAACCAAGTTTTTCCCACCTCTCCCACCAGGTCAAAGTGGGCTAAACTAAACTCACTCTATTCTGGCTGGGGACTAATTTTTAGAGCAATAATGTGACATTTTAGGAAATATACTGTCTCATTTTTTCTTTCTGCTTGGAATTAAATCAAAAGATCAATACCAGATGAATATAGAGACACGGTTAACAACTAGATAGCCAGCTTTTTCTCTAAAACACAAACAAAAAGAACATTATTTACTGTGTGCTGCTTTTATGTTTGTCTAAATAATTTGCTGTGACACTGTACAAAGCATTTGTCCCACTCTCTACTGAAAGCTATTTTCACCAGCTGTGCGTCTAAATATCAGCTCTAAAGCTAAGGTTAATACAAAGGCCAATAATGTTGCATAATGGAAAATAAGCAAAAATAATGCAAAAACAAACAACTGTTTTATATGGTAGACTTTGCAGTGTTTTTAATCTTATGTTTTGACATAATGATAAGGGTTTTGCTACTTTAGCTAATTTATTCCATTAGCTAAGCAATATGTGTTCGATTTATGGTTTTGACTCTTGGTGGGAAAGGGAAGCAAAGAATTGTATTTTTATTTAAAATGTGTTCTGCTGCCCAGTGGCATGGTGGCTAGCACTGTTGCCACACAGCAAGAAGGTCCTGAGTTCCTTTTCTTTCTGTGTGGAGTTTGCATGTTCTCCCCGTATTTGCGTGGGTTCTCTCCCGGCACTCCTGCTTCCTCCCACAGTCCAAAGACATGCAGTTAGTGGGGATAGGTTAACTGGAAACTCTAAATTGCCCATAGGTGTGAATGCGAGTGTGAATAGTTGTCTCCATCTTTGTGTTAGCCCTGTGACAGACAGGTGACCTGTCCAGGAGGTACCCTGCCTCTCACCCTAAGACATCGTGGATTGGCTCTAGTCCCCCCCACAACCCTGAAAAGGATAAGCGGAAGTGAATGGATGGATGTTTCTTTCTCTATTCTAGCAGTGGCCAAATGATCATTTTGGCTACTCCATTTAGGTGTTGCCACAGTGGATCATCTGCCTGAATCTCACCCTTTCCCTGACTCATCTGTCACACCAACACTCTGCATGGTCCCCTTCACTACATTCATGATTCTTCTCTGTGGTCGTCTTTTTCTCCTCCTGCCTGGCAGCTCCATCTTCAACATCCTTTGTATATCCACTCTCCCTCCTCTGCACATATCAAAACCATCTCCGCCTCGTCTCTCTAACTTTGTCTCCAAACTGCTCAATCTGAACTCTCACTCCAAACCATATATGACACCAGCTTGAAGATCTTCCCTTTTTCTGTCTCTCTTGCTGCTGTCCTTCTGCCCCAAATCACCCTGTCACTCATCTCTCTAGCACTCCACCTTTCCTCCTTGCGTTTATTAGGGGTGAAAGTCTGAAGTGTAAGAGACTCTTAGTCTGATGTATCCAAAGTTTAACGACAAAAATCTTATTAACTTGTAATCAGTGAGAACAGTCACCGTTAATTAAATTTTACGCTGCTCCCCGGGCCTTTCACCGACTAATAGCTGTTGTGCAAGAAGTCTTGCTTTTGATTAAGTCAAACTTTATTTTGCAGGGCATAAGGGGGAACACCGGAGATTATGGCAACATTGGCGAACCAGGCCCAAAGGTGAGATTTGTCTTTAAACGATCCCATCAGGGCTGCACTTCACTTTGGCTCGTTCTCAAGATTCATTAATGAAGCCTCATGTATGCATGTATGTATCCTCAGGGTGAAGAAGGAATCAAAGGCGAGAAAGGAATGAGAGGACCCTGGGGCCAAGTGGTAATTTATCATTTTCTTTACCTCAGAATTTTACAAATGATGATGAATATTAATGGGATGCTGTGTTAACAGGGAGACAGAGGTCCCAAAGGGCTGAAAGGATTAAAAGGGGCAACGGGCTTTACGGTAATAACCCTTTTGAGTTCTTGCTTTAATTGGCAAGCCACTTAATGAAGTTATAAGTTTGTTGTTGTAGCTATATAACTTTATAGATGACTCAAAGAAATTAATGTTGACATTTGACTGTAATTACAGGGAATTCAAGGACCACCTGGAGACATTGGAGAGACTGGAAAATCGGGAGAAGCTGTAAGTTAACCTTTCAGGCCCAGTGGTAAGTCCTTAAGCAAATCATTATATAATTACTGTATAGCTAACATTTTGACCTCCTTGAAGGGTGTTAAAGGCATCAGAGGATATGAAGGGATTCCTGAGTTTCAAGGAGTTAAGGTATTCAAGTTTCCTGACAGATTACTTAATTTTTCCCTCATATTATATAATCTGAAACTGTTATGTTTTTATTTTTAGGGTGAAAAAGGGGCTTCTGGTGCAACAGGGCGACCTGGGCTTAGAGGAAAGCAGGTGGGTGGTTGTGGGATTCCCTTTTCCATGATCCATAAAAAAAACACTCTACAGTCTTTGTGCGCTTCCTTCAAAATCCCCTTATGTGAGCATGAAGGGCGCGTAAATCATTTTTAATGTTGTAAAACACTGGAATAGAGCTATGTTTTTGGCTTATGTGCCGTCTCCATAAACAACATTAGTTCATGTGGCTGGATTTTGGCTGAGATCTGAGGGCCTGAACTATATTAACGTAAGCTGGTGAGTCACTGGAAGAAGGGCTTGAACTGCAGCGATAACCTACATGATACCTACACTGCATGAACTATATGAGGGCACGTCCTATTAATTTACTACTGAAACAAATGTATTGCAGATAAAGCAACATTTTAACTTATGTCACTTTGTATGATGAATTTACAGGGCATTGTGGGAGATCCTGGAGAAAGGGGAACTCCTGGACTGAAAGGGGGACCTGTAAGTCACAGATCAACCGTGGGGATATATTATTTTGCTTGATTACATTTATAACAGCATAATTTTGAATTCTTATGAGTGTTTTTGTCTTGAAATCTAGGGAATTCAAGGACCTGTGGGCAGAGCTGGCACCGTAGGACCAAAGGTAATTCACTGCCAACACACTCAGCGCATCACACCCGAGGACTCACTTGCACTTGCAAAAATAATATGTCTCCTTAGGGCATTATTGGAGATCCGGGCTTACCTGGCAGAGATGGTGATCCAGGAATAGAGGTATTATATTCTTCTTATAATGACATGTTTATGTAGAATTTTGGAAGCAGTGCCCATTTATCATTATACTGTAAATGTCATCTGTTCTCTACAGGCTTATCAAGGACCACAGGGCCTCAGCGGAAAACTTGGACAAAGTGGAGCAAAGGTAACTCACTGATATTGTTAAGTTTTGTAAATAAGTGTAAAATGTAGTTTTTTTTGGCAGATTAATATCTGGCCATTTGTTCCTTTTACAGGGGGAGAAAGGCACCCTGGGGCCACCAGGAGAAATGGGTCCCAGAGGGCAAACTGTAAGTCACATTTTCAGGCATTTCATTCACCAAAGACAGCACATAATCCATTTTGTTTGTAAAGTAGTTTGCCATCCTAAAGGGAAATGACAAAGAATAAAGCTGCAGCTTAGGTTGGTTAATAAATGTTATATCCTCTAGGGCCCCAGAGGTTACAAGGGTTCTGCAGGAAAGCCAGGAAGACCTGGATTTATTGGCCCACCTGGACCCACTGTAAGTGCTCCAGATGACTTTTCTTAACTCTTCCAAACACTAGTTCATTTTCTTCGAGCTATTAAACCATGTCATCTTTTTACAGGGACATGTGGGCATGCCTGGAAAACAAGGGCCCAAGGTAATACATCCCTATCCATTACCCATTTGAAAAATAAAATGGGGGCAAAATTACTGTTAATGGTTCAATTATAGCGGCTATTTGGGAATCATTTGCTGGGTCATTGAGCCACATAGAATTTAAGATTTACAGATGGATTCTCTGTCCAAACCAAGACATTTTCCTGGTTTGGAAAGCAACCTTGTATTTAGGTAACAATGGTAGGTCCAATTAGATACTAGACAGCACTTTTTTATAATGTTGTATAAACCATCCCTAATTTCGCTGCCCACTAATGTAACATAAGTTGGTAGAGTTCGAGGAAACAGTTTAATATGTCAAATCAGAGGCTGCTGCTCAGGGCATGTTGGCTCAGTGTATTTTTGTCTCTCCATATAGACAGGAGGTCACTAAAAGTGCTAAACTCCCCCACAGGACCTGCTCTCAGTGTTTACAGTACATCCCACACCAATGAAAAGGGCAGATATTCATGCAGAAACCACTGTTTTACTTCACATGAAGAAGAAAAACAAATAATTTATGTAACAAATACATCAATAAATGAAAAGTAATTTAAAATAAAGCATGTTCAGAAGTGTTTTCAATTTGCAAACATGACTTTCGCATATGGGTTGGTAAAGGTCAGCATGGATGGACATATGGTATTAGAATGCATGCAGGAGATATGCTTATTGAAATATTTCATAGCTCTATAACTGGATCATCTCAGCTGTCAGCCCACAGTGGATGTGGGATGAACACTGGCAAAAAATGATAGAGTAGAGTAGCTAACAGTGTTGGACTTTAGTGTATGGGACTAACCTGCTAAAGTATGTGTGGGACTGCTCAGTGTGAATGTGATCAATATAATGAACCAAAATAATTGCAAAAAATCATGAAAATGTTATTTTTCTTTTGCCTTGTACAGGGTGACACGGGAATCCAGGGTATTAAAGGAGTTAAAGGTGTACAGGTACTGCCTTACTTATCTTTTCCCTGTTGCTCAACATATTCATTTTTTCTATCTTAACATCAAATTAATTTTTTTAAAGGGAGAACAAGGAGTTAAGGGCCCAGCAGGACAGGTGAGATTTCATACATGAGACTGTATGTGTGTTTTTTTCTTAACGATAAATTGGAGCATAATAATTATAACACCGACTAATGATTAAAAGTCTTGGTGTACAACATTCATTTCAAGAACAAACTGATTTAAAGAGTTCAATTGCAGTTACAGGAAAAACGTTTTGCACTCTGTGTAATTACTTGAAGTTCCAGACTCAGTGTCATCTAAGTGAGAGAGAATTACAACATAAGTTTTGCACTTCTTACGAGTTTATGCATCCATATTACCCCTTAGTGTGCTCACTGTGCTGCTGCTTGTTTCTAAGAATTCTGAAATTTTAAAGTGCATTGTCTACAATCGAAAATTAAAGGTTTCTCAGTTTGTTGAGTTCCCATAGTCTAATAAAGGAGATATGGAAATAGCTTTAGTTTGTCACAAAATTGAAGTGAAATTAATTGTATTCATTGAACACAATTCTGAACATGATCTACTAAAGACCAAGTTATGTGTTCAACATAAGTTGCCATAATGATCTAGCCAGGTCAGGTCACCTCTGTGACACTGAAAACTCCCAACTCTAGGCTCGACCTACTTTGCTAAGTCATTAATCTTGCTTTCTAGTACACTTTTCAAGGTGTTCAAGCCAAAGTAAGAAAAAAAATGGATAAAATTGAACACTGTTGCTACTTTTCTTAAGCAAAAGTCTTCTCCAATGATCACATCAAGAGCACAACCTGCAAAGAGCTCGGTGGTAACAAAAAAACACTTTAATAAAACTTGCTACAGTGTTTAAATGCCACTTGAGAAGACTTAAAAATAAGAATGATGTTACTGGAATTGCACTTTGCAACATGTCCTCAGTTTACAAATGTCCACGGAGATGTTCCACAACACATCTGAGACTCTGTTCTGTCACAGATGAGACTTAAGTGGAAATAATGGAACTGCTCAGCAACACCCAAACTTCATCCCAACCACAGATGGTGCAGGGACTATCATGATTTGGAATTGTTTTGCTGCCTTACCTCTGAAAGACGTGCAGCCATTGAGATAAATTGTACAGGTGAATGTGAGGGCAGCATCACATAAGCTTAGGACAATACCCCAAAGCACACGAGTAAGACAGCACAAGAATTATGGAAAAGGGGAAGGGAAACAAAAAATCCCTTTTCTGATTTCGATTGCTGATCTTGACTCAGTTGAGCTTTGGCTTGACTTGATGAGGTCCGTTCCATCAAGAACAATCCAAGAAATGTTTTGAAAGACTTATTGTAGGAGCAATGGTCCAAATTTCCTCTTTATTGTTGTTCAAGACTCATAAGCAGCTGCAGGAAGTGTCTGCTGAAAGGAGACACTTCCTGGCCAGTAAAGGAGAATGCGCTGAGTGATTACTCAATGCGTTGAATAAAGGCATGAAAAGTACAAATGTTTCTGTGTTATTAGTTTAGATTGCAGCTATAACTGTGATTAGAGCACATTTTAGGAATAATCAATTCAGAATTCCTGGGAATTCCAGAGGGATCACGAACCTTTTTTCTGTCACTATAAGCTGTCATTTGCAATCAACCCAGTTCTCCGATTTAATATATCAGGCTAGTTGTGATTAGTTGAGTCACTGAAGAGAGGAGTTGTGCAGGTGTGGAGTTTCCTAACACTATAATATTTCTGCAGCTACGGCGATTAGAAAATCCGATCGTCACATGATACGAATCCATTAAATAACATTCCAAACATATTTAGAACATCTGTCAATGTGATAAGAACAGAAGCACAAATGCACTAAAATGAATTCTGCACATTTCTCAAAGCTCTCTCCAAGATTTAATTTCTATTTTCAAACGTCCATAAAAATATCATGTTTTTTTAAAAATATATTTATACATTATACTTCCAGGGCAGGTTTTGGGAGGTTGAAAGATTTTACTCTTTAAATGTCTGTTTACACTTTCTTTATTTCCTGTATTCAGTATAACATTTGTCCCTAAACCTATAACCATTCATATCATTCAGATTTTAAGCAGTTAATGCTTTCCATAAAGCTTGCATCCATGCAGAAGTGATTACATGTTGTATCCTGACGTATACGCTTGCTCCATCCTTAATCGTGTCCTGCTGATGTTGTTAACATCCTGTGTAGGTTGGAGACAGGGGTAAGCAGGGTCCTCGGGGAGGACAAGGGAAGCGCGGGCCTGCAGGCCCACCTGGACGTTCAGGTCCTGTCGGAGTCAAGGGTGTTCGAGGTGAACTTGGACCAGATGGTTTTCAGGGGCCGCCGGGTCCTCCAGTAAGTAAAATACAAGCCTCCGGCTTTTTTTTTTTTTGGCTGATACAAATAACATTTAAATGCTTACAGTATAGAGTAGTACTGTTTGTATTTAGCTCTGTAACTGACATGAAAAGCAGTCTCTACTATAATTGGCACGTCATCGTTCTGTGAAAAATGGCACAGAAAGAGCAGAGTAATCATTTGCTCTAGTAGTTACACTGACTGGCACACACAGTGTTTGGTAACAGCTTTGGTGTCAAGAACACATTTAAACAGTGTCTCATTAGCCTGCAGTTAGTAGTGAGTCACAGCAAGAGTTTCGTTTAGTGTGGCTATAAATCCATAATGAGCCTCGGGAAATATTGTTGGCTTTGTTCGCTGCATTTCCCTCAGAGAGGCAGCCGTTGCTTCAGCGTGCCCCGTCCTGTAATAATCCATTTTACATGTCCCGTGGTTGGAATCCTTCCAGTGATGGATGTGGTAATGATTTCTTACACAGGGTCCGACCCTCCCTGCTCAACACGTGATTGAGGTTTGTAAGAAAGTGGTCCTGGAGCAGATGTCCATGTTTGCCAACTCAGTGAAGAGGACATGTGCTGCTGTCTGTCCTCTGTACGGGGATGTTCCCACGGGTGCCCCTGGTCCCCCTGGACAGAAAGGACCCCCCGGACCACCTGTGAGTTTTACACTTTGGGTGTTCACTGTTCAAGACATATCAGTCTACACTCTAGGAACATTTACTATAAAAAAAAAGAAAAAAATTTTGCACATGTTCTGTGCAGACCTTTAGCTTAAACACACTGTCAGAATCCAAGTACATTCTCCATACATTGTTCATTATTGTCTGCCTGGCTGAGTAAAATGCAAACACATTGCGAAGGTCTGGACTGGACTAAGAGAGCTGAAGTATTTGGCAGAAAAGCTTGGAATGAAAACATTACAATTTTCCACGTCTCCATGAGGACAAATAAGGAGTCACAGACTAGACACTTGGTCTGTTTTGCATGGTTTTTGGAAAGTATCAAGGCTGTCCTTGGATTAGAAAGGCTTTTCCACATTATTTTACAGTGTAGAATCAATTCATGTCCCACAACTCCTAATCACAATAACTCTCTGGCTGATAAATGTTCTTGAAACCATGACTATATAAAAATATTCCTCTATATTAGATTTTGGATGGTAAGCCTGATGTTGTGGCGTTTGGTGCTAAAACAAGTGATGCACCAATAAAATGCAGTGTTTTCCCATCAGAGTATTGAGTTATCAGCCAAATAAATCTTTTCAGACTTTTTGTTCAGAGCTGGTTAGAGGTGAAACAGGACTTAAGTGGTGGCCAGGTTCAAGCTGAAAACACTCAAAAGATTAACAATGTGTTTTCCTGTTGATGATGTTGTCAGGGGGATCCTGGTAATCATGGCACGGAAGGAGAAGTGGGCCCACCGGGATTCTACGGAGAAGCTGGAGAAGCAGGCCGAAAAGGAGAAGCAGGTATGGATAACAAACAAGGGAGACTGTATTTATGAATATACATGAAATATACATGAAAAAATAATAACTAATCAAGGTTTATTTTAGGTAGAATACGTGCTGGAAAGAAGGCTATGATATCCTATACTTAAACAGACATCATTTTATTTTTTGGCCTCTTACCATCAGGACAAAACCCCCCAGAAATACATCAGTACATTATGAATGGAACGCTTACTCAAAATACATGGTGTCTGACTCTTTTTCAAGTTCTTCAGGGCAGCAAATTGAGCTGCGCTGCATCACAGATTTTGCACTGTCGTAGAATCATGTCCCAAATGGACACTACTGAAAACAAAATCTCTTGAGTCTTTTAAGCCTTCCACCAGCCCAGCATCTACCTGCACCCTTCAAGGGCTCAGGGTCCAGGTGTGCTCTGTGTGATCATATTTTTGAGCAACATGATGATGTCATAATATCTGATATAGATAATCAACATCAAGTTTTAGCCGTGTGCACAGTTTGGTTGCTCAGCTCCTGGTCATGAACGTGTACATTTTCTTATTTATGGTTTGAGGCCTGAGTGTGATGTCACGGTCATACCCCTGCCAGGCCAATGAAACTGAAGAATATTTATAAGGTGTTTTAAACATTAATTTACCAGTGATCTCAGTAACACGTATGGTGTTTAATCAACATCAACAGCTTGGTCATTAGTAGAGTTCAGAAAGGAACTGAACATGATTTCCTGAAATATAGAGTTTGAGTAGTAAAGTCAGAACTCTGGCAATTACACTCCAGTTAAGCTACATAGCGGCGTCTAGATGCTGATGGTGGCAAAGATGAAGCATGTGTAGACTTGGATGAGGATCTCTGTCTGGCCAAGATGAGGTGGAGATGGGAAGAAGCTGGGTCACACACAGAAGTGAGGCTAAAAGACAGAGTGACAGAAAAGTACTGAGAATTAAAGGGAAAGAGGCTGATTGGTTCATATGAGGCAGTCAAGAAAATGAGTGGACCAGAGTGATGACTACTTAAGTTTGAGAGCATGGCGAAGTGGAAATGATGTAAAGAGTAGTCCAGCAGCCCAAACATATAGATCTTTCTTGAACTCATGCATCTGCGTGTGTGTTTTGATTGCAGGTGACAGAGGAGAGCAAGGTGATAAAGGAGCCAAGGGTTACGGCCTGCCTGGTAATACTGGAGACCCCGGACCAAAGGGTACTTTTTACTTTTCTTTTTAACTGAAATTAAGGCATCAACTGATGTCGACATCTTTGCTAAGCATGTTCAGCTTATTCTTAGTTTTAAATTCCAGGGAAAAGGGGCTGGTGTACAGTAACATGAGTACTTCTTGGACAGAATGAAATGATTTTTCTCTGGAAGTACGCTGGTCTTGGAATCTGCACAAGAAGCATTACTCAGCTCACTGAGCAGACTGCACGAACTGAAGACTAAACAATATTTTTGACTCCGTCGCAGGTCAGCGTGGACGTCCTGGCAGAGCCTTCAATGGCCAGCCTGGAAGGCAGGGTCAAAGGGGGCATACGGGCCGGCCTGGGCTCAGGGGCCATCAGGGTCTTAGAGGACCTCCAGGTGTGTGCGTCACCTCTGGGTGTGCTCAGCTGAACTCCACTGGTGGGACACCGCAGCCAGCAGAGCGAAGGTTGAGGAATCAGCCATAGATGAAGAAATATAGATGTTCAATACTGACCTTAAAGGAATAAAACATGCATGATGGGTTTTTTGTTAGAATCTGATACGATACATTTAAATTTAATGTAAATATGCAAATCAAACGTGAACTGATCGTGTGAGAACAAAAGTGGTGCAAAAAATATATTTGTAAAAAACAAAATTACACATCTTTATAATAAAAATCCATTTTTGGTAAGAGAGCATGTTATTGTGTGTGCAACAACCATGTAATGTTTGATGGTTGCTAATAATTGCTAATTAATTCTTAATCAATTGCTACACTGTGCATGTATTTTTGTAAACTGGCACTGGATGCTAGTGTGACGTTAGTGTGCCGCACAAATTCCACAACACTACATTCCCCTTCAGTAATATCGGAATTGAATCTTTCCAAAAGTCTGGAAGAGATTTATCTGTATTTTAATATTATTATTATTATTATCATTGCTTTAATTGTCTGGGTCAGACGATGTTACTAAATGCTTAAAGTGTTCCAAAAGCAAAGAGAAACATTCTTGGTGTTTGGACTCGGTGAGCAACATGCAGTGTTTGAATAGGGTGCCAACTTGGAACGTAATATCAAGTTTGGGTTTTTGATTTCTTGTGAATAATTATTACCTTTGTTGAGGGGTTTTGCACTGCATTCACAGATTTTCCTATCTCCAAACCCTGTAAACTGATTTACAGCAACCATCACTACAGCAAGTAAGTACGAAGACTCTGTAGTCTTATTTGAAATAAGAAATCTGTGATTGTTCATTTTGTATTAGACATGGAAAAATGAAACCCCAATTAAAAATGTATTTTTAACTCTGGATGGGTGTTTCCAGAAACTCCTCGAAGCAGAAAAATCCCACACAAAGATGCACTTACTGAATTTTCTTATAACATTTGCCAACAGCCATCACAGTCACCATGATGCATTTTAATAAAATTGGGTGTTGGTGTACTTTTCAGCCTTTTGAATTTTACACATCTGTGAGTCCTTGCATTCAACGAGCAAAACGTTTCAAAATCCTACAACAATGACACAAGCTGCAGTGTTTCCTACAGAGTAGCTCTTTAACTACTGTTACAAAGCTTTTGCTTCACAGCAGTGCAGCAGAGTTGGCTCAGTCTCAGCCTTTTGTGGACTTTCCAGCTGAAAAAGGTGCTGCTTAAGTGGAAAGGCTCTAAATTGCTCGCGGGTAAGAGGTGCTGAGTCTATCTATCTGTATTTGGCCAACGCCCTACGCGGGGCATTTCCCTGCTTTGTGATCCATTCATGCTGGAAAGGTCCCATTAATCCTGCAGCCCACAAAAGAGTCAATGAGTTGAGAAAAAAGATTTCTTTCCACTGTCCAAATCTGATGAAGAAAGAAGAAACACACGTGGAACGCTGTGTGTGGCTCCTCTCAGTGTCTTATGTTTGTCTCCTCTGCAAAGCCCATCAAAAGTAGATGGTCATCCTCCAGACTCTCCGCGACTGCAGCATCATGTGTGCCATGCTGCTTTGTTTTGCACCATCGAAGAATGCTATAGCAATCTCTGTCATGGAAACTATTACTAATCCATGATTATCCTCCAAGTTTTCGCTCTGTGCTCAACCACTTGCTTCAGGACATGCTTGCTATTTATCTCTGTGGCGAACCAGACAAGTGATCATGATAAATATGGCTTAATGCGTATGAGTTGACTAAAAATGACTCAGTATAGTTGAGCTTCAAAGTGATGGCACCAAATCAGAGATTCTCATAGAGCTGTTTTATGTTGTCCTCACACAGTTACTTAAAATTTAGCAACAGCTGCCAGACGCTGTAAATGTTGGTCGATACGAGTAAGAAGCCAAATTTATAGTCATGTTTTTTGTAGAGGTGAGAATCAGCAAAGTGATAATAAAGACAAGCAAACCTTTCATTAATGTTACTTTTTAGCCCATTCACAAGTTTTAATATACTGGCAAATGCGATGGCACTGTATGGGCAGATGACATAATGATGGTTTCATGCAGATATATGATTTTCCAATTTTGGCAAACCAGATTCATTTAGTTTATTAACAGACTTCAAACTGATTCATCCCTTTTCTTTTTTCAAAGGACAGGACATTGGAGTTCATCCCAGATATAAATGTTAAATATTATGGGGTTGAGTTTTGTGCAAAAATGTCTTCTGATCACGAAGGAAAAAGAGGGCAATGCAAGAATCTGTTAAAAGGCCTTTATTCCCTTTGCCTGAGACTGTGGGGCCATATCATGGGAATCACTTACAGTGATGAACAGCCAAATACAAAGGAGGCTTTTAACTGATTTCAGCTGTCTTTGATCTGCCTTTTTCCCACATTATTGCCTAAAGGCGAACTTGTTAATAAAAAGAAGTTACAGTATTTGTTGTCATACTGAAGCATTTACATTTTCCATACAGAGAGAGATCTAATTAAAGGGGACAAGTCTCTGGAACAACACCAAGTGGTGGAGCGCCGTTCTTCTAAAACAAATTCCCTCATTTAGTGTTTTGATAATGGTGGGAGATAGCACTGATACGGGCAAAATAAGGATCGAATATGTCACCAATTTTCTAAGTAAATATATTTCTAAAGGTGCTATTGACATGAAATTCTCAGCAGATGCCTATAAGAACCCTTCCCATTCACACATGCAAAAAAATTATCAAACTATAGATCTCCATAAGTTATGTGCAATAATGAGAAATCAAACAGGGAACAAGTATTAAACACATGAAGAAAGGGAGGTGCAAAAAAGCATTAAAGGTCACGAGCTGAAATCTATCAGCAGATATAAAGTATTCCTGCCACTTACTGCAAATAAATATCAGCTGCTTGGCCTATAAAAGGGTGTATCATTACCAAGGTGGTACACATTAAACATCTCGTGAAGGGTAAAACCAGTTACAGAAGAATTTTACACTACTGAAGGTTCTGGTGAGCACTGTCGGTGATAAAGAAGCATGTTGAAGACATGTTAACCCTAACCCATTTAAAGATAACTGAACAACATACAGATAAGCCTGTGAAATGCTGTGAGAATATAGTGTGGTCAGATGAGACCAAGATTCAAGTCTTTGAATGCCATAATACACGGCATGTTTGGAGGTCAAAGGCACTGCATATCACCCCAAAAACACCAAACCAACAGTGAGGTTTTGACTTGGGAGCATGATGGTGTGTGGCTGTTTTTCAGCATACGGCACTGGCGTGCTTCATATAACTGAAGAAAGGATGAATGGAAAAAAGTACCGAGGCATTCTTGATAAAAATCTGCTGCCATCTACCAGGATGATGAAGATGAAACTCGGGTGGACGTTTCAGCAAGACAATGATCTCAACCACACAGCCAGGGCAACTCTCCACCAACTGCGCTTAGAACTAAAGAAGCTTCTCGGATGAGAGGTGAAACGTCTACAGAAAACTTAAAGAAGTCCAGACAACAACATTCCTTTTCCTGTTGCACTGGGTCAGTAAAAACAATGGGTTGTGTAATAATTAACCAGTAAGAATAAAAGAAAATCTACACTCTGCTGCACAAAATTCTGGATATATTATGTGTGTGCACACTGTTGTACTAATCAGGAATCACTAGAAAAAGGCTTAGGGATAAGTGCTGTATCACAAGTCAGAAATCAATGAGGAGAGAACATAATTTTTGAAGCAACAATTGCACACAAGACTACATGAACACATTTATATACCTCAGAGACAGAATAGGTTGTTTCCTCAAGCAACATGTGAATGTTTGCCAAATAAAAGCCCAACAAAGACTCCTTTTGGGTTGGGATAAAAAATACTAGCACATGACTTTACCCAAGGAGACTGTGGTTTGTATCCTGTGCATGACCGTCTTTTGATTGAAAGGTTCCAGCTATTTTTTGTTGTTGTTGATTATGCTCTTCTCCAGTCTCTTTTTGGTTGACCAAAACATCTTGGGTTGGTTTGGGAAAAGATCATAGTTTGTATTAAAATAGACCCCTTCACAATGTTTACCACATGTTTGAAAACCTTTCTGGAGGTTGGATGAAGTCGGCCCTATCTATCTATCTATCTATCTATCTATCTATCTATCTGTCTGTCTGGATAGCCTGCAAAAGCACGTCACATGCACAGAATTGATTATCCATACCTCAAAAGCAAGTATCCATGTCAACGAAACTGTCAGTGCCATCAAAATGAAAAGTCTTGACACCATCTTTATGAACAAGATAGTCAAATGGCATTGTCATGTTTCCACTATGACAGTTTATAATTTCAGTGTTTCCCATTGCAAAAACAATTGGTGACACCTGAAAATGCTGACGACAGCACTATGGCCTACCTGTACAGCCATCTGAAATGTGCAGTAAAGTCACTGTAGATGTGTTGCACACTTGAATTAAAATGAATTGAAACCAGTGTGGCTTTGTGAGTTCGCCTTTACTGCATCTGCAAATCTGCAAATATATACATGGACATAGCACAGCGTTACACACTTTTGCAGTCTCACATAACGCTTATAGGCGCACTGCCTTATGGGTAGTGTTTAAACTCAAACCACTAATATTT